CCTTTATGTCATACATTAATCCACCCCCCCTTCTGTTTAAGTACCTCCATACATAATTTTATAAAGGGGAAATATTGTGACAAAAGAAAGTCCTATCTGTATACATGACACAGTATTAAATAGGGTGTCTAGGATTTCAAATAATAATTAGAAGTTAGAAAACAAATACTGCAATGAGTTAACTACAGTTTTAAAGCTTTGCAAAAACTGGCATGCCGAGATTACAATTTAAATAGTAGTCACAGAATTCAAAACTGTTAAACAAAATGTATATATTCATAGAAAGTACATCCCCCAGGCTATACTTAATTTTGACACTTTTAACCATTTTATCAGAAACCTATGTCAAATTAGTTAATTGTTTGTGGGGGTTTTTCCCCCCACCTGTTTTATTTTGGGGAAATTCACAGACCACGTGGCCCACTACTACAAACACTGCATATGTGTATTCTGCTACTGTTAGAGTACGATACCCACATGCACACCTTTTCCCCTAATCCAACTTATATTTTAACCCCTCTTTCTAACCCTAATCCAACCTAAAATCCTACCTATAAACCATCGCTTATCTGACCTAATCAAAACCATCATTTTGCTTGTCATCATACCTAGAATCCCATCTCTCAAGGGATTACCTCTGCTGAGGTCAGTACTGACATCAGCAAAGGGATTTCCTAGTTTACACAGTATATAAGGCTCTGTGAGCACTCTGTACAGAGTTATTGCAGCCTGACACAGAGCTCATGCTGCAGCACACAGATCAGTGCCAGGAAGCTGGCATAACCCGAGGCATTGACTGCTGGGGGTAAAAAAAAATATATATTTTTAAATAGGGTTTTTCTTCTAATCTATACATTTGCTAGCACAATGTATAGATAAAATAGAATAATTGTTTCAGGCAGGACAGGTGCCCTTTATAATAATAAAAAAATAAAAGCTATGAAGTAGACTACCGACGTGTGAGATAATGGTAGATTGTCAAGCCTATTCATGGTCTGGGAATGGCTGACATTGAACATCAGCTGTGGGAACTTTAAAAGGTAACTTCATATTTTGCATATTTTATGATCTATTATCTATACACTACATTAATAAAAATAAAAAAAACGAGGCTCACTTCAAAAAACGGAAAGATAACCTCTTTGAACATATGGTAAGGTATTCATATATACAGTTCTATAGGTGGGTCCTGCTTCGATTGCAGCCTCCTCTCACCTCTGAGAAATGCCAACTGGTACGGGGTTTAGCACACTGGGTGAGAGCCAATGGAATCTTCTTCCTGCTGAGAGGAGATAGGGGGCAGTACTTTGTTGGACCAGATGTAATAAATCAATCGTTACCAAAACGGTTTGAATACTTCTATTGGAGGGGGAGGGGGGGGTGAGGAGCAGCCTGCTGGAGTGGTGCTTGGAGTGTTCCTTTAAAACAAGGAACAGCTCTAATAAGAGATAAATTATGTAGTGTATAAAGTCAGTATGTATGTGAGTCAGATGGCAGCAGAGAGATTGTATTCAATCAGTTATGCCATCTGCTGTATATTTATCCTCAGAATAAAGGTTAAAGGGTTACCTCAACCACTTTAGTGGTTTGAGTAATGCGGAGTAATCTGCATACGTGTGCTGAGGGCTAGTTGCACCCCTCACACACACACACACACACGACTTAGGTAGCCAAGAACCCTGTTGTCATTCTTATCGTTATGTCCAGTGTCAGCTTGCATAGCATGCTGGCAACGGATGTATGAAGCTTTCCCTTGCAGGCATGCCTTCAATGGGAAAAGTTTTTCTCTGCTCTCCTCCTTCCCAATACAATTGCTCTTTTTAAAAAAAATAAAAATAAAAAAAATTTCAAGGTCCAGTAGTAATGGGGAGGGTGCAGTGGAATGTAGTTCTACTTATTTGAAGCGGGCGGCCACCATCTTATTTCTGCAGACCATTTTTGACTCCTGGTGCTTCATGTGCCAGTAGTCACAAGCCAGTGAGGTATATGGAGGATACCTTGAGACTGTACTAGCCTCCACCAATCACTAGCGATGAGCAAAAAAGTACCTAAATCCCACACCCGTCACTTGTAACAGTTGCTGCAAATGGACAAAAGTTCACAGCGGGGCCCTGCCTTTTGCCAACCTCAGGCTTTACCATAAAAAATAAAAAAAATAGTTGCCTTGTCTTAAGGTGCCTTTGGATTGTATTGGAATTTAAATATATAGTAAGTATTTTCATTAGGCCAAAATAACTGAGCTAATAAAGTAAAGTTGGAGAATGTCCCATTTTGGCCTATTGCTTGCAATTTCCTTTTCACTTGTTCACAATTCACAGTCTGACAAACTTCTCAGTGGTGGTTGCTGGCAATAGCCTAATTGTGCTCTGCCCCTCACCCCACAGAACATCCATACGTAATACACGTGGGAGAGTAATTTAAAGGTCAACCACAAACTCAAATAAAAGTCTCTCCAGCAGTGTCCACACTGAGTGGACTGTTAGCGCCAAAAGGATAGCGTTCTACTGCTACACCAGCTAGAGAAATCCATCCAACAACTGCATTCGAATAAAAACCTGCAGCTGCTTTTATTTATCATGCTGGGTAGAATGGGCTATTATGAAGGCATAGTGTTAAAAGGCATTTGTCACTGCTCTCCTCGATTGTAGTGTATCTGCTAAATAGGGGAGCCTGCAATAGACTATATAGAAGTATTAGGCTGGGTGGAAAGCATAGCAAACAAAGCTTCCTGCAGCGTGAGCACAAACCCAAATAGGACAGTTGTCTGTGACACAAACAGAACAAAAGTTAGAAGTTACTGGATCCAGGAGATGCTAAGCTGCCAGCTCAGAACAGAAATGTCAGGAGAGAACAAACTACTAGAGGGTTGCAAATTAGAGACAGCATGAGCTTGCCATGCCATAAAATGTACAGTGGGCCAAAGACAAAATAACAAAACTTCCCAAGTGTTTTGCGAGTGTTTTTCAAGCACAGAGAATGCGGACTCAGCTTTTACTTAGGTGTCTGGCTGTTATGTAAAAGTGAACAGAAAAAAGTGAGAGCGCGACGGAATGAGGCACTGAAAGCAGGTCATTAAGACAGCAATGACTTAATAGATGTAACAACATTTACCAATGACCCTGTGTCAATAATGGGCAAGAACGTTTTTTTCAAAAGACAAAACAACACATAAGAAAATGTCCCTTCATCCAAAAAAGGAGATTGTCACTAAGCATGTAGAAAGGCAGACTGATTAGTATTGAGCACTGGGCATACAAGGCTACAAGTGAAGTTTGTGCAAACGGTTTAACTTTTCAAGTGATTTGACAAAAACCAGAGCTGTCTAGATCAAACCTATCCTTGTGTTGGAAACATCATGAGAAGTTTACTAGCAAACGAACAAGAGAATTGAAAACATAAGGCACACGAGGGAGAAGGGAGAACATTTTTAAGAATTCAGCTATTTTGTTGCACTTAAAATTCCTAGTCAGTTCCCCATAATTCACAATTGACCGGATTACTCAAAGGTATCTCAGCTGTTCAAAAAACTCAGTATTAAACATGACAACAAAAAAGGTTGGACTATATTTTGCATTTTCTTTCTCGGTTCTTCAGAATATGAATATGCCAGAGCAGTTCATCACAGGACATGTTTAATTTAAATCACGCAGGTTTTTCTAGGCATCCACAGTTCTAGCTGGGTAACTTTTTACATATATTAGAGTGTGCAGCACAGCTTATTTAGTAGCGTGGCAGCTTTAAAAACAAATATTTTTGTAAAGGAGAAATCTTTCCTTCATGTCCAAAAAAATATGAAATAAATCAAGAGGAAATACAGTCATAGGATGCTGTGAAAGTATACACGATTTTCTGCTTAAAAGGACACTATAGTCACCCAGACCACTTCAGCTCAATGAAGTGGTCTGGGTACCAGGTACCTCAGGTTTTAACCCTTCACATGTAAAACATAGAAGTTTTAGAGAAACTGCTATGTTTACATTGCAGGGTTAATCCAACCTCTAGTGGCTGTCTTTCTGACAGCAGCTAGAGGCGCATCTGCGATGCGGGATGCGATATTCGCATCCAACGCACAGAACGTCTATAGGAAAGCATTGAGAAATGCTTTCCTATAGACAGTTTGAATGCACGTGTGGCACTTGCCGCGTAAGCGCATTCCGCTCCACTCGGGAGCTGATGTCAGCGGGGGAGGAGAGGTCATCAGCGCCAAGGGAGCCCGGCGCTGGATTAAGGTAAGTAGCTGAAGTGGACCCTGAGGGTGGGGGCACCCTTAGGGTACTATAGTGTCAGGAAAATAGGTTTGTTTTCCTGACACTATAGTGATCCTTTAATATAGGCATAATAGGAATTAAGAAAATGTTCATAAACCGCTCCTGCTGAAAGTATGTCCAGCTGTACATAACTCATACAGTTGAGATTGCAATGATATGAAACTATGTATTCCAGGAGCAAGCTCAGTGCCTTATATTGCAGATGGCATGATGACATGGAACTGTGGGTCATGCCACTTCTTATCGCAACCACCTGACCAACTACTAGAATGTAAATATTAGCGGTCAAATAAAAGTGTGACTCCAATCTGAAGAGCTTTCTGCTAGCATACCATAATGGAAACTTGTCCACAGATTTGCAATTGAATGGTTAATCATAGGGATCTATGTATCTGTACCTGTGGCCCCCTGCCCCCCCTCCCGCCAAAGTATTTTGTCTTCTCCAACAAATGTGGATCAGATGGAGTTGTAATTGTTTATTTTCTTAGCTTTAATTTCTATTCTTTTTTCCCCCTTCATTTTATGGAGCATAAGGTTCAATATGCAATAGATATTGTAGTTAAAAAGACACGCCACACAGCTTTTGCATGCTGTTTTTAGAAATAAACCAAATTGAAAAATAAATAAATAAAGATAATTCGCATTTCGTCAAGAGCAGAGGCATATTAATAAGATCTGAAAAAAAACAAAAAAACCCACAAATGTGCAAGAGAGTACAGAGAATGGACAACACTCAAGTAGCCTGCCCTTCAGTGGTCCCGCTCAGCTGTCAAGCTGGTTTTAGCTCATCTTGAGCCATTACAAAAAGAACTAGGGCTATTTGCATATGCAACTGACCCCAACCAAAAGAGCGGTCTAGATTCAAATTGCAGGCCAGCTGTCTCTGCACGAGAAATACAGCAACTATGGGCGATCATTTCAGCCCTGTTAAGCCTAGTCAGTGAGTTACAGCCGATATCCCTCTAGGCACCTAGAGCCAGAAGGGCTTTAAGTCAGGCATGATTAAAGGCTGATGCTTGTCGTATTGCTAAAGTAGAGCATAAGGTCCAGGATACATACTTTATAGATAAGCTGACAGTGCATGTTCGGCAGAATATGGCCTCATTTAACAAAACACAGCAGCAATGGGAAACTTACAAAGGAATGCGAGGATAATGTTTTAAGATAATAAAAACTCTCTGCATACCCCCTCCACTTCCATAATTTCTTTATTTAAATTTGTTTTTCAGTCTACACTTTATTTTTTAAACATTTAAGTTATTATCTTGATATAAACCCCAAGAAAGTTATGATCTAGAGAATATTGATTGTATTGCTGTTCAAGGTTATAATATATGCACAACTATACACATAATGTAAAATGCCAATAATGTATGCAATGTGGGTATTACAAGGATATCTGGCTCTTTGGAAATAAAGAATAAAAAAAAATAAAAAAATGCATGCTTTCATTGGAGTATATTTACTGAACAGTATAAAAGGTTTGTATTTGGGCAACGGAGTGTCCCTTTAAAAATGGATATAGTAACCAAAAGTAAAATGGTGCATGATTTAGTTAAATATATTTTAAATAGTGTAATTGTTCATTTTAAAGGGACACTCCATTGCCGCCCCACCCAATTTTTTTTTTTTTTTTAAATCACTCTAGTAGATATACCCCAAATTAAAACATTTATGAATTATTTAATTGAGGGTATATCTAAAGCAGCTTACAAATACTGAAGTTCTCTTGTTTGCAGTCTTTGCAATGAAAAACTTGCATTAACACGTTTTCATTTAATAATTTTACGGTGAGCAGAAGGATTTTGGGCGGTATATTTCATTACTTGATCATTGCTCTCTAATCTACTACACAATACCCTGTGACACAGTATTTAAAGTATTTGTGGTTGAGTTAATATGTTAGACTTTAGAAAACAGACATTTTAAAAGTTAATATGTATCATGCAATAGAGATTTCAGGAAACAGACCATAAATGACATGCCCCACTGATATTCAGTTATTGCTTGTCATTGTATTGTAGTATGTATAAAGAGCCATTTCAGCTAAAGGGTTAACCCTTTTAAGCACAACTTATTTGTTTCTATTACCACCCTCTTTCACAGCCCAGACAGTTGATCGTCTAGAGCTGATTCAGAAATGATTCAGTGACTGAGCCTTGGAAATGACAACACTGTGATCACGCACATTTAAAATATCATTAACACACTATGCTGCTTTAAGAACGCACAACAAAGTGATAAGTCACTAAACTGCCAGCTATGAGAACCTGTCAATTTGCTACATTAAAGTGGAGCTATCAGTTCTCTGGAATTTATACCATTGAATAAAAAACAATGACATTTATTTTTTAGGAGATGCTCAGCTTTCCTTTAATTTTATTTTAAATGTAGCAATTGACATCATAAGGCCAGACAAGGTAATGCTATGGCAATTAGTTCAAATGAAGAGGAGAAATCAAGACAGCGGAGGAGATTTATAAAAAATGGCAAAGCGGTTCTAATGCACACTTTTTTTTTTTTTTTTATAAAATTGTATTGTTCTGCACCACATTTTTTTCTTTTTGCACCCTTCCAACAGTTTTGTTCGGCACGTTTTTTTTTACATTTTAAATAGTGGCGCTGTCAATGTATATTATTAAAAAACAAACAAAACAAAAACAAACAGTGCAATAGTGTGCCTATCTTTATTTCCTGTAAAGGCTTTGGTAATATATCATATAGTTACGGAAAAGGTGAAAATCCAATAAAATGTCCCCCGTCTATCAAGGTGAAGTAACAGTTTTATACTTAACTTACCTAGTGCATAAACATATGCAACTATTTTTACATATTAGCCCCATTGTTCTCCTCTTAGTGCTGACTGCCAGATACAAAGGACAGAGCTTATAACAATGGCTGACCGGGAGCAAAAAGGGATAGAGGTGTGGATTTCTCTACCTACTATATTTTTCACACCTCATAAATACACAATTGTTAAAGGAACAATATAGTGTCAGGAATACAAATGTTTGTTCTGGACACTGTAGGTCTAAATAGCTGTTTAGCCCCACCCCTCCTTTACCTTTAGTTTAAAATGGCGAGTTACTCCTTTTTTCCAGTGCCTCGCGGGTCCAGTCGCAGATGGCCCCGCCCATGCTCCCCTCCCTCCTTGGATGAGTTCAAGATGCTTTGCATTAATCAGAATCTCTATGAGGAAATTTCAGCGCCTCCATGCAGAGCATGGAGATAGTGATGTCCCGAACCGTTTGCAGCGGACGGCGAACATATGCGGTAAACTTTGACCCTGTACCTCACAGTCAGCAGACACATTCCAGCCAATCAGCAGCAGACTGGTCTGCTGCTGATTGGCTGGAATGTGTCTGCTGACTGTGGGGTACAGGGTCATATGTTCGCCGTCCGCGGCGAACCGTTCGGCACATCACTACATGGAGACATTGAAGCGCCTTTAGAGGCCGTAGTGACTGCCAGTATAGGTGTCCCTCGGCAGTAATGTAAACACTACTAAGAAGGCAGTGTTTACTGCTTGTTCCTGCAGGCATTTAATGTAGACTCCAGAACAAGTACATTAAGCTGTAGTGGGTTTGGTGATTATACTATACCCTTAAGTATTGGAATATGTAAACCTAATATTAGAAAGTTGGTAAGTAACCGTTCCCCTTTAGGAACTCACTCAGTCCACATTTTTGCAGCCATTTATCAGCAACCATTAATACAACTGTTAGGAACTGTCAACATCAGACACTCAGATGTTGATAGACAAAAAAAACCACACTTTTTAATGAACTAGATGAACAGAGAATTATGGGAGGGAGTTGTAGTTGACAAACCTAGTTTAGAACAGACTGCCTGTGTGTGTGTCTAAAGATTCTGGAAGTGCCAGTTCATTATTTAGATTCCTAGCTGCTGTTGAACAGAATGCAAAGCATTAGGTTAATTACCAATGCTGTGCAGTTCTGGGAAACACAAGCTTTATGGCGTATGAAAAGGACGGTGATTCAGTCACAATGAGATCAGCCCTATATTGTATGTGGAGTGCTATAGTAACAATGTTTGAAGTCTATCTTGAGCATGAGTGATTTTTCTCTCTCCGTGTCTAATTATTCAGGCTGACTACCCTGGTAAATGGAAGCTCGCCAACTTGTAAATAAATATTAATATCTGGCATTCTCTTCGTCCCCATGTCCATGGTGTAAACACTAAAAAAATGCTCTCCTGTTTGAAATGGAAAACAGGTCAGGAAAATCCTGTAGGCAAATAGCCAGAAGACAGGTGAGGATAAAAGAAGCACAGGTGTGCATTTTATTAAAAAAACAAACCAAAAAAAAACCCCACAGTCTGTCAGGAACATCTCTCTCTCACACACACACGGAGCCTCACATTCAGCTGAAGGATCAGGCCCAGGCATGATCTTTGGACTTTAAATCAGCCTTGCTAGCAGCTGTCACAACTTATTACCCCCTTCTGGATCTAGTCATACATGGCTTTCTTGAATCCACATTTAGAAAATCTATACAATTCCTGACAAACTCCCCCAATCTTTCTCTCTCTCGAATATATTTTATATGCTTTACTATATTACAGGGCTAATTAAGATGGTTATATTTAAAAAAAAAAAAAATTTATATATATATATATATATATATATATATATTATATATATATATATATATATATATATATATATATATATATATATATATTTTTTTTAAAGTACAGTGTTAAATGCATGCATTTAGCAGCCATTTTTATCTTAAATGGAAATTTGTAAAATTGATCTGGAACTATTTTATAATGTTCACAAATGCACATACAGGTTTCCATAGCTTTAGTGGACTTGTATGAATAAGTTTTATTATTAATATTAAGTTATATTAATAAGAAAATAGTTCAGATTGGTGTAAAAAAAACAACAACAAAAATCTAGCTGAGAAGCTGTAAACAATAACAAGTTAAGGCTGTTTGAATCAAGCTTTAATCCCTTCAGGACGGAGTCAATAGTACACGTTCTGATCAAAACAAAATGTAAACAAAAACTGGAATTTGCGCCGAATGTCTGTTCAACCGTAATTCACCTCTTTCATATTAAGTGCACCCACACTTATATATCAGTTTGTTCAGGAGAAACAGGGCTTTCATTTCATATCAAATATTTATATATTAAACATAATTTATTATGAATAAAATTTAAATAAAAAAAATGAGAAATTTAAAATAAATAAATTTGTAGTTCCGCCTCACATTTTAGCTGTAAACTTCATAGTACTGTTCGCTTTTACTGCAAAACAAGCACATATATTTGGATTCAGCAAAGTCTCACGAGTACAACTCCTGAAGAGGATCGCGGCGGAGGTAAGTACATTTCACCTCCTGGGGCTGAAAGCTGTTACGGCGTTTTATGCCGCCGCAGCGGCTTTAAAGCCCATTTAAATGGGGATGGCATGGAACACCATAACGGCATTAAGGGGTTAAAGTGGAAAGATTGAAAATTACGAAATAGAAAAATACTTGCAATGGTTACTGCACTTACTAAAGGTAGTATAAATGGTCGATCCAAACAATATTATAAGTCATAAGTATAATTGTAAATATATAGAAAAATCTGCCATACTGAATTAGCCTGGTTGCAGTACCTCAGGCTGAAATACCATTTGTATAACCCCTTAGTGACCAGACAGAATTTTAATTTTCTGATCATTAAGGACCAGGGCTGTCTTTATATTTCTGTGGTGTTTAGCTGTAATTTTCCTCTTACTCATTTACTGTACCCACATATATATGATAAAAGAATTAAATTAAAAAAAAAAATCCACTTTTTCTAACTCTGACCCCCCAAAATCTGTCACGCATCTACAACCGCCAAGAAACACACATTCTAAATAGTTTCTAAATTTTGTCCTGAGTTTATAAAAATGTTAAATATGTTCTTAGCTTTCTTTAGCAACTTATAGGACTATAAGTACAAATTTATCAATAGTGACACTTATCTGTCATAAATCTCTGAATCACACCTCACATGTACATATTTTTTCAAAGTAGACAACCCAGGGTATTCAATATGGGGTAAGTCCAGTCTTTTTCAGTAGTCACAAACTCTGGCCAAAGTTAGCATTTATATTTGTTTGTGTGTTAAAAATGCAAAATAAATTATGAACGCTAACTTTGGCCAGTGTTTGTGACTAAGTGGCTACTAAAAAGACTGAACATACCCCCATTTGCAATACCTTGGGTTGTCTTCTTTTGCAAATGGTATGCCATCATGGCGCTAACTCTCATTCCTGGGCTACCATATGCTCGCAAAGGCAATATAACCAATCGGCAAATTTCAATGTAAAAAAACAGAAAAGCAAGCCTTATATTTGACCCTGTAACTTTCAAAAACACTATAAAACCTGTACACAAGGGGAATGGTTATACTCAGGAGAGTTCGCTGAACACAAATAACACAAATATTGGTGTTGTAAAACGTATCACAATGATATCATCAGTGAAAGTGCCGTTCTGTGTGAAGAATGAAAACAAACAAACAAAAAAAAACCTTCACTTTCAATAACAATTTCATGGAAAGTGACAGGGTTGAATATAGTGCTAGCAAATTAAATTCTCTGGACTTTTGGCCTGGGTTGTGAGGCAGGTCCCTCAAATCGCAATTAAAGTACCTCTATAGGCAACCAGACCACTTCAGCTCAATAAAGTGGTCTGGGTGTCAAGTCCACCTAGGATTAACCCTGCCTGCTGTAAACATAGCAGTTTCAGAGAAACTGCTATGTTTACTTTAGGGTTAATCCAGCCTCTAGTGTGTCTCATTGACAGCCGCTAGAGGTGCTTCTGCACTTCTCACTGTGATTTTTACAGTGAGAAGACGCCAGTGTCCATAGGAAAGCATTGAGAATGCTTTCCTTTGGACTGGCTGAATGCACGCGCGGCTCTTATGGAACATGTGCATTCAGTCTATGATGGCCAAAGGAGGAGGAGAGTTCCAAGCGCCGAGAAAGCCCGGTGCTGGAGAAAGGTGAGTTTTTAACCCACTTCCTCTCCATTCAGCCCGGCGGGAGTGGGACCCTGAGGGTGGGGGCACCCTCAGGGCACTATAGTGGTCCTTTAATAAAATTACTTAATTTTTTAAAAATATTACATTTAAATATATACACACATACCGTAAATACTCGAGTATAAGTCGAGTTTTTCAGCACATTTTTTGTGCTGAAAAACCCCCACTCGACTTATACTCGAGTCAATGTATGTATTTTGGCAACTTACATTGCCATAATACAGACCAGGACCGCCGGGCTTGTAATGAGCCCTGTTGGGGGCTGGCAGAGAGCTGTAACTTGCCTTCCTGCAGCTCCGGTCAGCTCCCTTCTCTCTCCTGCATTCCGGTCAGCTCCCTTCTCTCTCCTGCGTTCCGGTCAGCTCCCTTCTCCTCCACTGTAAATCTCGCGAGAGCCGCGGGGTCAGAGTGTTGCCACGGGTTAACATGGCAACGCTCCGCGCGGCAGTCAGACCGCGAGACTTACAGTGGAGGAGAAGGGAGCTGACCGGAACGCAGGAGAGAGAAGGGAGCTGACAGGAGCTGCAGGAAAGGTAAGTTACAGCTCGCTGCCAGCCCCCCTCCTACACAGCCCATCCACTGTACCACCAGGGAATGAGAGCCCCCCTCCCTGGCCAGCTAACAAGCAGGGAGGGGGGGATGAAAAAAATATATAAATAAAAAATTAAATATAAAAAAAAAAAAAAATATGAATATAAATAAAAAAAAATAATAATAATAATTAAAAAAAATAATAAAAATGCCCACCGCCCCACCAAGGCTCTGCATTCACACACACACACTGCATTCATTATATACACACACACTGTAAATATTCAATTAATATAATTTTTTTGGGGGGGGATCTAATTTTATTTAGAAATTTACCAGTAGCTGCTGCATTTCCCACCCTAGTCTTATACTCGAGTAAATAAGTTTTCCCAGTTTTTTGGGGAAAAATTAGGGGTCTCGACTTATACTCTAGTATATACGGTATTTATATATTTGACGTCTACGTGTATATTTCTGACATTTTGTGATTATGTATATTTCAGATTTGTATTAATTTATATATACATATATATTTATAATTTCATTCATACGTTAATATCAAAATACAGTTCGAATAAAACATTTCAATTTTTTTTATTATTTTTACATTTAATATTTCTTTATTTACATTTAAGAATATATATACACACACACACGTGTAATTTAATTATAAGTGTTTTTTTTATTAATATATATATTTATATAAAAATACATTTAGTATGAATATATATGGACGGCTATTGCGGCAATGTGACCGCTCTTTCAGGCCTAATTTGCCGAGGCAGGACTGTATGGGCTGTCAGGCAGTCCCCCTAGACCGGGAGCAACACAGATTGCCGGCAGGGGAACGGGTAAGTAATAAGGTACGAACGTGGTCCTTAAGGACCGCTTTTACATACACATATACACACACACACACACACATATATATACACACACATTTTATCCCCCAGTTTGTAATCTACTCTATAACATGGTTTGTATATTATGTGTCTTATGTCTAGAAATTCTGCCTGTACAATACAAAACATACAGTTTTATCTTTTGGTCCATTTTTTATGGCAGAATTCACCCAACCTTTTTGATAGTTGTTCCTTTTAAAGGCAGATGCATAAACAAAATTTACATTTTACATGCTCATATTTCAATCGGTCCTTTTAGCTTGCACTCGTGGCGTTCTAAACATTCTGAGGAAATTGCTGCCCAAATGAAAATTGACAAACTTCCTGTGTGTATTCTTTCTGTGATCATATGCCTTCCACTGGGTAATGTATCTGCTGTATTCAGACAAGAGCGTATGGTTTCCAAGCACAACACCTTGTAAGACGACGATGTGTTGGAGTACATTTATTTATGGCAAGTAAAACCTATTAATAGACCAACTATGATTTAAATACCTGAACTAGCAAATCCCTGATAAGTTCCCTAGATACATAGGAATGGCTTATTTCAGTGCCAACATTGCAGCATTAAAATGGTGCAGAGAAGACAATAAATAAGAAACATGGTGACAACAATACAGAACTCATTATGTAGAAGCCCAGAGGAAAGGATTGGAAATGCATCAGATTGTAGGTAAAACAAAGAGCCGAAAGGTCATCCTAGGTTCCATTTAAGCAATGCATTGGAAAATGTTCATTGAACAGTGGATTGTGAATAATAAAATATTCTGTTATTCAAATATATAAACAACCTGGATATTTTGGCAGTCATTTCTGAGGTTCACCAGCCCAAGTGTGCTTAAAATATTGAGTGTAAGATGAGCAATGTAGAATATAAAAAAAAAAAAAACACACAGAACTACACACTCAGTGGTCAATCTACCTTGACACACAACAGCACTCAACTGTTGAACTCAAACCACCCACTGAAGAAAGTCCTCATATTGTATGTCACCAGCCTGCAAATCTGTCCTGACTTTCCATAGAAGAAGCGGCATGGAGACCCACAAGAAATACAAGTTTGATATCCCTCTACCAAGAACTGAAATCACCAAAGCCACGAGTGACTTTCTCCTTTTTGCTGGTAGATGCAGCTGTATCATCTTCAGCAGAACGTTTCCTGCAGAGGGCAAAATTTAAAATAATGGTTACTTGGAGAAAATTGATTTAGAATTCTAAAACAAAAGAAAACAACAAATGAAGTAGAAAAGAATGGGGGAGTGTGGGGGAGGGAGAATAAAAAAATTCACCATGGACCTCGAAGGTCTCTACCTGTTGATTCCATTGACTTTGTAATTTTTACAAATTGAGGGAAAAAAACAAAAAACTATAATCAAGTAGAACATTGTGGGGGCTTGGCAAAAGCCCCTGGATAAGTTCCCTCTGTATATTTGAGATCCGATTAGTTACTAACCAAAGGAGAAGCCTTTGTGTTTTTTCCCCCAACCTGTAATGTTTTCTTACAATATGCATTGCCCTTGTATGTGTTTTCATTGAGATATGCAGATTATACAGGTTATATCTGTTAAGCCAGGAGAGAATGTAATGACGCTTGTGCCATTAAAGTCTTTAATACGTGATTACAAGTCTGTTACCAGAAGTCTTCAGCAGGTGTTTAACAGTTACGCTAACAGTGCCAGTTATCATAAAAGATTATGGTTTCAGTCACCCTCCCGGGGATCATGACCACAGCTGGGAATCTTCTTGTATGAGTAGCTAGGGTTACAGCAGCAAAAGCAAGCAAGTCCTGGAGAAGCACAATCGTTTCGATAATGTGTATAACACTACTTAGTGTAAAAGGTAAAACGAAAAAAAAAAAAAACACAACATGACCCTTTACACTTGTTACAAAAGGCAGAAGAACTGGTATTTTAGCAAGAGAGTATGAACAATAAATGCAGCAATATCCAAACTGCCCCTGGAACATAAATTAAAGATCAGGACTACCATCTTCAGACTCATAGGTCAAATCATCCTCCCAGCAAAAATCAATGAACTTTGCTCTGTAACATCTACTTTAATAACCATTTGGCTTTTGTAAGGGTTTAGAAGGGAACAAGTCATGCAGCACCTGGTTTAAAAAGCTGAAGTTTTAGGAATTCCCCTCAGGACAGTGCACTAGACCACATGGTTTTATACCATAAATTATTTACGTTGCATATGTGGATTGAATTAAACAGTGCACAAAATACCTGAACTGCTAAGAAGGGAGGCTAATTGTACAATGGATCCCCAGTTATTGCAGGAAAACAGCTCCCATGGAGCTCAGGCAGCCTTTAGGAGTAGTATTTCAACTGCTGGGCGGTTCTACCATCCAGTTTACACCGTTTCTAAAATGGCCACACCACTGTAAGTTCTGTTTGTGAAAACAGAAAGCAAGACTTAAAGAAAATGGTAACTCCCGTTTCCAGACTTCAAACCAATAGGAGTTGAATACATTTTCCATGCTGTGAGGTCTGCAGGTGCCTTAGAATTCCTATGTTCCACACAGTGTCAAAGAGATGCACAAAACTAACCCACTGGAAAATGATATCTCCGTGAAGGTTATTATTGATTGTCACGGTCCATTATTCTCAAAAAGCACTGACAAAGCTTCAGTTTTATCCACCAGGAAGGTACACACTTTAAAAATGAACACACATCTAAAACTGCTACAGGTCCTTAAAATGACAGCAGATATAACCTTGCTTTTAGATTTAAATCGTGCTACTAGATCTCCAAGTGTAAGCCGTTTATAGAGGTCTAAAACCAGATCAGAGGTAAACAATTTCCTGCCTCGGGTCTCCGCAAATATACGAGTATTACAGGAAAAGAAATAAACTAGTATTGGAAAATTACATGCCTGGTAATCGGATATTGAAGACATTAACATCAGACAATGCCACCATCTGGCTGTACTTACATTGCTACCATGTTAATGTATTTCCCAATGCCCTCTCGGTACGTTTTGGGCGGCTGGTTCTGCTCCTTTTTTGGCAATACAGCCTTTGCCTTGATTTGTGCTTCTTCCTCTTCTTTCTTGGCCTTCTCACGCTCTGAAGCCACCTAACATCATTGGAAGAGGAGAAGTTAGAAGGCAATCAACCATAATCACGTAGAGCTGGTCTGAATTGTGACTATGTTTTCACTGTACATAAATCAGCTTAAACACATTATACCTGTCTTAGCATAAAAAATAAAAATAAAAAAATAAATAAATAAAAAAACAACAAAAAAAAACCCAAAACATATTGAATTAGCCTGGTTGCAGTACCACAGGCTAAAATACCATTTGTATAATATACCTAATATAATAATGTCCACCCACCCAAGTGTGGTCATCTATCTATATAATTCTCTTATGTCAGCCATAGACCTGCACAACAACAACATAAACACCCCCCTCCCATCCCCCCCACACGAATGTTTACATACATAAAAGGGATCTATGTAAATACGAGATAATATTACCTGAATATCAGCCTCCTCATATGGATCCACAAACACTGTACAACTTTCGATCTTAATGTCTTCCTAAAAGACAAAAGAAGAGCAAACTAGAATATACTAAGTGTTTTAGAAATCTTGATTCTATAGAGAACCAGATCATATTAATCCGTTTAAAACAGATGATATAGGTTTTAATAATAATCTGGACTTTAAAGTGAGGAATGTTGTTCATTTTGGTATATGATCCTTAAACGGTAAGGGAATTTATGTCAATGGCTATTGAGCAATGATAGAGGAATTTAATTGTGCAAATAGAAAAAAAAGAAACACAGCTACAACATGCACCCTATGACACTTCAGGTATTTTTATGTATCAGAGCTTCTAAGTAATAAGAAATCAAACGTAATTACTTTTGTAGCCAAAACATTGCTTTATCAAAAATTGCTAATGTAAATATTTGGATAACAATTACCATTACTACTAAAACTGCTAACCTACTAAAAAGGTTAATTAATGCGTATCCCTAAGTAGTAATGGTACCTTAAAGGAGCAGGTTCCTGGTTTTATTTAAGTTTTCCTTTCTTTATGCCCATTGTATGGTTTCATTTCAGTAACGTTGTTATAGTGTCTGGAGACCCCTGATGCCTTCTTTTCATCATTAAACCCTTTTTAAAGTTTGCCATTTGTAGTTTATTAGTGTGATCCTCACGGGATCCTCTATAGATAGCAATGCTGTGTGCATGTGCAATAGTACGGCAGTGATGTCCGCACCGAGGAGGACCTGCAATTGGCAAGTAAATTCCCCTTTTATCTGTCCTCCTCAGCCACTGGACATCCAGAGGCGATGTCACTGTTGGGGAATGTTGAGAATTAGGTAAAGTCCCCAAACTGTGACAATGCCACTTTAACCTCCGACCACTTCCAAGGTCACACTCACCACAGAAGTGGTGCACCAAACCAGAACCCCTCCTCCCCACCCCTCCCCTTCACTTACAAAAAAACAAAAAACAAAAAAAAAAAGGTATATATTTATTTTATCAGTAAGCCAGTAAAGTGTAAATTTAAAAACCCACACACTGCCTGTTAGAAAACCAGACCTAATGTCATTTTTTTGTTTTATTGCCATGTGCAATTTTTTCTACCTTAGGTCGGTCTGTTTTGTGATCAGTGTCAATGTTCTCCATGGCTGTCAGGGTCTCAAATCCACCAACCACTCTGCAAAAGGCAAATAAACATTGTGGGAAAAGGCAAGAAGATTCTGGTTAATACCATATCTGCCATTTATGACAAAATGTACTTACCTACCAAACACTGTGTGCTTCTTGTCTAGGTATGTACAAGAACGGAATGTAATGAAGCTACAATAAAAATAGAAGAAACAATTAAATTGAACTCCTTGGCTATGGAAAAAAGTAACAAAAGGTATACCAGTACCCAATTATAGCAAGATTTTCATAGAAATATATATATTCATTCTATCTGCATGTATACATGGATGAAAAAAATAAAAAAAAATAAAGATACTCTTGAGACTGGCTGGTTACTTACAACTGGGATTTGTTAGTATTAGGTCCACTGTTGGCCATACTAAGAACGCCTCTTCCTGTGTGAGACAAGTTTGGTTTGATTTCATCTTTAAAGGGCTTCCCCCAGAACGATTCACCTCCTGAATGAAGAAAGGACAAATGAGGAATGGGAGTGAGGAAAATGGATTCAGTGTAAATCACATTAGCTATAACAGTTTTATGGTTATAAAAATAAAAAAACAAACAAAAGAAAAAAAGACCACACACGCATACATAGAGCATAATGTTTAAAAGGGACACTTCAGACTGGAGCTAACCCATTAATTTAACACTGCCACAGTAAAAAAATACCTGCAAAAACATTTAGTGATGACATTTTGAAAGTGTATGCAAGGACAATCAAGTAGCTGCCTTATATCAAGTTATCAGAATGACCTAAGCATGCATAGATTGAATAACTTTTCTTCTTTCTTCCACGGGGCCTTGGTACACTAGACGACTCCGAGTGAGCAGAGGTCTTAGAACAGGACTGAGACTTTCCAAAGTTCTGAAAGCAACCCAGAGAGCCTTCTAGTCATGTGGAAGACAGGCACTCATACCAATCATTAAGAAGATAACAGCATCCAAACATGTGCCAAAAATAACATTGCCCTGGATGAAGTCAGCCAACTAGGACTTCAGTCACAAAGTCCATGTGGCAACTGGGCTCAAGACAACCAACTTGGCATTAAGACAAGCAACTACAACTGAGGCATCACAAAGGAAGCTATTTGTTAGCTTTAGCAATAGGACACAAAACAGGTCATCATCTGACATTGTGTTTTTGGCCTCAATGAAGACCAAATTGCACCACAAGTACTACCACAGGTACTACAGATGGCAAAGGCCAAAAATAATAGGCAATACTTATCTCATAATATAAAGCCCAGCTCACTCTATCAGACAACTTCCCCTATTATTGGGGCAATCAGATTGTGCCATTAACCTTTACAGAAAATGTGTGCTGGCAAGCTGCATTAAATCCAGTACGATAATGGCCTGTTCATGCTAGACATAGGGGTTATATATAAAGAAAAATTGTGCTGCAACATTCTAAAAGTGAAGCAATCAGCAGTAACATTCTGTTGGTTTTCACAGTGATTGCTCTACTGTGAGAACTTTGGCCCTAGATTTACTTGTCACAGCAAATGTAATTCCTGATAATCCAAGCTTGACAGACTTTAGAGAGAGTTGTAAGAACTACACTACAGTTGTGCTAAACCACAGGGAAAAAAGATACAGATACAGAGTACATACATTTTCCTCTAACAGTATATATTTATATATTTTATTTTCCAAGTAAGCAGTGTAATTGCTGCAGCTTACCTGTTCCAGTCCCAGTTGGGTCCCCTCCTTGGATCTAAAAGCACCAAAATAATTATGATCACTAGACAGTTTCAAAACTAGGCAACAGGTCTTCCAGTAGCCAATCACACACTACTCTAGAGTGTGAAACTATGACACCAAAATCTAACATTGCTGATACTTACCATGAAGTTACGGATGGAACGGTGAAAAATAGTACCGTCGTAGTAATTCTTTTTACAGAGTTTGATAAAGTTCTCACAGGTTTTTGGTATCTGGGAACAAACATTACATTATTAATCATACGGAAAGTAGCACAATACTTAGAAGGGGACATGTGGATAGCTTCAGGTAGGAACTAAAAAGTAGAATATGAATTTTATTAATCACTGGAATAGCCTTAGAAGTGTTTTAAGAATAGCTTAGAAACCGGGAGTGAAATTCTACTCACAGGGGCTATATCTTCACTTGGCAATGGCTAGTGGAAATTTTTAGATATTTGTGGTCGGGGACCAAAGCATGGAGCAAGTAAGGTTTGAGGCATAATATTAAAGGCAAGCCCACCTGCCGAAATAATTATTAAAGGAAGTGGTGGGAGAGGTCCCAAGCGCAAGCAGAATGTTTTAAGGTAGTAGCATAAAACTTGCACTGTTACCAGAGAAACAAAGAAAATGGAAGGAATCTAACAGAATATTTCTTTGGCTTATAAATCAGGATTCATTTAACGGTCAGAGATCCAGATTAATAGTTTACTATTGAGCCACTTATCTTTATACCCTATTGTGCATTTATATGTACACAAAACATGTATTTTTTAGAACAATAGACAGTGTTTTATTAACTAATAATAATACAGTCGCTCTATAGAATCATCCACAGACTCAGGGGCTGAGTACAGTCTGTACTGAGGGGATGTGAGTAGGGCGCTGAGTGGAGTCTGACTGGGAGGGGGGCAGTGAGTGGGTGTTGTAATGGGATGAGTGAGGGGCAGTGAGGGGGCGCAGAGTGCACTCTGACTTGGTGGGGGAGGCTATGAGTGAAGGGCCAGGATACAGATGGATGAAGACAGTGACAGAATGAGCCTGTACTCTCTCTGTTGGCACTATATAACAGGAGATGCCAGTCTTATTCACACACACACCTTGCTAAGACACTGTGCCCCATGCCAGGGGAGCAACCTCATTAACACATCTTACTAAACACACCGTGCCTCACAGGCTATGGGGTGACATCTTGTTATGCTAATTTTTAGGAAAGTGTTCCCTCATGCCAGGGGATGACAATCCAAATCGTACAGTTTACTGAACACACATCTTATTTATATATTGTGCCCCCATGCCAAGGGATGCAGTCTCATTTACACAGCTTATTAACATACTGTACCACTATGCCAAGGAATGCCACTCATTTACTCACCTTGTGTACTGTGCCCCCCAATGTTAGTCTCATTCACACACCTTACATACTTAGCCCCCAATGCCAGTCTCATTCACACGCTTTACAAGCATACTGTACCCTGGGCATACCAATCCCATTTAGTCGCTAACAAGCGGTGCCCTATGCCAGGCTATGAAGTTTTAATCACACAACATACTAAACTGCACACTCATTGACAATTATATCAGTCTGTTGCCCACGCACAGTTCATTCCCTGTCAGTCTATGTTACACTCAATCTATTCTCACAGACTTCCCCTCTTCACTTACACTGCCTGCCAGTCATACTCTGTCACCAGGGCCGGACTGGGGATACGAAGCAGCCCTGGGGAAAAAAAATAAAAATCTATGCCAGCCCCATAAGTCATTGTGCTATGTAGGAGATTATATAGATATATATATATATACACACACGCACACGAAATAGTTGGCTACACTCTTGAATTTCCTTAAAACTTAACTTTTACTGAAATATTTAAGAGAAGATCAACGTTTCAATCCCTCTTTTGGAATTGCATCAGGATCATGATGAAAGTCCACAAGAAGGACTGAAACGTTGATCTTTTCTTAAATATTTCAATAAAAGTTACATTTTAAGGAAATCTGAGAGTGCAGCCAACTATTTCAATTGCCTGGATACTGGAGCCCTGGTGATGCACCCGGTCACACAACTTTGAAGCCTGAGTGCAAGGTACAATAGAGTGTATATATTTTATTGATACATTTCTTCTTCTAATTCAAAATATTAGTTCTTTCAGGGTAATTAAATTATACAGTAAAGCATACTCACACACAGACAATCTTACTGATGCACACAAATAGGCTCATTGACAGACAATCTCAATGACACACACACACAGACAAGGTTACTGGCGCACACACAAATTTAGCACAGACAAACTGATACACACACAAGCTCACTACAGACAAGCTCACTGATGTGCACACACTCGTGTTCCCTACAGAAGAGCTCACTAACACACATATGGTCACTACAGAGAAGCTCATGATCACACTCATGCTTACGACAGACAAGCTCACTGTACACACATGCTCACCAAAGACAGGCTCTGACATACCCATGCTCCTTACAGACAAGCTCACTAACACGCACATTTAATCCCTACAGACAAGCTTACTGTCACACATACAAGCCCACTCACTAGCAGGCACACATACACAAACTCACTATCAGGCGCGCACACACACACAGAGGCTCCCTTACTAGCAGATGTGCACGCACAAAGACATCCACACACACACACAGAGTCACACACACACAGTCAGAGGCAGGCAGTCACACTGACCTACTTCTCACAGGCAGTCTCTCACACACACACACAGTCACAGGCAGACAGTCACACACTGACCTGCTTCTTACCTCCACATCCATTGGAGCTCCTGGAGGCTGGTTGTTGGGGAAGCAGGGACTCCTTCCTGCTTCCCATGCTGCAGTTACCAGGGCCCCTGCCGCATGCTAAGCTCCGCCCCGCCGCACACACGGCTCCACCCGCGCGTCAAATTTTTTATTTAATGATCCCGGCTGGCCATGTGTGAGCTGTGCCGGCCACCTGGCTCCCCCGGCTCACACATAGCCGGCCGGGATCACAGGAGCCTGCTCCTCACAGGTGCCGCGGCCCACCGGGAAATTTCCCAGTATCCCGGTGGGCCAGTTCAGCCCTGTCTGTCACTGCGCTGCTGTCAATAACACCCCACACACTATCCTCCTGTCTCACCTTTAAATGTCAATCACTCCATAAGTTTTTAAATTAAATATTGTAAATGTTAATTATAAAATGTTGCACCTGGGGGTGGGGTGGGGTGGGGGGAGGGGGGACAAGAGAAGAGGTGGATCTTTGGTGAGTTCCAACACTTTTTTCCCCCAGGACTTGACCCCTGAGTATTTAGTACACTGTACAGCACTGTGGAGGCAAACCTTGTCACAATAGAGTTCTAGATTGAGGTCGCCCTTGTTGGTGTGTATTCGAACATAGCCCTTCTTCTTCACATACTGATAACGCACAGTGTCTTCTGCAATGACAGCTGCAGGAGTTTGGGAAATAAAAATGGTTATTCCACTTACAAACCTTTTTTAAAAAGGGAACAATAGTTCTAGCATGTGATTAAAATATGACACAGTCGATTAGCACATAAACACAAACTTATGATATAGCAGTCATTTAACGACATACTATAAACAATGCTAGTTCATGGATTGATATGGAAGGTAACAAACAGTCAGTTACCCACAAATCTTTGTAGCATGAATAAAAACAAAACTAGCAGGCAATAATGAAATGAGTAATCTATTAAAAAGATCCAAACAAACAGTGATTCTATATTCTGTAAAAACAAAGGGCTGGTCTCAATGGACCAATGAGGTGAGGAGTCAAAGACAAAAATAAGAATTCGCACCACGGGCTTTTACCTAAAAATCACTGAATCAATCACACAGAATAGATGTGATTAGGCAGTGGTGTCTTTGCCCACCCTATGTGGACTTCTGAGCCCATATTAATATAATTGAGTACTTGACACAATTAACTTAAAGAAATTCCAATGTCAAGTGATATCTAAAACACGCAGCTTGTGACAATTCCTGTGGAAACCAACAATGCGACCAAACTTTCAATATTTCTATAAGTAGTAGCTCACAATGCAATACTTTAATGTGATTTTAGCCTCACTGACAAGATTAAGATAACTGCTTCATTATTATATTTTATATAGTACCAACATTTTCTGCAGTGCTTTAAATAGAATTGGGATATTTGACAACACGTGATTAGCACACAAAATAATATTGAGAGAGACAAGAGGGCGGCACATCTGCTTAAAGGGGTTACAGTCCAGGATTATTCTTGGAAAGCACACCAAAACGTCATCCAGACAACAGAAATATGACAGGAACAAAACTCCTTACCAGCTTCATGAGTAGTTTCAGGGGTCATGGCTGTGGATGTGAAGGAAGCGCTTACTGCTCCAGTAGAATAATGAGCCTATCGGAAAGATATAGGACATCAAGTTAGATTGGAACTACTTTCAAGAGGAATAATACTACACACTGAGGAGGCAGTGCAGACACTGTTATATTTAAGTATGATTTCTGTCAATGGAAAGTTCACCACACTGGCACATTAAAAAGGTTAAAAATAAATTTGCTAATTTCTTAACAGAAATAACATTTGAAAATGTAAACTTTTTTTTACAGGTGTTTCAGAATGGCGATCTAGGCAATACTTTAAAATAGGTGTGTCAAGTAAACACAATTTATTTTATTGTAAATCTACCTGATCGGACTACAAAACAAAATAAAATATAAGTTTGAAATCCTGATCCCTGCATGTTGATAAAGTACTAGGGTGAACGTGAAACGTATCAGGTGTTCTTCTGGGTTGTATACCTAACCTTCATCACCTTCCTCTCCCACTCGCGTTCTTATAGGTGCAGGAATCTGTGATTAAGATTTTTCTTTTTGTAGTATCTACAATATAGACTATCTGGATCCCATGTCACGTATGAAGTCTGTTTATATTGTCTTTAGTAGTACCATGTTGCACATTGCACAAATAAATTAAGTACATTTAAGGATCCACCTTGCTAGCATTGTTTGGTTTTCTGACAGTGTTGTCTATTTGGGAATTTGGATGATGATTTAATATGAAACAATGGGAACACCACACATTTTGTGTTTTTTTTTTATTTTTATACATTATACATTGTGCTGACAAAGTTGCTAGAAAATGTATTGATTGGGACAAAAACCTATTTAAAAATAGGACCCTATCCCACCTATCAAACAATTCTTCAACATGGATGTCTGTGCCAAAGACTGACTGATAGGGAGAGCAGAACACATCTGCTCTCTGGCATAGTTGACATAGTGCATGCTAAAAGTACTGCCTGTGTGACTATAGAATGGAGTCCCTCATTTCATTCTGTGCAGTCTCCGGAGCACTGGAAATAAAGCCATCATGGAGGTGGACTGCCCTACTTTGGGAGGTGTCCCAAAGCAGCACCAATCCTTTTACAATGTCAGCAGAATAAAGTTATGAGTGGGAATGGCTGTAACGTGCACATAGTGGTGGCGGTAAAAGTTTGACAAACCATATGTTCAGTGTCCATTGAGGGAGCCTGTTAAAACAAACTTATTATGACAGTTTTGCTATAAGCTAAAAACTATGCTAATGGTGGTACATTTAAAAAGATTACCTGTATTATACTCTGGGTCTGTGATTTTCTAAAACATACCTATAACTTAATACCTCTTCAGTGCATTTGCTGGCTTACTTTTGCTCTCAAAAGGTATTCATATTTAAGTCCTCCTGTTCAAAAATCTCAAAGTAGGGCTTCTGACCAAAGAGAGCAAACATGGCAGCCCTCATGGAGCAAGGTTAAGCTAGGCGATGCATTAACAAGTTATTAACATATAGATTTGTTAGAAACAAATACAAAGCAAGGTATATTACAATATAAAACGTTTTCGCCTTCGTATTTATAAGAAATTATGACAATTTTCAGATTATAAGTCTCTGGACAGGAGTAGCAAAGGTTGGAACAGGTTGGCTGAAACGGACAAAAAACTAGTAGATAGATATCAGGACCACTCACTGCATTAAGTTTATCAGTTTGTTTTTTCTCAGTCCCCTTCATCGTTGCAGCCAACATTTCATCTCCTTTATAGTCCTTATAAAGCTCGCTCAGTGTCTCCCGAGTCTCCATGTTGGCATTTTTTAGGTAGTAGGATGGGTTCTGACGAGCTTTCTCTTCCTCTAAAACATTAACCGTGTTAGAGCACCTAATAAATACATTACATTCTAATCTTCCACTGCATGTTAACATGCATCCCCACAACATTTTAATAAGATTTTCATACTCTGTATATGGTCTTACATTATATTGCCAAATTAATATCAAAAGGAGGGCACTCAAAGGCAAAAGGCCATAAACTGCACACACGTACAAATAAATGGTAAGACATTAAATATAACATGTACAGTATATATAAATAATTACAATTGGTGTTTATAATTAATTCTAGATACAACTATCCAGGATCCATATATGCAATGTATGCTAACCAAAGACAGACAAAAACACATATCTACAACTCTTAAAGTGCAAAGGAGAAATACACAGCTGAGAAAAAAAAAAAAACATTTCAGAAAAGATTTTAAAGGACAAACACATAAGGAGAACAAAAGGCAATGCTTTAAATGAAATGCATTCTTAAAAGATTAACACAAATGGAAAAACCCCAGCTCGGGTGGTAGAAAAGTCCAGGAAAAATACCCATAATTATAAATAAGAAATAACAATTTTTTAAAAAAATTTCAGGGTAATGTGGTAACCCAACCCCTTTACTTTCCCTAGCCTTCGTTAAAATGCAACATAACAGAATCCCCATTTTAAGGTGAACCTGTCATGATATAGGTTTGCAGTTTTCTAACCATCTGGTGTGGCTCATGTTACCCAATTAAGGGTCTCTTCCCTTAATACCATTTCCTTTATGTCAAAGGCAAGCAGGAAAAATGTCTAGAGGAGGACTTTTCCCTAAAGACAGACATGCTTTCTATTATTCCTGTGCCAAATGGCACAGACTGAATTGACGGACAGTAGGAGGTGGGAAAGTTTCTTTTTTTTTCTATTTGATTTTAGAGAAATCTAGACATTTGCTAGAAATTCTGTTAGCACAATATACAGATGAAATTTCATTCTAGATCATCATTTAAGATTACCTTGTATTTGTCATGACAGGTACCATTTAAGAGTTTTGAAATATGTGTTATCGCAACACAGTTGTGTAGAACAATGAAAACAGTAAATTTAATGAGATACCAGCCAATGTCTAAACTAGGCTGTTGCTATATCCATCCACAGTAAACCAACAAGCACATACTACCCAATGCACACAGTTTGCATAATATGGTAAAACCGAACATTACTCAGTAGGCTTCTGCAACAACATGTGCAGAGCAGGGAAAATAAATCTCGACCAAAGATTTCCCAACGATTTATTAACCGTGTGGATCTCCAGGTACTCGTTACAAACCAGATAAAGAATTCCAAACTGTATATAAAATGGAGGTTTGTAAAAACAAACAAAAAAAAAAACCCCAATTGATTAGTTTTATTTATTACAATTACACATTATTATCTAACTAATCACATATATACTGCTTACAACCATTGCCTAGAGAAAAGAACACAAATCTGCCCTTTTGTCACAGGACCTATAATGCTAGCTCCTTCCGTAGGCAGACTGGAGCAAGGGAAGAGTTTATCCATGTGTTTTTACATAAAAACCATTTAAAAATGAAGCAACTGCAACAGTAAAGTATTTTTTTTGGAACTCCAGTCTCAAATGAAATCAGACTTTCCCAAGTTACATAATCGTGGGGAGTCTAGAACAAATTGTGACTAGAATTTCAAAGGATACTATATATCCCATAGAAACCAATAGATTGCTACAGATTTTGTACCACCTGTCATACAGATATAACAAGGATTTATAAGCCTGAGAGAGTCGCCACAAATTTATGGTTTTTGGTTTTCTTCAACTCCGTTTTCTAAAAATGAACTTCATTTCACCTCTACCTTATAGTATCATTAAACAACAGGCATCTGTGTTGCATTATAATTCCGAATTTTAGTTAAAGGACCACTATAGTGCCAGGAAAACACTCGTTTTCCTGGCACTATAGTGCCCTGAGGGTGCCCCCACGCTCAGGGACCACCTCCCGCCAGGCTCTAGGGGGAGGAAGGGGTTAAACTTACCTCTTTATCCAGCACAGGGCGGGGAGCTCTCCTCCTCCTCCTCTCCAGCTGAATGCGCATGCACAGTAGGAGCAGCGCGCGCATTCAGCCAGTCCATAGGAAAGCATTCACAATGCTTTCCTATGGACGCTGGCGTCTTCTCACTGTGAAAATCAATGAGACAGCCACTAGAGGCTGGATTAACACATTTATAAACATAGCAGTTTCTCTGAAACCGCTATGTTCATAGAAAAAAAGGTTAAAGGACCACTATAGTGCCAGGAAAACATACTCATTTTCCTGGCACTATAGTGCCCTGAGGGTGCCGCCACCCTCAGGGTCCCCCTCCCGCCCGGCTCTGGGGAGAGGAAGCGGTTAAAACCTACCTTTTTTCCAGCGCCGGGCGGGGAGCTCTCTTCCTCCTCTCCGCCTCCGATCCTCCCTTTTCGGCTGAATGCGCGCGCATTCAGCCTGTCTCCTAGGAAATCATTCATAATGCTTTCCTATGGACGCTTGCGTGAATCACGCAAGCGCCTCTAGCAGCTGTCAATGAGACAGCCACTAGAGGATTTGGAGGCTGGATTAACCCTAACATAAACATAGCAGTTTCTCTGAAACTGTTATGTTTATTTAAAAAAAAAAAAAAAAAGGGTTAACCCTAGCTGGCATTAAGCTGAAGTGGTCTGGGTGCCTAGAGTGGTCCTTTAATGATCCATAGTTCTCGTTTGATACGATCAATATGCCCGACATTACTAGACTTTGGATGCCACAGATAAGCAAGTAACTAAATAGATTGCCACAAGGAGTGTTGTCTGCTGGGCTATTTACAATATGATATACAGCCTGCTTTACTCCTAATTGCAACAAGTGTTATAGATATTAGGTAATAGGAGTTGGTGATGTGACAAGGGGAAACCAACATCAGGAAAGCTCCACTATATAAGAAATGAGGAAGGGAGGCCCTACCTTTAATCAATCTAAGGTAAAAAGGGATATGCAAACAAAAAGTATAACTTGAAAAAAAGGGAGATTGATTAAAGGTAGGGCCTCCTTTCCTCATTTCTTATACAGTGGAGCTCTCCTGATGTTGGTTTCCCCTTGTGGGACTCTACACATCACCCCCTCATTGGAGCTCCCTATTAGGTGGATACAGTGGTGCAGCTCATGTGCCCTTGACATGTATCCGGACTCCTGACCTGCACTCTGTTTACTTTATTTCTCCATTTTGTGTTATAGATATTAGAATATTTGTGCCTGTCCCAGGTTAAGAACATACTGCATTATTTAAGTTTCCTCAGTTTTTCATATTGCATGTTTAATGTTTAACCCTGTAAGGACCAAACTTCTGGAATAAAAAGGGAATCATGACATGTCACATGTCGTGTCCTTAAGGGGTTAAAAACAAAATGCAAGAAAAAGAAAGTATAAAACATTTTAAATATTTAATTTGGAGTGCTATATTAGTTAATAAATAAAGTGTTCCATTTTGCACCTCCCAACTCTTTTTTGGTCATCATTCTTTTAAAAAAAAAAAAAAAGAAAAAAAAAAAGGGGTATATTGAATAAATGATGGTGCCCAAAGAAAGATGTTGAATGATAACCTTATATTTTCTCTTACCAGCTAGACATTCTATGTTCACTTTTTATTGTACATACTGCTATGTAAAGTCGGCTGCTCAGTGGTCTCCAAGTGCGTGCCAACAGTTCATGTAAAAGTATGCTCATAAAACATCACGTCTTTTACACAAGATGGAAGAACGTGTAAAATTAAACATCCACCCAGCCCCAAAAGAATTTAAAGCCAACTCACCAGGATCTACGACCTTCAGGTTATTCTTTACATGGAAGAAATTGGAAACATTGAATTTGTCCAAATTGGTTGGATCCTGTGGGGGTCAGAGAATCAAATATTGCCCATGATTGGTTTGAAGAATTTTTGCCTCCAACATACTGAAAGGGACTTTGTGGTGTGCTAACATTTACCTGGATGCTGTCAAGTGAAAAACATGCAGAAATTTTTTGTGAACACAATTATCATAAACAAAATATAAAGCAACTCTTCATTCTGCACAACATGTCCTTTAAAATAAATGGCAATCCAGAGAGTGCCCATAACCAGCATCTCTCACGTGTTGGTTTAACAAAGTCCTACGCTTTAAAGACTATGCACAGCACCTGTGTAGAAATCCCTACTATTGCAACAAAATGTCAATTCAAAGTAAATTTCAAATGTAAAGTCACAAAAGCCAAATTGTGATGATTTTCCATGTCAGCTATGCATTTAGTTTGGCTACTGTCCTAAAATTTGTATGTATTTGGACAGCACCAGAGTAAAGAATGAATAGCAATTCTTATTGCATCAGGTTGTTTCTTTGGATTATTTAGCACCCACCCTCAAAGTGTGATGGTGGGGAATAGAGATGTTTGGGGCACACCCAGGATTGACATTTATTGTAAAGGACATTTAATGATTTCCTTCAACATGACGAGTTGCATTGGATTTTGTTTAGGATATCGGTGTTCACAAATTACAGCAGCACAAAATAAAACTGTATGGGTCTTTACGTTACAAGATCTTGGCAAATACAAATTCCTGCATGATTTGTGCAGAAACCCATCCAAATTGATCAAATTTCCTCTTTTAAATGTAATCTCTGCTGACTAAAGCAGACTAAACTACAAATTCCCTTCCCAGACTAGGAATCAAACTCCATTTACCTTGAATCTGAGATAGGTTACAATTACATTCTGCAAAGTATATTATTTTGTCTATCATACATCACACCATGATGAGCAATTCAACAATTCAAAAGGAATGTGGTTGTGCTGGCCATACATGTTATATATGAATAATGTATGGGGTGTGCTACCAAATTATTTACCGCTTTCACATCATTTTAATTTTAACGCTTTATAAAATGTAGCTGAGCAGATAAAGTATCATCTAGAATTGAATGCTGTAACACCCTGTGTAGCATTATTTTTGGTTGTAATGCCCAAGGCAAATCTTAATTTAATTATTATAGGATGATGTCTTTTAAGTGCTAATGTGGATGTGAGTTCCAACAGTTATACTCTGCCACTTGGCTCAATTGCTAGGTGTGCTATGTAATGAAGTGCAATACAATGGAGACCAAAAAAAAAAAAAGTTAACATATACAAAACCTCCACAATATTCATCACATATTCATTGCTCACTGTATTATTTTTTTTCTGAGCTACTATTCCATTTGACAGGTTGATGAAATTACTATTTCAGATCATAGACTCGTATGTCCACTGTCCTATCTATAAAACATTAAACTGTATTCACAGTAATCAAATTCATTTGCCTTCCTTGTGCAGATTTATCACACTTTCATGAAGCCTTCTGGCTGCAATCTCCAAAGTATTGTGGGCTCTGTGCCAGATACAAAGACCCAGAGGTAAGATAAGAGGTAAGTCATGCACTTGAGACTTTATAATTGGCATAGACATAAGAAAAACTTTATTGTTTAAAGAACTTTTATATCCTGAAAATGTAAACATTTTTACACCATTTAACCATACACAGCAACACAAGATACTTTTCATGAAAGTGGATCTGCTTGACAAGATAATTAACTTTTGCCATGACCCTTCAGTACAAAGTTTTCATCTTGGCTAGTGATCAAAGCTTCACGATTTGATTATTGAGGTGATCATATCTGTTGAACCAGTGTATTGTGTTACTATATTTAAAGGAGATATTTATTGATACATTATGCTTCAAGACAAGGGTCCTTTAAACATACCGGTAGTACCCCAGTTAGTAAACAAATAAAGTATCACCCTTTGTTTCTCATCTTAAACATGACAGTTCTTTAAAAAGAAAACCAGTCTACACTAGGTTACAACTGCTAAATTACCACAACAGCAATCTGGTACTTGGAAACCTATACCCAATCATTTCTAACCTTTACATTGCCATCCAAAAATGGGTTTCAATATCCATTTCAGAGGACCTGATTTGGTGGGAATAGGCACATTATATTGTTCCCAGGAAGTTATTTACTTTACCTTCTTAACTGTGCACTGGTGACCCCTTTAAAACTGGGAAGAGTAAAGTGTTTTTACATTAATCTATAACACTTGAATGATGGGTCACTAAATACATTTTCTAAAGGAAGAATGGGTCGCAAAGCCGATACATAATTTGAGCTGCGAAAAAAAAAAAAGTAAAAGTTTAAGCAAAGCTGGCTTACTCAGATATTGATTAATCTACACATTTGTCCTTGGCCAAACTCTATAGAGCAGACTAAATAAGGTACTTGATGCCATGGCTGACATTTGTCTTTAGAGTGTTACCATAAAACTGTTGGCTAAAAAAAATCTTGCCTTTCGCACAGGAATGCTGTTAAATGCATCATAAAATGGCATCATGTTATTACAGTACTGCTCCTACAAACAAATCTCTGCTTCTGTACTTATTAGGAAGAAACTGTAAAGGCTTTATTCCAAGCTCTCTCCTGGCTCAGTATTCCACCTAGCTCAGTATCGTGTATTTCAAGACAGAGAGGTGGTGGTTTATAATAACACAAGTATAGAGAGATTTAAAAAGTAGTTTATATTGTATTGATTATTGTCATTTTTCTAGGTAACTTCATTACATTTTGAAGAGTAGCACGTGCTTCCTAATGCCAGATTCTCTGACTCAGAAGTGAAAGATTATTAAGAAGAGTGAAGAGGCTGTCATGTTCCCAAAATACTGTATTGTGTATGTGAGCCATTAAAATATTCTTAACTGCAGCTGTGTGCATATCAATCTTTCCTTTACTAGAGCAGTGTCAGTTTAAGGCCTTTTAGGTTGCCACTTGTCACACATTATGCACAAGAGATGTATTACACCCTTCTCCATCGCAGAATGAGAAAGCGCACACACAAAAAATAAAGATGTTGCTGAAGGAGACCATAGAAAGGAATGAAATTAGGAAAGACGGAAATTACATTTTGTCATTTATTTCCACCAGGTCACTTGTGAAAAATAGCTTATAATACAGTGTTTCATGTTTATAACACGCTAACTTAATTTTGCAGGTAAATTGATGCTTAAAAGTGCCCAAAGGTGCATAGGGGTAGGGATCTGCCATGAGGCTACCTAGTCTACACAAATGGTGCTTTTAGGTCACTAGCGTAGCCCTAAGATCAGGGGTAGGGAACATTTTGGTAGTACAGCGCCAAAACAAGATCTTGAAGTCCCTTGGCGTGTCAGTCCAATTTTTTTTTTTATTTTTTTTTTTTATAATTGAGGTGTGTATGTTGCCATATTGTGTTTTATTTATGGGTGTTGCAGTTGTTTTGTAGCATTGTGTTTGTGCATATTTGGGCTGTTACATAGGTTCATGTATAGTTTGTGGTATCGTGTATGATACCTATGAATGTGGGTTGTGTATCGGGGCTGCTTGTGGAATTGTATTTCTTGATGGCATGTCATATTGCATGTTTGGTGGTGTGTGTATGTGAGGGACTGTTTGAGTGATTGTGTGCGTGTATGTGGATTGTCAGTGGTGTTGTGTTTGTGAGGACTGCTCTGTGTATGCCTAGAAGTGTTGATGGCTTTCCTGGGGTCCACTGGAGACCAGCTGGCCAGGTACAGGTCAAGGACTGGAGCGGCGATAGCAGCTCTGGGCTAATTTACTCCACCTAAGCTCAGCCCTGATGCAGACAGGACATACAAATATACGCAGGGTTATTCACCAAGTATTAAACGTGGTTCAGATTTGCAGAATTTGTAGTTCTCATTTTAAAAAGGCAAAGTTTCGTTAATGTTGGTTATTTCAAGAATGAACATAACATTTAGTACAGCATGGTGTCTGGTTTAAACAGCAATTCTGATTCTTGTATACAATGTAATAAAACATTCAAGGTTGTTTATTTCATGGCATTTTAGGAGCACCCTAGCATTAGGATCATAAAATGGTTGTGGTGCACTCTTTTTGTGGCAATGATACAACTTTCAAATGGTAAGGCAACGAAGCTTATGCATTAACAGAGCAGCAATAGAGGATCCAGCCTCTGTATGCCAGGGGACAGATTTTATTTTTAAGCCACTCAACAGTATGAAAGAATAGGAGGGCTGCACCATAACACAAAACATGGGTTTAATCCCAAAATCCTCTGTGCCTGAGAAAAATCTTATATAGTGTGCTTCTGAACAATTCCATAAAATGTGGAATCCTTGGCTGTCAAATTCTCAAGTAATGACTTGGGGAAAAACAAGCCTTGATCAATTCTTCCTTCTTTTCTTTCCCTTTTTAATATCTCTAATTTTATGATCTCATCGTAGTGAACCAAGTCTTCCTGTCCTCAACCATAACTACTTATTTCCTATTTTTTCCCCCACTTCTGTTATACATCTCCCCATGGATTTGCGAGTAAAATGGTTTAGACTTATAACAGAACCAGATTCAGTTATCAGTTATAGTTTTCTTTTCTCTCCCCCTTTTTTAAAACACAATTTGTTGTACTTGGTTTAGTATCTTTACTTTTCTAATGGGGACAATTGCCTTCCATATTGAAGGACCTAGACAGGACCCTACCTAATTGTATCAGATACTTAAAGCTTTTACGTTTTTATGTATTCTAGTAAAGAAGACCATATTACAATAATAGATCATTTAACAGTTGGCATGCTTCCCACACCGAACAAACCAGATTTGATGTATAAACTGATCAATCAACATCTTTTTGTTGATAAAACAGATAATGGAAAAAGAAGGGAAATATATATAAAACTATTGTGAAATGTTTAACTAGGTTTCATCTTATGTTGTAGTTTTCTATGCGATGTATGCAATGTTTTTCATGTTAATGATATATTAATAAGTTTAAATAAACCCCCCAAAAAAAACAAACAAAAAAAAAAGCAAAACAAAAAACCCACAACGGTGAATCCAGTAGTTTGATGTGAATTCTGATATCACATTAGAAAAGCTTTTATCCTATTCAATTTAAAAACAGATATCGGGTAATCATCTGACTCATGACAGAATCAAGACACTAAATTATATTGTTAAACAATCTTACTGTATTGGTATCTACCACATGTGTGTTGATGTAGATGCAACTCTACAAGGAGCAGTGATTTAATCTCTATAATAATTCACTTAGGGGAAGAAGATAACGGTGGCCATTGCAGTACAGAGGAGGGTATAAGCATTTGACAGCACATGCTTTATTAAAACAGAGATGGTAAATGCACAGAGACTGATGCATTTATTACATTGCAGAAGAGGACAGGGTTTTGTTGATCTGCATTACAATCATTCTGTATCTATACAATAACTCCTCCAGGGACATGAGTCAGATTGCTGATGAGACTTTGACCTCCATCTCAGATGACCTAACCACTACCATAAATCACTTCTGTAACATCTGATCAGAAATTGCAAGTGTTCTGCACATGTTCTGCACATTTGTGCTGCCATCTAGACAGCAGAAAATGGTTTTGATTGCAGCTTTGGAAAACCGACAGAAAGCAAGAAAAAATTAAATGTTAGTAATAATACTAACAAGCCAAGCTCCTCATGATTCGTGATTTTAAAACAATCTCCTGTGTGTGGGACATGTAATATACAACACCAGGATTATTATGTCCATAAATGTGTCAATTGCCATCAGTTTATTATAGTTGTACACTATTTGTCAGCACTGAATTTATAATTCTTCAAAAACTTCAGCCAGAGCCGAAAGCAGCAGGCAATGATAGCCAATTCAAATATAAATCCTAAGCTTTTTAGCCTGGCCATGTAATCTTTCTTTGCTTGTGATAAGGATTATCGACCAGGATAAGGAAATCCTCTGTACTTTATACTCCATTCATCCTAAAGCAGTCGAGTCTTCTTTAACCCCTAGTTCTTTCTGTCCTTCGCCTATCAAGTTCATCCACCCAACTGGTACTCCCGCCATCTTTCAAAGACTAGTTTGTTGGAACAAGACACAAAAGTAGCTTTCATTAATCAATTTATACATGGAAAGGAGAATTGTGTGTGGTGGACCTTGTCTTATGTTTCCTTTAACGTTTACCTAAAAGGGCTATTACTACCCCGTTTCAGTGCCTTCCCTTCTTCTGAACGTTATTGCGGAAAGCGCCCTCTCCCTGGCAGTAATTCATACACAAACTACCAAAAGGTCCCCAGCGGCACTTGGCCGCAAACCATATGGAACTCTAACTCTGCCACTTTGCCTTGCGGTTCTCGGTCACCTTGGTCCACTGTTTTGCCCTACTTTGCGACCTGCTTGAAGAGTACTATTTAGAGTGAAGGTACTACAAACAAAATGAAACAATCGCTCCTGGCGAGGCAGGGGGAGCCCCCTTTTGTGTGGCTTTAGGAGCTCCAGATATTTGACCGGCAAAGCTCTAATTGCGCTGGAACTCTTTTGGCCATAGGCCACGTGTGCGGCTGGCCAAAACTTTACCCCGGTGGTGATTTGTTATCTCTTCATGGATCTGAGTGCTATTTTGCCAACATGGGCGCTCAGATCAGAGCTATCTCGGAACGTATAATATGTGGGGTTCCTGTGTGTCTTTATTATGTTTTGGGGTGGGTTTTGTCTTAGGAACTCTGTATCCGGGAGATAATTAGTTTAGCGAACAGCAACTTCATTATCTCCTGGACACAAAAGGCACTGCATGTATTGAATAGAGATTCCCAGGCTGAGGGCCTGGACATAAAAGGATGCATTTGGCTCAAGTTGTCTAGTTACTGGGGGGGGAGGGGGGAGAGGGGGGGAGAGAGTTATAATTACTAACCAGCAGTACTTCTACCTATGAAGCGGAATCAGCGGAGATACACAGTCGGGATATTGGAGCTCTGCTACACTGTGGCAATGTTGAGGAACGCTCTGCTGTAAATAACCTTGCTATCTAAACTTTCCCATTCAATTCACCTACTATGGAGAAAATTCGTAACACAACCATCATTCTTGAAATATGTTACACCAATCAAAGTATTTAAACGTTAGTGAGAACATACAGCCAGTTAAGATTCTTTGTTGAGTGTGGTGAGCATTACAATGCAATTGTGATCATCTCAACCCAAACAACTATAACCACAAGTAATTAAAGGATTACCTGCAGAGTTATTATGTCCTGACGGGTGAATGGTTCATCAGTTAGTAGATCCTTATAATTCTTTGGTTTAATGTTCAGTTGTTCTACTGCCTGAATATGTATAAAAAAAAAACAAAAAACAAAAACAAAAAAAACAACACACACAAAAAAATGGTTTTAAATGCTGCACATATCCCCAGTAATATGAAAGAAGTTAATATAAACATTGGTAGGACACAGTGTTATAGGTATAATGAATGACAATTTATTTAGAATAGTACTGAATGGCAGGTAGTACCAGAATGGTATGAAAAAAAATAAACCGTGAAAAAAAATAGGATAGGATGCTTACAGGGAAGCTTGATAAACCGTGTATATTAGATAACCTAATGTATATCAATTGACAGACAAAAGGCCAAATGTACTGAAAAGTTTCCTTACTTCATATGAGAAAACATTGCCAGTCTTGCTCACAGCCACAATATGAGAGTTGTTGGTAAATACAGAGAACAGTATGGGACAATGATACTTGCCTGTAGAGAAGAAAGTGTAATTCATTATTATTGATTGCATCAATCTTATTCAATACCTAAGATAAGTACACACACAGCCATTAATACTACATAGAAAGTAAACTTTTTTAAATTAATTTTTTTAAAGTTAAAACAGGATAGTTTAACCAAAATTCTGTGATTTTTTTGGGTCGCAATTCGCTTTAAAATATAAAGGTAGATACATGTATTAAAGTAGTTTAAAAAGAGGCATATAAAGGAATTGTGCAGAATGTCAACATTTCAACCTTAATATGTTAATCTTAAAGATGCACTCTAAGCACCATAACCACTACAGATTGTAGAGGTTAAGACCTGCCCAAGGCACTGTCCACCAGTTCTGTGTGTAACGAGCGCTTACCTTTCCCCTCCGGTCCCGCGCAGTGCCGGGTCCTCCTCCGATACTTCCGGGGGGCGGCTCAGCTCTTCTGACGCCGGCCGCTCGGAACACGCCCACCTTTATGACGCGGCGCATGCGCGCCGACGTCAGCAAGAAAATGCCGCCAAAATTCAAACGTGGCCACGCTCCCGGACTTTTTGGGGGCGTGGCTACAAAATTAAAGCCAAAGAACCCACACTATAAAAGGGCTATCATGACACTTGTCAGATGCCCTAGTGTGGTTCTTGTTTAAAGTCCCCTGGTGCTATTATCTCTGTTTGTCCTTCTTGGTAATTGACCCTTGGCTATCTCTCCGACTATTCTGTTTTCCCGTTACTTGGCTTGGATAATAGTGTGCCCGTCTTCCGTATTCCCTTGACCTCTGGCTATTCCTTTGACTATTCTCAGACGCTAGTCCGGCCATTATAAGGTCCGGTAACCGTCTTTCTGTGGGTTTCACGCTGTGTGAAGGGGTCACTGTTGTGACACTGTGCATACTGCTATTGTGTGCATTATACTTCAGCATTAGTAATATCAATGATGTTCAAGACTGAATGGCATTCATTGGTTTAGCATGTTAGTGAAAGAATAAAAATTATTAATATCAATCCATCCCATCCTGGGATCAAGTAGCAATTACGCATCACTAAATGTCTAAAAGACAAAACAGTTATGTACAGTAACAAAAAACAGTATATGAGAACTCAGGACAAAAGCTTAGAGAATCACAGTAGCATTACAGAGAGAACCTATTCCATTACACATCAGGCTGATCCCACCAATTAGGTTAGTCTAGAACCGAAATGCCAGCAACTTAGGGCGATTGTTTTGGCCTTTTTGGGCTTGGTCAGCGAGGTGTCAGGGATTTACCAAAGGTAAAACCATTCTCAGGGTTTTCATATTCTCTGTTTTTTGTTGCAATGCATTAACTTGGCTCTCCCCCCAATCAAAAGGGTAATCCAGATGTGGACCCCATGGTCACTGAATATAGGGATATCAGCTACACCACTCTGATGAGGCCCAAAGAAAGCCACAACAATTTTCTGGAATTGCTGTATCTCTCGTGCAGAGAGAACTTGCCAGCATTTCGGTTCTGGACTGCCCTTTTGGGTGAGATCAGTCTGATATGCCTTGGATTAGGTTCTCTCTGTAATGGCACAAGTGAGCAATAACTATTTTGAGACCTGAGCAGACATTTACTGAAGGGCAAGCTACTGAATTCCTCTAAGCTTTTGTATGTTCTCAGTTTACATATTCTCTGTTTTTGTAGTTATGTAAAGTAACCAACCGCTGAGGAGTTGAGATCAAAACAAGATTTAAACAGGTTCTGCTGAAGGACCTTTGTGTTTTTAATCCCTGTGTTTTTATCAACAGTAACCTAGGTCATCGAGTCCTAACACAACTTGGGGCATCTTCTCTTAGATTACAGGTTAAACACGGCCTGTCAATTATAAAACGAAGAAAGACCAACAAAAGACACACACTTAACCCTCAAAATATTTGTAGGACTTAATTAAAATTCTGTGATTTCACTTCTGTAAGACAAAAAGGTTACCAGAACGACAGGTTTGTTTGGCTATAGACAATGTTTAAACAACTCACCATCTTGATTCTTAGTAAAATTCAGTTTAATAAGAGACTTTGCTTCCAATTTCTGCAGAAAGATAGATTGAATATGAGGTTACAAAACTTCAAGTTGAAAATATATTTAAAAAATAAAATGAGAGAAAACAATCACCTGTAATCACATCCGTTCCTTTCCAATTACATATCCTTTCACTTGTAAATCAATAGCAGCTTTCACAGCCCTTACTTGACTTTTTCACCATAAAGTTTCAACACACTGACATTTAACACTTTTTTGTGACAATTTGACACTTGCATTAACTCTGTATATTTGCCCAGTTTTTATGTTTGTGCATACTACAAGCCCTCCGCTTTCCAATTACCATTCCACTTATCTTCTTATTTTTGTATCCAAGTTATTGTAGATAATTATGCATAGCTGCATAATAAACATTCCTTGCTCAAATGATCTGCTTGACCATTAAAAATCTGGCTCACTTTTTACACTATGGCTTTAAAAAAAGACCCCCCCAAAAAAAACCTTAATCAGCAACCAGCATGTAGTCAAAGGCAAAGGCCACTTTAGCCTACTAATTGTTCCCGACTACTATTCTGCCCATGACCATGTATATAACCATTCCTGCTTCTTCTCTATGGCAGGGGTAGTCAACCTTTTAATACCTACTGCCCACTTTTGTATCTTTGTTGATGGTAAAATTTCCTTACCGCCCACCAGTGCCGCAGTAACTTATTTTATAGCACAAGTGCTATTTTTTGTGTGCGTGCGTGCAGGTCGCCGTGTGCGCCCCCCCCGAAGTGTTCTGTGTGCCAGCGGACCGCTAAGGGAGATCTTTGATCTCCTCACCAGCCCGAGAGGGCTTACAACATGGCTGGCTCTGCATAGGCCGGCAGGGGAGATGAAAAGATCGCCCCTGCCAGCCTTGGCCCACGGCCACCACCACCCAATATCCCAAACCGTCCACTAGTGGACGGTAGGGTCCAAGTTGACAACCCCTGCTCTATGGCATGGGTATTATTCTGATTGGGTTCTAACCAGAATTTGTTTAATCCATCACCCACCCTTAATGCCTCATTTAAACTAGCTGCCTCAAATAAAATAATAAAATGACTCATGAAATCAATTTCTCAAGCAAGACATCACTAAATGCCAGTTAATTCTCTCATTTCATATTTTCACTAATGAAGTCATCTTTTCAATAGTCAATCAACTCCACTCCTACCTGTGCAAACAGATCCAGCTGATTTTACTCATCAACTTTACTACTATTTAAATAAGCAAATTCTTCTCAAGCTTTTTGATCAAATAAAAACAAAACGTTTTATCGTCCACAACTCTTCTACTATACTCCATCTTTACTCTCTTCCCATGATCTTAAGTTTGTATTGGCTATTTCAAAATTACCCTTCTATATACACACACATCTCTAAAATTACCTATAATTCTCTTCCTCCCTTATCTTCAAAAACGCTTACTTATTTCACTAACCCCAAGTCACACATGTCCATATCTACAGCTAGCCAGCATATTCTCCTTTCTTTGATCTATTGTATTTATCTTTCACGTCTTTATCTGTACTACTATTTCACATGGTGACCTCCCTCCCTCCCTGCAGAAAGTGACCTTGTAGGGACTGCTGTCAAAAGCTACTATATCAGTTTGTTTCTGTCCATCAAGCTAAAACTATGCTATGTCCTTTGCTTGAAGCCCAAATGCTATACACACACACACACACAGTTCATCCATGCAGAAAGCATATGAAAAACATATAAAAGAGTGCCCATGCAGCACAGTCTGAAGCAACAAGTTGTTAACATTATAGCACCAATGTACAATAATGGTAGGAATGTTGCACAGAATGGGTGTATCCTGTTCGAACTGCTCGCATCTGGGAGAAAATAGGTTAAGTAAATGCATGGTTGACCTACTTTCTCACACTGGCACAGTGTATGGCACTGACCTGCTATCCCCTGCAGCACGTATGCATAATGGCCTTTTATAAACATACATGTACATGCACCACTCACTGGACAAGCAGGGACATAGATTCCGTTCAGTGAGGTACCAACCTTATATTATGGCTAACAACTCTTCCCAAGTTATTCTAAACTGTCTCCATACACCGTTTACAAAGGGACGCTATTCTTGGTTAAAAACTGGTGAAGTGGTGACCTTGCCAGGCGTGATTCACTAGTCATAAGCAGAGACAACTTTAAGGTCATTGACCTTGAGGATGTGGTTTAGAACCATCCTTCAGGAAGTGATATCATGTTGGAAACATGTCACACTCTGATATTAAATGGGCTAACACCTGTATGTGTTATAATAAAGCACCAGTCTCACAGACAGGATGTTTATGCAACATTTATTCAATAGCACTAGGTATCAATTTGTGAGGTTAAGATGCCTTGCAGATGCCCGCAAGGTATGGTTTATATTCTTCCTGTGGAGTCTGGCATGATAACTACCTGCTTTCAATACACAGAACATGCAAAGTATGTGGACAGAGCTGTGCATAAACTGGTCATAACAGAAAGATTATGGGGCGCAAGGAATTTCTATTAGTAGAGTCATGTATAATTATATGAATGTAATTCCACATGCATGAGATGTCAAATTTTATTTAGACCAGGGATCACAATTACCACTTGCCACTAGTTATTAGCAAGTGAAAACGTGGCACTCGTGAGTAGAAATTCACTCCTGGTGAGTATACTGTGTCAGGTAACTTAAGGTCTGGCTATTGGCATCGCACTTCAAATGTTAAGCCCCAATTTATGGACTAGAAATAACATCAAATACTTAGACTCAAAAGAAGCACTATTCTTTCCATGCTACTGGTAATCATTTTTACATTATACATACTTTATTAAAGAAGGAACACTAAGCACCACAACCACTGCAGCTCATCTCCAGATTTTAAGTCAAGCTCTTTAGGAGTGGACTGACTAAACTGAGACTCCCCGTCCTGCACCTAGAGACTGTTCCCCTTAGCTTGACTGGCTGAGAGGGCTGAGGTCTGCTTATCCAAGCGTCTGTAGCCTATCATATGGACAAAATTGATATCAATAGTGCCGACATTTACATTATGCATGATCAATGAGGCTGAGATAGTTGGTCTCTGGGTGCAAGGAAGAGTCATGCTCCTAAGATAAGGTAACAAGAGACTAAAGGTAATATAACCATTAGTTGAATAATGGTACTCAGACTGCTCCTTTAAAATACACATTTTCAATTAGTATCAAGCATTGTCCAAATTATTTGTCTGTGACTGGGAGGTTTCTTTATAACAATATAAGCAGTTGATGTAAACTGCTTGTCCCAATCTACATATAAAAATGCATCCATTACATCCATTGTAATGCCCATAAACCAACTTTATGAAAGTTACATATGGAAGAACATAATGTTGCATATAGTCATGTAATGAAGACATGGCTTTATTTTTGGTTTTTTTAGCTATGCACCCATGGACTAAAAACAAACCAAGGCATTGATTGATAAACCCCTTTTCAATGTTTAGCACTTCAAAATATCTCCAATCCCCCCCTGTAAAGCATTTTGAACATATACTCTGTTACATTGATTTCATTATTTCTATATTGTTTGATGGTGCTTGCATGGTACATTCAGAGTTTAATATAGATCACCATACACCAATTGTGGTGAACTTGGTTGCCTGAAACTATCATTTATTTAAACCTCCTGCAAAAAAAATAATTAACCAGCTAGATATCCTAAGTATTTATTTAGAGGCATAGCTGTGAAATTCACAGACAATGTTAAGCAATGCAAGAGAAATGTTGACAGTATGTAAAAATCAAATGATATCACGGGTAGATGATGAAAGCCAGAAGGAAAATACAACTTTAAAAAAAAAAAAAAAAAGAAAGAAAAATTAAATAAAAAGATTCTGTTAAAGGAACTATCTATACGTTTAAAGTTATGAAATTGTTTTAACACCATAGAAAACCAACAGCAGGCTATAAATCACATGCATTATGTTTGGCAGAGTAGAAGGCTCAAGGTCAAATTTTATAAGGTCTCATAAATCCTGTAAAACATGCTGGAATCAAGGGCAGCAAATGCAATGTTCAGTCGCCTTTGCAAAAAATTGTAAAGGATTACACAAAACCAAAACAAAACCAAAACATATTTTAACATTAATCCCTCAAGCACAGGGGGTTTCATATTAAAAACGTAAACATAAGCAGAAAACGCCAAATATTTACACAGGATAGAAAATCTGTGCAAAGGAGCAGTCTAGGCACCATAACAACTACAGTTTACCATGAGTTCCCTTAACCATGTTTAGTCACCTGCATCCCAACCCCTCCCTTTAGAAGGAGTTCCCCTCCCAAATTAGACAATTTTACCACTATTTGGACACAACATTGGCAAAGTGCCAGGTGATTCTATTATGCCAATGAATGTCATACCAAAAAAAAGAAAAAATTGACAATAGATATTATTAATGAGGAAATACGGGTTTATAACTTTGCGCCCTTTCATGTAGGGGAATCAAAAAAAACAAAACAAAAACAAAACAACAACAACTCTATTGGAAGTATGATGAACCATTTTTCAGGACCTGCACCCTCAGCAAAAAAATATTGGAAGACAATACTGAATGTGCTTCTGCTTCGCTCTGTTCTGATTGTTCTTGTCTACATTACATGTTAACTTCCATTTTTATTTTACTCCCTATACAATTCTTGAATCTCTCTACAAAGAAAATAAAAATAAAAATGATGTCCAATTCAGACTCCAGAAAAAAAGCATTGCCTTTCCAAACAACAAAAAGTACAGACAGCTCATCACACAATGTTGAAAATGGCAGACTGTTTCAGTGCAAACATTATACATGGTAATGAATGGCAAGCTGTTCTGGAAAGGCCGTGATCCCCATCTAGTGTTAGTAAAGGGACTAACAAATTTTGCACAACTACAAAATGGAATAGAAATCTCTAAAGGCAAATGTTGCATTACACCATAGGAGAAAGGGGGGGAAAAAATAAAATAAAATTTTTTTCTTTATAAAATATTAATGTACTCCAGTGTATCATTTTGACCATATTACGGTCATTACTATTGCATGTTTTCCATGTACATGGATATTTAATAAAGAGAAGATTTCCTTTTTTTGCTCGTCCTTTCCCCCCCATGGTGGAGTATACGGTTTTCTTTTAAACTAATTGAGGTTTTGCTCATGTACACCCAAAAAGGAGATCTATAAGCACCTTTAATCAGGTTTTGCTTGTTCCTTCTAAAAATCAATGCTACAGAATTTTATCATAGAGAAGCAGTGGATTAGTTATTTTTTTTGCAAAATGGAATACCTTTACCAATTTTGAAAAGTAGGAATTTGAACAGAATATGGTTTTAACCCTCAGTTACCCAAGAATGAAAATCAAATTGTAAGCTTATCTAACATTAAAAACTGCTAGCCGAGGGGCGTGGTCTGAACCTTGCCGAGAGCGGTCACACGATTGGGGAGCTTTGACACTATAACGGCATTAACCCTAGCATTACCGTTGCACCGACGACAATCTGACCCCAAAAGTGCTTTGTATACCCGGCACGATATGGGGAAACTGAAAAAGAAACTTAAAACCTAATTGGGGGATCAAAACAGGAGTATCAGAGAGATGTTCCAGACACGGCCTAAAACTAAGATGGCGGCGGTACCAGAGCTGCATGACTCTTCCTTCTCCAAGGAATTAATGGACGCTCCAGATGCCGTTCCGGAGGCACTACAACCTGACTTACCCATGCTGAGTGTGGACCTGAAGGCCCCAGCAACCAGTGGAGACATAGTGAACCTCCTGAGCAACATCAGATCCTACTTTTGCTCGGACCTAGCGGTGCTGAAAGAAGAGATAACGGCCGTCATGGACCAGGTAAAAATGGTGGAGGAGGATGTCTCTTCCCTCGCACAAAGCCAAAACGTACACAGCGGAGGAGATAAAAGACCTCCGGGTCTCCCACCAGAATGTATCAACAAGCCTAGATGCCAGGGATAATTCACGTCGGCGCAACAACCTCAAGATTCGAGGGGTTGCAGAATGCATAACAGATGGTGAACTGCCACACTTCATCCGCCAACTTCTCACGGATATCCTACCTCCCCGGATGCTCAAAATTAAGTTGGTGGAGGGCTCATATCGCCTTCCTAAATCCAACAGGGTGCCAGCAGAAGCCTCCCGCGACGTCCTACTACTATTTCTGACATTCCAGGATAAAATGGCAGTGGTGGAGGTGCTCAAGGCCAAAAGCCCATATAGGGTTAAAGAAACTAAGCTCATATTCATAGCAGGCTTATGCAGAGCCACACTAGATTGCCGGCACTCGATGCACAAGGTCAAACAGTCCCTCCGAACAGCTTGGGTCAGATGGGGCCACCCCCGAACAGCTTGGATCAGATGGGGTCACCCCCGCACACTCCTGGTCCCCCAATTCACATCACCAGAGGACTCATTCCTATTTTCAGGCCCTAGGCCTAATGTGACCCAACGCCGGAGCCCACTCGGCTGCCAGCACCTGGGACGTCTCCCGAATAGTCTCATTTGTGCCTCGCCCAACAAAAGACAACAGATGAACGAACCAGAAGTACACCGGTTCTTACCCAGCCCCAGAGAAGTAATGGATGGAGTTGGAAACGTCTCACCGACCAGACAAACTTTTTATTTTTCATAATCACTTTCCTTTCCATGGTTATGATTTTCTATATTGGTTAAGAACTTCCTAAACCTCAGCAGGATTATAAATGCAAATTACAAGCCAAAGATTTTTAAGCCCCCCCCCCCCACAACCCCATTGGTGCCTATGGGTTACTGGGCACTGTTAGCTATCCCATTACTCCCCACACTACAACAATCAGGGCAACCTCACAGATCAGGTCTACCCACCTGAAACTAGAGAGCTCACATACCACTGAGATTACTAGCAACAAGGAATAAGGTCATCAGGTTAACTCTAACCCGGGACACGGCACTGATAAGCAGCCACTACCCGGCTCGTTTTCAAATCACATGGTCCTGTACCTACCTCGCACACCTTCCCCCCTTAAGATTCCCACTAGCTAGCGGGAGATGGCCTTTCCTTTAATACAGCCTGATACATATATTATTATAAATTGTATAGTTTTTTCCAAAAATCTTGCCCAATTGTCCTACACACCACTCTTACGCAATGCTTAAGGTTTTCTTTTGTCACTGCATATTGTATTTGACATATTGGTGCTAGAAAAAAAAAAAAAAAATAATGGTAGCCGAAACTGGAAAAAAAAAAATCACTTCTATAAGGAAAAGTTCAGCAACACAAATATGTGTGTTGTTTTGCAACAGTCATTTCCTGGGAAATACCTTAGAAATACGCAACTGTAAGACAATAGCAAATACCAGAGTGTACTTCCTGTAGCCTTCTGGAAAACACACAATTCTAGCAAAAACAAATAGAACCCCCGATTGTGTGCTGGGAATTGTGATATCTGTATTATCAGTATTGTATACTTTCCTTGCACATGCATTAACAAGTTCATAAGTTAAGATGGCTGAAGTAGAACAAATGTATAAAAAAAAGGAGAAAAAAAAAAAAAAACACCACACACACTTTTAAATCTATTTTATCATACTCAGCCACAGCAATTCTGAGCCTGCTCCCAGTCAGCTTTCAATACTGGAGGGTCCCCTACATCATCTGAGAGCACAATTAAACCAAACAAGCACTAAATACGTGTTATACACTACAAGTAGTGCAAATTTAATAAGACAGAAAAAGAGCTTTTGCAATAACATGCGGCAACCAATTGTGCGTTAAATCAACAAATATCAAACCGGAAATGTTTTTATTTTTTTAAATTGTGCGCAAGCAATATATATATATTTCAAAACATAAAATATATACCAGTGTCAAACAAACACCCAAATGTCATAAAATAGATATTAAAAAAAATAAAAAAAATGTGTGTACAAAACGCAGTTAAAATTCTTGATTCTACAATAAAAGCAGAAAAAATAACAGTGTATACTGTATATAATCAGATTCTAAGCCCTACCCAATGTTCTCGTGTGACTCACATGGTCCAGACCCGTGCCAGGCTCTGTCTTAGTGTCTCAGGGATGCCAAATATGGCTACTGTAGCCAATTGAAGAGGTCAGGTACACATGATGGTATAGAGTTCCACAAAAATAGATGAATTATTTGTACAAATAGTAAATCGTAAAAAAAATAAAAAAAAATTATTAAAACAAATGTATACTAGAGAATAGATGGTAATGGGCATATCTATAAAACAAATGCATCAAATGAAGCCTTGCCACCATTTAGTAACCCTAAATAATAATTAAAAAAATATAAATAATTGTAAAAGTACATGTAATACAAAATCATACAGTTATCAGATACACACTGTGGGGAGCCGGAAGTGACATCATCAAGAAATGCCAAAGATTGTTAACATGTGTAACTAATAATTGTATTATGTGGAAGGTATATAAACACCATGAGGTGAACAGTATTTCAGCACTTGAAGGCTTTATGGCCAAAATGCGTATGCACAACACAAAACCATATAATTATACACTCATCAGAAAAAAAAAAAAAAAACACAGTCATGTGGAGGATACAGACCTCTAGACTTTTCCCAAAGAAGGAGTAGGGAACACATTTTTTATTATTATTATTATTATGATGCTTGGAAACAGTGTATCTGAACATTTCAAGAGATGTTCCAATCAGGACTAGAGGATCAGATCTTTTAATTATTTAAAAATGGTTAACGAACATTAGCGGGCAGGAGATTTTATTCGAATAGTTGATAAAAATTAAATGGAGGGGGTATCGCCTTAAAGAGATACTCTAGTCACCAAAACAACTACAGCTTCCTTTGACAGGGTGCAATGGCCATACATGTTTAGCCTCCTGGAAGAGTGGGGATTCCCAGCCGCTTATATCCAGGCCATACGCGCTCTATATACAAACCTGAGAGCCCAAACCCTGATTGCAGGGGCCACAAAGACCCCCTTACACCCCCAGAATGGAACACGCCAGGGCTGCCCATTGTCGCCACTGCTATTCGCCATCTCCTTTGAACCACTACTGCAGGCTATACGCCAACACCCACACATACAAGGAATACGGGTAGCAGAGAAAACCTTCAAAGTATCAGCGTACGCAGACGACGTACTGCTGACTCTCACCGACCCCCTGACCTCCATGGGCCACATGACGGACCTGTTGGCCACGTATGGAGCCCTATCGGGCTATAAAGTAAACCTCAACAAATCCATGGCACTGCCATTTCACCTCCCAGCCCAGGATAGAGCACAAAAATCTGAAAGATATCGCCTACCCATCACTACTGACAACATACCCTACCTAGGGGTTAGACTCACAGCGCAACACGAACACCTACACGAGACTAACTATTCCCCACTGATTCGCACACTCCTAAGGGACCTGGAGCAGTGGACAGACAAACCCATCTCATGGCTAGGCAGACTCCACTCAGTCAAAATGAACATCCTCCCCAGACTACTGTTCCTGTTCCAGGCCCTGCCCACACCAGTTGAGAAGCGATCTATTCACACTCCAAAAAGCGATTGACATGTTCATTTGGCAAAAGAAACGACCCAGAATAGCTAGAAAACTCCTATATCGACCCAAGGACAGAGGGGGACTGGGGCTGCCAAACCTGTACCTATACTACCTAGCAGCGCAGACTGCGCAAATAGCATATTGGCACTCTGTGCCTGACACCCGACGATGGGTGGAGCTTGAAACCTCACTAATGGGGCAAGACCTACCCCAGTTCTATCCATGGCTACACAAGACACACAGAGCACTCCCCAGGATAACCTGCCCGGCGATAAACTCCTTAAGAATCTGGGATCAAATAGCAACTTAATACTCTTTAAGTAGGTTCCCCTCCCCAATGACCCCCGTGCTTAGGAACAGATCCTTCCCACCGGGAATGACGACAGGCGACTTTAGGGGCCTAGAGAAGGCAGGTATCCAGAGATACTGCCACCTATACAAAAACGGTCAAGTAGTTACATACGATCAGCTCAGGGAAGAATCCCTCCTAACAAACAGTGACTTTTTCCGCTACATACAGATACGAGATTTTGCTAGCTCCAAAGGTGTCAAGGAGACGGCCACCCTCCCCCTCACCTGGTTTGAGAACATTTGATATCAGGAAAAACACCCCAAGGGACTTATCTCATCACTATACTCACACCTTAGCGGGGAAACCAAAGAGTGGGGGGAGCTCCGATACACTGACCAATGGGAGGCAGACCTGGGAGAGACACTGGAGGGCTCCGACTGGCAGGACATATGGGAGGCCACAGCACGATCATCCATATGTGTCACCCTCCAAGAGCAATCATTCAAAACGCTTTTCAGATGGTACATCACTCCACAAAACCAATTCCGCATGCAGATCACTCCCACTGATCTCTGTTGGCACGGGTGCGGGGAACAAGGCACATATGTGCACATGTGGTGGAAATGCCCTTCAGTACAGGCTTATTGTCATGTATCCTTAAGGGGTTAAAGGGACACTCCAGGCACCCAGACCACTTCTGCCCATTGGAGTGGTCTGGGTGCCAACTCCCACTACCCTTAACCCTGCAACTGTAAATATTGCAGTTGTCATAAACTCCTAGACGTCTCCATGTCTCTTAGACAGCCACTAGAGGGCACTTCCGGGTTTATAGAACAGATCTTCTGTGCTATAGCGTCGCTGGACGTCCTCACGCTATGCGAGGACCTCCAGTGTCGCTGAAATCCCCATAGGAAAGCATTGAAAGCATTTTCAATGCTTTCCTATGGTGAGGTCTAATGCGCGTGTGGTCTGCCCCGTCGCAGGCCGCGCATGCGCAATAGGTCTCCCCCGCTGGATGCGGGGGCGGACCCTGAACCATCACCGATGGACATCGGCGCTGGATGCAGGAAGGACTGAAGAGGTTTTAACCCCTGCAGCAACCTGGGATGGGATGTGGGAGGGAGAGGGGACCTGCAGTGCCAGGAAAATCGTTTGTTTTCCTGGCACTGGAGAGTCCCTTTAATGTAGTGGCTGAAGAAGTTTTAACCCCTGCAGCAACCTGGGATGGGATGTGGGAGGGAGAGGGGACCTGCAGTGCCAGGAAAATCGTTTGTTTTCCTGGCACTGGAGAGTCCCTTTAATGTAGTGGCTCTGGTGTCTGTAGCATGTCCCTGCAGCCTTAGCACTGTATATACTGCCTTTCAGAAACAAGGCAGTGTTTGCCACTAGATGTGTAACCAACCAGCAATGTAGTCACTCAGCCCAAAATACATTTGTACTCTAGATACTATAGGGCTTCTTTAAGTTTCTAGTCATTATCTCCAGAGGTAGATTTGTTTTTAGGGTGCTACACCCCCTATTGATATGTGATGTGTTCTATTTGTTTGAGTGTTTATAGATTAAATTTTTTTATAGGTCTCTTAATAGGAGAAGACATTTACATTATATTTTGGCTTAATTGTGTGATAGAGTTAAATCCACCAATGGAAGATCAAGGTATTTACAAAGCTCTCCTAGAAGCTTAACAATAGTCTGACAAGTGTATATGCTTTTTTAAATATTCCTTGTGCACCATATTATTTGAGAATGGTAATTCTAAGCCTGCCTTAGCGAGGAGGTAGAGCCACCTGGTCTGAAAAAACCCTTGGGGCCAGGTCTCCTTACATGCCAGTCTGCCCAGTGATTGGAGCAAGGCTTTGTCAGCTGCCCGTCACTGCATGTAGATGCTGCAGCATGAGACCGATCTACAGTACAGATTGAGATGCCAGTACAATCATCAGCAGAAGGATTTTCCATCTCACTTTGTACTAGCAGATGGAATACATGCGAGGTAGTATCACTGGCGGATCCAGGGGGGGGGCAACGGGCAATTGCCCCCCCCGAGAAATCCGCCGGTCTCCCTCTCCCTCCCCTGCCAGCAGCACATGTAGGTGCTAGCCCTGCAATGTGCCTGCGGACCGGGGAGGGAGATCAGAGATCTCCCTTCCCGGTCCGCAGGCACTGTGCTGACAGCCGGCAGGGGAGGGAGAGGGAGGAGAGAGGACCCGGGAGCTCAGTCTGCAGCTCCTCCGGGTCCTCCTCTCGCAAGATTTGGAGCCGCGGCAACGCTCCAAATCTCGCGAGAGTGAACTCTAGCCCGGGAGCGCGGGCTAGAGTTCACTGTAACCACTGGGACCACCAGGGAATCACCACTGGGACCACCAGGGATGAAAATATGTCCCCCCTCCTCCTCCATAAAGGTAAGAAGGGAGGGGGGACATAGAATATATATATTTTTTTAATTAAATAAAGATATATATTATTTTAAAAAATCCCCCCCTACCCTTAACACACACACACACATAGCCCCCATATTGCCCCCCCATGCTGCCCCCCCATACACACATACTGCCCCCATGCTGCCCCCCCATACACACATACTGCCCCCCATGGTGCCCCCCCATACACACATACTGCCCCCCCATACACATACTGCCCTCATACACACATACTGCCCCGCATACACACACACTGCCCCCATACACTGCCGCCCCATACACACACATTGCCCACATTCACACACACACTGCAACTGTTACACACACATACTGTCCCACACTGTCCCACACATACACTGCATCCCTGACATACACTGCCCCCCCTACTCACACACTACAACCTTCACACACACACACTGCTCACACACTGTCCCCCTCACACACACACTGCACACATTGCACCACTCACACACACCACTGCTCCTATGCCCTACTACCGCCCCATTTCCCAGCAGACCTCAGGTAAGTTGTCAAACTGTTCTTAAACGGTTTGACTACTTACTCTAGGAGGGGGTCCCGGCACTATTGACACCATAACCACTACACTGAGCTGTAGTAGTTATTGTGTCTGGATTATTTCTTTAAATAATCTACAAGTGCCCCTCCCGAGATCAGGCTCTAGATCCGCCACTGGGTAGTATTAGGGGGTGGAATTATGAGCAAAGGTCATTCTCGAGCATAGCAGCAGAATACAAATATGGGGTGTTTACAATAGACTCACATGTTTGGTCTTTGAATTTCCTCCAAAATCAAACACATATGAATACCTCCCCCCGCCCCCAACAATTTTTTTTTTTTAGGATTTTGACTAAGGTTCGTGATACAATTGTTGGATTAAGTGTTATAAAAAGCTCTTCATTAAATAACCTGGGATACACCTACAAATATACACTTTTGAATAACAGTTTTGGATTCTGTGACCACTATAAAAAAATAAAACACAAATTAGAATCTCAGCATGTCCAATACTTCTTTAAAATCATCATTTACTCCAACCAAGACTTGTTTTGTAACTTCAATATGTCTAGAATTTCAATTCATTTAGGACATTTTATCAATCAGGACTAATTAGTGAATGTATTTTGAGTAAGTTTACTTTAGTTGCACTTGTTGTGTAGAAATTACAATATGTAAAACAAATAAACAAAAACAAAAAAAATAGTCCCCTCTCCCCTATTTTATTCATTTTAATTACAATGCTTCCCCATAGAATTGGCTGTGACTGACAAAGAGGCAGATCAGGGGCAGAGCCAGTACAATTCAAATACAGCCCTGGCCAATCAGCATCTCCTCATAGAGATGAATTGAATCAATGAATCTCTATGAGGAAAGTTCAGTGTCTGCATGCAGAGGGAGGGGATACTGAATGTTTGGATGCATTTTAGGCAGCCATGACCCAGGAAAGATCTCTAACAGCCATCTTAGGAGTGGCCAGTGAAGTTATCACTAGGCTGTAATGTAAACACTGCATTTTCTCTGAAAAGACAGTTTTTACAGCAAAAAGCCTGAAGGTAATGATTCTACTCACCAGAACAAATTCAATAAGCTGTAGTTGTTCTGGTGACTATAGTGTCCCTTTAATGCTTAAGTGGTTACATTTTCTAAAAGTAGGTGGAAACAGAATAAACCAAACAATAGATAGTTGACTCACCTCTCCTGTGCTTGGGTTGGTGCCATATTTCTTAATCCATGGCATGATACTCCTGTATGGAAAAAAAAAATAAAAAAAGTAAAAGAAGATAAAAAATTAGCAGTGTTCTTTAGTTATGAAAAACGTTATGTGGGTCAAGCCAGAGAGGAACACCCCAATTACCCCAAACAGTTGCTTAACAATTTAAAATACAGAAAACTCCCAACCAGTTCGCTCACTAGGGCAATGTGCATGCTGCACCAGCTTGGACAGCACAGATACAGTTTGCTTCCAATTCTTATTGCAATTGTATTGCCTTATAACTATTATCACAAGATAAACAGCACATTCACTTTTTACACCAACGTTGGTCCTCACCTGGTTGAGAAATGATGCACACGGTAAACTGTGTCAGTCCATTTCCCTTATACAAAATTACAGAATATGGATCAATTCTGGGTGAGGGGCAGAGCCGTCTAGGACCTGGGTTTAGACAGGAGCTCAAGCTCCGTCTATCAAAGGGCCCTCCCTGAACCAGCATGCAGATCAAAAGATCTCCCATCTTGGACCTGCGGTTTCTCAATACCTTGAAGAATCGTTGTGGCCTGCACCGCTATTGGATGTAGATCACTTTAATAGCTTCTTCACAGTGCCAGTGCTTCTGAATGACTCAGAGCCTTGTGGCAGGCCCCCCTGATTAAATGCTGTGACCAAGCAGGTGCTCTTAAAGTGATCTGCACCTGATAGAGGTGACGAACACAACACTACCCCACCAGATCACCAGCGAATTCCATCAATTATACCCCATCTTGCCAAAAGTTGTGCAGGAAAGGGGACAAGTGGAAAAATAATCACACACAGGAACACTAAACCTTCCCGCCCATACAAGAACACAGCTACCACAGCTCATAGCCGTAGGAGGAAACTCCATCCAGGCATTCTGTCTAGGGCCCTGTGAACTCTTACTCCTGCTCTGATGGGGAGAAAGGAGATCAGCAGACATCTTGGTAGACACTGTGAAATAGATCCCAGGTAACAATACTGTATGTGAGCAATATTTGCAATTTAGTTTTCAATTCATTATCTAATATTTAGTGAATAAACCCTATAAAGTGTAAGGAACAAACATTGTGATTTGTGTTTCTTTTCCAACATATTGAGAACCTGTATCAAGTATTACAAGGGATGCACTATAAGCCACAATACTTTAACAGACAACCCCCCTAATAATAATGGCTAAATGAAAAAAAAAATCCTTGCAAGTGAAGGGTTAACCTTTCAATACATTTCTATGAAGAAATTCAATCTATTTGAAGCATTTTTCATCTGAGCTTTGTAAATGCAAACTCTAGGTCTACATCTGATAGCAAGGTGTTATATATATATATATACTCACAGTAGATCAAACACTGTACCATCTGGAGTGCATACTGGATACTCAAAGGGTTGCAAGGACAAGCTGGGAAAAAAATAATAAATATTTACCATTCACATACCAAACAAAATATTTGAAGAAATTTCACACGCAGATATATCTTGCAAAACTATTTGATAACTTTTCCTGTATTCTTTAAACAAAAATAAACAAACAACCTAATGGAAAAAGAAGCTATTACTGTAAACTATTCAGAAAGGACAGCTGAACTACACTTGAATTGTATTGTTTATTATTCCCTTTTGAGCATGCAGCAATGCTCTTTGCAAGCCTTTGCAAGATACATAAAGGGGAAGTTTAAGCACCATAACCACTACAAGAAATTGCTATGGTTATGCAGCTATTATGCTACAGTCAGCGCCAGATTAACAGAGGGGCTGACGGAGCTGCAGCTCCAGGCCCATTGATATTTTTTACTACTCTTCAAATGTGCTTGCTTAAGTATGGAAACTTAAGAGGGATGACTATGCGCACTATGCAAATGCTCTTGATGCTTCAGGCTCTTTAACACAGTGGCATGTTTCCTTTCTCTACACTTACTACATACACTTTTTCTCTGACCAAGACTGTATAACAGGAGCTTCTGCCTGGTAGTAAAGTTAGGAGAGAAGTGGACCAGTGAGTGCAGGTGGACATTCCTTAAAAGCGTAAAGCTAACGCATCATTAGACGCATTTATGTCAAGCTCAGGGTGCTGTCTGCATGGTATGCCCTTGGTTGGTCATCCTGCATGACTGGAAGGCAGCCCAATTTGTATTCACACCAGGCTGACCATCTAATTCTTTGTGCAGGCACGCCCACTTTTAGGGCATGTTTGTCGCTTTGGGCTGTTCTGGTTACGTAATTCACATCAGCGGCCCACCCTTTTACTCAGCCCACCGAAATCCTGCTTCACTGAACACTGCGGGGGATATGGATTTACGTGAAAGATGAAAGCGAGAAACGGTATGTGTATTCTGATAGCAATATCCTGAAGGAAGCCGGTTCTAGATTTAACCTTTTGAGCAGCATGACGAAAACCCAGCCCCTGCTCACCTATTTTACATGCAGAACTTCCAATTCAACATTTGCTATATAATTTTGGCAAGCTAAATCCTGTGATGCCTGAGAAGGGGACCAAAGACTATGGTTATTCTATAATCAGTATGGTTACATTATAGAAAGTAACCCTTGCTAGGACAACCATGCAACATACCTACAGTGATCAAAATTTAACCGTCTGAAGTTTGACTTTGGGATATCTGCAAATACACAATAAAATTAATAGGAACACAAAGAAATACATTGTTTCATCACATTCACCATGAAAGAAAACCCTTTCAGTTTAAATAAAAGACATTATCAGCAGCAGCATTTATATAGTGCCAATATATTGCAGCACTTTACAGTTATAGAATGGGAATATTGGATAACGAGTAACATACGAAATATAACAGAGACAAGAGGTGAAGAAGGCCCTGCTTAGACAACCTTACAGTCTATGTGAAATGCAATATATAACACACACAGTATGTTTTCACTAAGTGAAAAGAAAATTCTGAAAATTATAGATATAAGGTAGCAGAATGGTATGTATAAAAGTTGCTGGCAAACAACTATAAGCCAAAATAGACCAAGAAACATTTAAAAAATAAAAAAATTTAAAAATAAAAGGAGGCCGCAGACAAGCACATGAAATATTGAAAGGATATTAAAAAGAAACAACCCAGTTAGAGGTGCATTTAAACTAAAATGACAAATACATGAATACCCAAACTGAAGTCTCCAAAGTAGGAGGTAACAATTTATTCACATGAAAGAAACATTAAATACAAATAAAAGGACAAAACAGTTCAATTTATTTTTATAATACACATACATAATATATATATATATATATATATATATATATTTGTGTTAGGTGCTTAAGATAGTACAGTGTGAAATACCATGAATAAGCGTAGGATGATAAAAGGAGCAAGTCGGTTGTGGTGTGCCGAAACCGACGATGAGGTAGGCCTGAGAAAGAAGAGGGCCCACCCAGGAAAAGAAATAGAAAGGAAAATAAATGTTAAAAGTGGTGTGGTGGGAGGGTCATTCAACGCTGACCTCGAACGGTAAGGAGCCAGGCAAGGGGAGTGCCTTAAGTAGGCTAGGGGTAGAAAACCAGCACCTCCCACAAATTGCCTTAATACTTGTGTTAGGTGCTTAAGATAGTACAGTGTGAAATACCATGAATAAGCGTAGGATGATAAAAGGAGCAAGTCGGTTGTGGTGTGCCGAAACCGACGATGAGGTAGGCCTGAGAAAGAAGAGGGCAAAAATTAAGTAATCCAATTTATTAACAGACAACCAATACATATACATTTATCAACCAGACATGTTTATGAAAGCGTCTCTTAACTCTTGTACTGGGTTCGGTATGTACCGTGAGTAAGCGGATGACTTCCAGCGCCCCAGTGTTTTGATAACATGAGTTGGGACGTTGAAACTGGAGGCTGTGGACGCGGCTCCTATACGAAAGGAGTGTCCTGAGTAATTGTTTGCGTTGAGGCCCAGTTGTGTGAGCAAGGACCTGACGTAGGTCATGAAGGTTGTAGTGGTGAGTACTGCACCTTGTAGTTGTAATAACGGTTGCGAGGGCAGTAAGTGATGGTGCTGTATGTAGGCATCAAGAACTTTTACGGGACACCATCTGTTGTGCGTGGGGTAGTATGGAATGTTTACAGGTATGTGCTGGCTGGTTTTGGAGTGAGGTAAAGACAGGATGTAATGATCCATATGTTTTGTCAAGTGGGAATAGAGGAGGAATGGAGTGGTTTGGGTCGTGGAGGTCGTAGTGAATTCTCTGGGTCGTAGAAATCCATAGAAAGCTATGTATATTGCTGTTTTGATAATAGAATTCGTATTAGTGTCAAAAGGTTTCAGGTCGAGTAGGTTAGATAAGCTTTGAAGATATGGTTATCTATGGGTAGCCTCTGGGCCAAATGTGTGGGTTCTGATTTTTGAATACCTCTGAGTATGGTCTTAATTTGGTGAGAGGCCATGAAACTGTTGTTATTTGGGTGTAAGATGAGCATGTGGTGTTGAATGCCAGTGAGATAGAGTTTGATGGTGTTATATGACAATTTGAGTTTAAGGTGGCAAAAGGAAGCAAACCCCAAAAAGATGTCATAACAAACGGTTGTATGATGTTATGTTCCAGAAGGAATCGTTTGAATAGTGTGAAAGCCCTGTTGTATGTTTTGTTTGTATTGTGTGAAAGTGCCAACTGAGACAATGTCCTGCTATGCTGCATGATGACGTCTAGTCCAGTATGAGTTGTTGAAATGTTGGAGTGATGGTGGCTGTGGGTGCTGCTGACGGGAGTGCTTGATGAAACTCCTGAAATTTAAAGCGAGACAAACTGTCAGCAGCTGTGTTGTATATACCTGGCACATGGAAACAACATAGGAAGAAATTATGACAAGCTGCCAACCAAGTGAGCTTCCTCAGAAATCTCATAATCGTAAGAGATTTGGAACAACCTTTGTTGATGATGTGACAGGTCGCCTGGTTGTCTGAGTAACAACGCACTGGCGTATTAGCCCATAAATGACCCCACGCTACGGCAGCCGCCACTATAGGGTAGATCTCAAAAAGAGCTGAGGTAGTGGAAAAACCTTCCAAATCCAGAAGTGCTGAAGGCCAGCTGCCCCAAAGCCATTCGTTCCCAAAAATTGCTGCAAAACCAGTGGTAGATGCCGCATCTGACCAAATGGTAGGAGATGATTCAGTCAATTGAGGGAGGAACATACTTTCACCATTCCAAGTGGTTAAAAACCTCTTCCACATGTTTAGATCTGCCATAGCTTGGGCATCTAAGGACAACCTGTGCGTGTCCTGTAGAAAAAGTGGGAAAAGATGCAATAGTCGTGAAATAAAGGAGCGGCCTTGAGGTATGATGCGCATTGCAAAATTTAGTGACCCCAGCAGGGACTGTAGTTCTTTGCGGTTGCAAGTGCCGAGCTGTAGGTAGTTGTTTATGTAAGTGAGAATATTGTCTATCTTTTCGTAAGGTAGGCTTGCTTGCATTGTGGCAGAGTCTAACTGGATACCCAGAAAAGTGATAACCGTGTCTGGCCCTTCTGTTTTCTTTGGGGAGATGGGTACACCTAGTTGCTCAAACAGCTTAGTGGTAGCTTTGAGGCTAGTGGGAGGTGCAGTATTCTCCTCGACCAGTAGGAAATCGTCCAAGTAATGTAATACTGTAGGGCATCCGGCTATGTTCAATAGTAACCAGCATAGTGCTTCGGCAAATGTGTCGAAAATAGCTGGGCTACTTTTGGACCCAAAAGTTAACCGGGAGAAAAAATAGTAGTTCCCAGACCACTTGATGCCATGCAGGTGCCACAGTGTGGGGTGGATAGGGAGTAATTTGAAGGCGTTAGTAATGTCGGTCTTACTGAGCCAGGCTCCCACCCCTGCTTGTATGATGGCTGTAATGGCGTGATCTATGGTGGTGTATTGCAGAGAGAATTCCTCAGAGGGTATGAGGGAATTAAGACTGGGGTTGGCCGATGAGTGGGGAGCCGATAAGTCAATGATGAGTCTCTGTTTTTGGGAAGATTTCCCTGTGACAATACCAATAGGGTTGGTGCGCCATTCTGTGAATGGGGGAGTTCTAAAAGGCCCCAATACAAAGCCCTCCTCCACTTCTTGGTTTATGAGGGTGTCAACCACTGTGGGGTTGTGTTGGGCGGATTGTAGGTTTGGGCATTCCAGAGTGCCAGCTGGTATGTGTAGGATACCTGTGTGGAAGCCTTCTGTTAAACCAGAAATAAGAAAATCTACCAGGTGTCTAGATGGGTGCTGAGACATCAATGCTGTGAATACTGGCATATTAATGGACGTAAGGTAAGGCTTAGAATACATTTTATTTGGACACATGGTCTTAGCATGTGCCCTAAAACATTTTGAACAGACATGCAATAGTCTACATCCACTGTAATTACAAGACCCAACATTGAAATTATTACATATCTGGGACTTGCCCAGAAACTTGATTGGGCGTCCCAATTTGTCTTTGGATAGTTTCCCTGGATCCCCAGAGGAACTAGTTCCTTGTGTGGAGGCATGTCCGTCTGCCGTGTTGGGACAAAAATTAGTAGTATGGGCTGTGGAGGAGCAGTATGCACAAGCTGGTGTTCTTAGACCTGCAAAGTGTCTGCAGAATAAGACGGTATCAATCCTTCCCCAGTTGGATCGTGTACCGTACTGGGAGAAGGCTCCAGCCACTTTTGCAGAAAAAGACCTATGGTAGTCATAGAATGCTGAACCACCATATTTGTTGCCCAGGTCTACCAGCTTGTGCATATAGAGATCAAACTCCTCTCTTCTGTTGGGATAAACCGCACAGGCGACATCCCTGTAAATACCAAACGCTAGTACAAATTCAGGGATAGTCAGTTTCCTGTTCAGGCGGGCATCCCTAGATCTGACAATAACAGAAACATCATCATAGCATACGTCTTATGTTCCACAATGTCCTGGGAGGCAATCAACAGGGAAGCCAGGTTGACGTCTTTACCTTCCAGGATATCCCTTTTGATATGCTCAGGTATCATGTGGGCCGGGCTAACTTCCTGGTCATCCAGGGGGCTGGCTGGAGCGACTAATGGCAAGGCTGGTGTTTGTACCGCAGCCGCGGGTGGCCCTGCTAGAGTGAGGGCCGTGGTGACTGACTCAAGTTTCTCCAGCCTGGAGTTGACCTTGCCCATGGATGCCATGAGTGAGGATAACATGGCATGTATGTCCCCTGGGTTGGACTGGCTAGATCCTTCCCCGGCTTCCATGTTATTGGTTGATGTGCGTAGCAGTTTGAAAAGTTCTGCCTTCCTTGCTGTAGCGGGGTAGGGGATTTGTCGTCTCCTTAATTCCGTGGTTATGCGCGGGATTGTCCAGGATCTAATTGATGCTGGACTAGCTAGCTCTCCTCCTTGTGTGGGAGTGACAGCTCTAGCCGGGGTGCTAGGCAGGGAGAAATCCTCTACCCCTTCCTGAGACATACTATAAATAAAACAATAATTAGTATATAGAACCACCAAATTGTACTGGCAGGCTAGCTAGGCCGGATGGCGAAAGTATTATGCTTGTTTGGTGACAGGTGAGGCCCTACTAATTGCCAAGCGGCTTGAGAGGCTCTATCTATGCGTTGGCGCGAGGGGTTATTGAGGCCACTTGACGTAGTGGCAGGAGTTTTAGGCCTCTCGGTGACTGTACGACAGAAAACAGGGGAAGGGAGTGACAGGTGAGGCCCTCTCTTTGCAACATGCGAGGCGGCTAGCTAACGTGTGGCCCGATGGGTGTTTGCCTCCGAAACGTTTGAGGCGGGGTGTTGGCCTCGCGGGACCACTAACTAATGGCGACAGCCAAGATGGGGTAAATACCTATTGGGAATCCTGTGACCCTATTGCCAGTACTCTAAACTAGGGGGATGAAATGAAATGTATGGTAGAATACCATATGAGCAGGTGTACGTACCTGGTAGTATGATAAATCACAGGAATAAACCGTGTGGAGCAATTATATAAGCTCGACAGCCTAAAAATGGGTAAAAGAGAGTAGTACGATGAGTGTGGGGTGTAAAAAGAACCAGACTTATAGTCTGTAGCAGCAATGTATAAAATTATGTTGATACCATGGGAATAGCTATGAGTGGCTCAGAAATGTTTGCATGCTTGAATAAGACATCTGAGGGAGGCCGTGGCCTATGTACAAACAAACAATCTATGTGTTACGTGATAATGGTGTGTAAAGGAAAACATGAAACGTAGGTTATATACATATGTATATGACTGTGTAGGGGACGTATGATTGGTTGGATCAGTACGTGTGATTCAACCCGAGTATGCATGCAAAAGGATTTAAGCCTTATGTGTCATCGTCATGACAGAGAAATGAGGCCTGTAATGTAGGCTGAGTAAATTGAAATGAAATGGATAGTTATAAAACTCCTGGCGTGGGAGTTCAATGATCTGTACCGAAATGTAACTGGTTTTATAGAAAGGGACATGAATGAGGTCATGGCCTAATTAACACAGCGTTATGTATGATATGTAGCAGAAAGACCAAAGGCAGGGATACCCCAAAATGATTTAACATGATGTAAAGTGATGTATATCTATATGATATGTATGTATAGCAAAGACGTATCAACCCGAGAATTATTGCTTAAATGAACCTATCCTTGTATATGTTGTATTAATAACCCAGAAATGAGGCTTGTAACATAGGCTGAGTCCATTCGTATAAATGGATAAGTAATGCAGACCCCTGAAAGTGTGGGAGTCAAATGGTATACACAGAGAAGTGGACTTGATTTGTGGACGTAATACAATACTGACAATTTGTTAAAAGTAATCAACAATAATCTATTTAAGCAAGCAATACTTTAACCGAATGTTATATACACATGAAATGGTTAATATAATTGATGAAAGGATTATACGTGAACACACAGAACAGCCGAAAGCAAATGTGAGGGGAACACAGAAGTTAGAATAGTTTAACCGTATGATTTATGCGAACCAAAGCGTGTATGAGCGTATGTAAAATTTGCCGAACGGCAAAACAACCGAATGAACATTCGTTTAAATAACATGAATAGGATATGCGAAATGACTATTGAACAATTTAAAACATGTTCAGCCGAATGACCGTACGAATGAAAAGCCCGCGAATGGCTTGAAACATTCGTGTCATAACCAGGGAAAAGCCGTAAAGCGAGGACCCGTGCTGTACCGTACGCCGTGGGAACCAGTCCTGGCGTGACAGGAAGGTCTGACTTACGGTTTAGGAGTCCCTGGGACGCGATCTACGACGGAGAACGGAGTCAGAAGAAGCTGGACGGGCGGAAAGCCTGAACAGGATTCCTGGACACAGCTTAACGTGGTGAAACCTCCTGGATACTGAAACCAAGATGGCGTCTGAGAGAACCCGGAAGTGGATCCTCATTCAACGCTGACCTCGAACGGTAAGGAGCCAGGCAAGGGGAGTGCCTTAAGTAGGCTAGGGGTAGAAAACCAGCACCTCCCACAAATGCAGGCAAATTGCCTTAAGACATATATACACACACATATACATATACATATACACACACACACACAAAATACTAACGTGCACTTACTAATATATAAGCACTATTACAAAACAGCAAAGTACATTCTAAAGTTATGGCCTCTCCTTGCAATACAAGCCCATGTTTCTGTTCCGTCTGCAGTCTAAGCTTTGGACAGTCAACCTGAATGCCCATAAAAGCATAAAGAAAAGGGTCTCTGTTAAACCAGAGACATTAATCTTTAAGTTTTTTTTTTTTTTTTTTAAATGTATGGTATGTGCACTATTTTCTCCCTAACAGTTTCAGTGACCACGGCCTAGTGTACTGCATACGCAAAATAAAGGCCACTAAATCCCCTCCCAAGATTATAATCACCAGGTCTTTCAAAAAATGTAATCTTGAATCCTTTTTAAATTATCTCAAAAACATACCATCACACAGATTAGGTCTAATACCAGATCTAGACTCTGCAATTGCATTTTTTCAGTCTGAGCTCTTGCTTGTTTGGAATTTGCATGCCCCTCTGCGTGAAGTGCGACTAAAAGGGACACACCTGCCCTGGGTTACAGCTGACCTCATTCAAATGTACCAGTTTAGAGATTCACTGTGGTCAAAGTTCAAGCGTACTGGCTCCATGAACAATCACTGTACTTGCAGACAGACAACAGCGAAATGCATGCATAACACAAACAAAAATGGCAAAGGCCCAATATTTCAGTGAAAAATTAAACAACCTATCAAACCCAAGAAACTTCTAGAAAATCATAAATAGCATACAAACCCCCACAACCCACTCCCAAACCTCCACTGACAAAATGGACAACCAAACACTGCTACACGCCCTAGATGTAGCAAATGCCTTTAATAATTATTTTGTGGGATGTGCTACCACCTTGGTTGCCAAGATAACAAATGACACTCATTTTCAGACCGCAAATAAAGAGCAGGCCCTGCCAAATCTTCAAAATCCTCACATAGAGAAATTCAATTTTAGACCTGTGCCTGTTAGTGTCATTAATAAACATCTTAATAATTTAAAAATGAAAAACCTGTGTGGACCAGATCAAATCCCAGCAATGTTGCTGAAGCTAAGTGCGCCAGCAATTGCTAAACCTACTACAACCCTCATCAATGAATCCCTGGTGTCAGGATACATACCCAAACTTTGGAAGACTGCAAAAGTTGGACCTATCCATAAAGGTGGTGACAATACATTGGTATCTATCGCTAAATATCATTGCTCCCTGTATTGTAAAAATTCTTGGAAAAATGCATCCACACGCAACTATGTGAATATTATCAATGATCAGATCTGACCCCTGATCAATCAGGCTTTCGTCCAAATCACTCGACTTCGACTGTCCTCTTAAAAGTTTGCAATGACATCCAAATTGGCATGAAACAAGGAGACTTAACTTGAGTCATTTTCCTTGATTTTGCCAAAGCCTTTGACACAGTAGGCCGTGGCACTCTTTTGCAAAAACTTAAAAAGTCAGGCATTGGTGATCGTCCGCAAACCTGGTTTCGATTGTATGTTTCAGACGGATTGCAATATGTGGCCATTTCTGATAGCACTTCCCTCCCTCTTCTACTCACGTGTGGTGTTCCCCAAGGCTCTATAGTCTGTCCCCTGCTATTCACATTATTTATAAATGATCTGCTTAACATCTGCAAATCCTCAACTGTACACATGTATGCAGACGACACTAATCTATGCTAGTAAACTCAAGCTACCGCAGCTCGAGGCAGCTCCAAAACCAATTCACAGAAGTAGAAACGTAGATAGCGGATAACAAACTCTTCCTAAACACTGACAAAACTGCTACAATGATCTTTAAAAGAACAGACAGCTGTCAGTGTTCTATTTGTTCCAAATATCTAGGTATGTTGCTAAACCCCAAACTATCCCTTGGCCTTCACATTGAAAAATATCTATTCAAAACTTTACCCAAAACAAGGTGCCCTTTACAGAAACAAATCCTGCCTAAGCCCTACAGTAAGGAAACAGATAGTGCAACAAATGCTAATGCCAGTAATTGATTAGGAGGATGTAGTGTATGCACCCGAACCGCAACCCACCTTAATAAACGTAATCCAGCCTTGTGGATAACAGCATTTCTGGGAAGCTCCCACCCTACCTGAGTAGAATTCTCTCCCGGGCTGTTCCCACCTCCAATAACCTCCTATCCAGTACCAGCACAGTATTTAACGTACCGCAATACAAAAGTAAAGGGGCTCGTCGATCCTCCTTTTCCTACAGAGCACCGCAATTATGGAATAACCTCAGGGACACAGTCAAATCTTCATTCAATCTAAAATCTTGCACCTATCATAGTTGAATATATTTATTACATTACCATGTATTAAAAAAAAATATATATTTATAGTTTGTATATTGTATTTTTGTAATATTGAATCCTATTGTATCAATGCAATGTTTTATGGACCCAGGACACACTTGAAAACTAGAGAAATCTCAATGTATCCATCCCGGTAAAATATTTTAAATAACCAGAGTATGGACTGCAGACTTAAGAAAAAAGCGCCATAAAACATGTTATACTTTTGTAATAACGCTTATGTATCAGTAAGTGCACATTTGTATTTATTTTTTTAAACCAGTATTATTATATGCATTTCATTTTGTTTTCTTTGTATTTTATACATGTAAGTTAGAGAGTATTAGTGGCATTGTGACTGCAGAACTTTTGGTGTAAATTAGAGATATTCCAGATTTCCTTTTTAGTAGAATAATAAGAAATAAAAATGGGCACATAATCATGATGGCTTGTGCCCCAGTATTTGATCACGGGGAGATAAGTTGCTGCTAAGCTTATTATGCAGCCACAAATCCAGGTAGTTTGTGGTCTCTGGCTTAGTCTTGATGACAAACAGAGCATAAACACAGCATTTCCTCTACGCTGCAAAGCTCGGAATAGGGTGAAGAGATAGCCAATGCTATCTTGGTGTCTGACCATGCAGCATAAATGGATACTAGACTGCTAAACACATTTTTCATGTTTCAGTTACAGTCTACAATTCCTTGCAAATATTCTCTTATTCCTACATTTATGCAGTTATTTCATGTTCTATGTTCTTCGAGATGTTCCCTATTTAATTGCTGAAAGTCTTTGAGAACCAACCATTTGAAATCACGCAGCTTTTTGAGTTTGATTTTAGTTTTTTTATGATGGTTATTTTCAAAAATCCAATACCATCGAAATTACAAGGAAAAACAAATAAATAAATACACATTGACACTCATGTTATATACAATTTATGACAGCCTCTAAGCATGGTTAAAAAATAAAAAAAACAACCACATACTAGCAGCAAGGATCCCACAAAAAAATTAAATTAAATTAAATTAAAAAAAAAAAAAAAAAAAAAAAAGGTTTTTTTTTTGTGGGATCCTAGTAGTGAAAGGAGCATGGAGAGACCATTTGTTTAGCAAAACATTTACAGTATCTCACAAATTATTGCGTATTTATATCTTTATAAATGTGTCAACACTGAAGAAATGACACTGATACAATGTAAAGTAGTAAGTGTACAGCCTGTGTAACAGTGTAAATTTGTCGTCCCCTCCAAATAACACACAGCCAATTATGTCTAAACCGTTGGCAACAAAAGTGAGTACACCCCTAAGTCGAAATGTCTAAATTGAGCCCAATTAGACATTTTACCTCCCCAGTGTCATGTGACTAGTTAGTTTTACAAGGTCTCAGTCGTGAATGGGGAGCAGATGTGTTAAATTTGGCATTATCGCTCTCACACACTCTCATACTGGTCACTGGAAGTTCAACATGGCTCCTCAAGGCAAAAAACGGAGGATCTGAAAAAAATTAAAGAATGGTTGCTCTACATAAAGATGATCTAGGCTACATAGAAGGCTTATCAATAAACTGCAATCTTTAAGTTTGGATTCAAATATTGTTGAATGGGTAAGGCAGTGGCTGAGTAACAGGCAACAGAGGGTTGTAGTTAATGGAATATATTCGAAGCTTGGACTTGTCACCAGTGGGGTACCTCAGGGATCTGTACTTGGACCCATTCTCTTTAATATTTTTATTAGTGATATTGCAGAAGGTCTTGATGGTAAGGTATGTCTTTTGCTGATGATACTAAGATATGTAACAGGGTTGATGTTCCAGGAGGGATAAGCCAAATGACAAATGATTTAGGTAAACTAGAAAAATGGTCAGAATTGTGGCAACTGACATTTAATGTGGATAAGTGCAAGATAATGCATCTTGGACGTAAAAACCCAAGGGCAGAGTACAGAATATTTGATAGAGTCCTAACCTCAACATCTGAGGAAAGGGATTTAGGGGTGATTATTTCTGATGACTTAAAGGTAGGCAGACAATGTAATAGAGCAGCAGGAAATGCTAGCAGAATGCTTGGTTGTATAGGGAGAGGTATTAGCAGTAGAAAGAGGGAAGTGCTCATGCCATTGTACAGAACACTGGTGAGACCTCACTTGGAGTATTGTACACAGTACTGGAGACCGTATCTTCAGAAGGATATTGATACCTTAGAGAGGGTTCAGAGAAGGGCTACTAAACTGGTTCATGGATTGCGGGATAAAACTTACCAGGAAAGGTTAAAGGATCTTAACATGTATAGCTTGGAGGAAAGACGAGACAGGGGGGATATGATAGAAACATTTAAATATATAAAGGGAATCAACACAGTAAAGGAGGAGACTATATTTAAAAGAAGAAAAACTACCACAACAAGAGGACATAGTCTTAAATTAGAGGGACAAAGGTTTAAAAAATAATATCAGGAAGTATTACTTTACTGAGAGGGTAGTGGATGCATGGAATAGCCTTCCAGCTGAAGTGGTAGAGGTTAACACAGTAAAGGAGTTTAAGCATGCGTGGGATAGGCATAAGGCTATCCTAACTATAAGATAAGGCTAGGGACTAATGAAAGTATTTAGAAAATTGGGCAGACTAGATGGGCCGAATGGTTCTTATCTGCCGTCACATTCTATGTTTCTATGTTTCTATAAGAAGATTGCCAAGACCCTGAAACTGAGCTGCAGCTTGGTGGGCAAGACAATACAGCATTTTGACAGGACAGGTCCCATCAGAACAGGCCTCGCCATGGTTGACCAAAGAAGTTGAGTGCAAGTGCTCAGCGTAATATCCAGAAGTTGTCTTTGGGAAATAGATGTATAAGTGCTGCCAGCATTGCTGCAGAAGTTGAAGGGGTGGGAGGGTCAGCCTGTCAGTGCTCAGACCATACGCCGCACACTGCAGCAAATTGGTCTGCATGGCTGTCGTCCCAGAAGGAAGCCTCTTCTAATGATGATGCACACGAAAGCCCGCAAACATTTTGCTGAAGACAAGCAGACGAAGGACATGAATTACAGGAACCATGTCCTGTGGTCTGATGAGACCAATATAAACTTATTTGGTTCAGATGGTATCAAGAGGCAACCAGGCGAGGAGTACAAAGACAAGTGTTTCTTGCCTACATGAGTGCTACCGGCACTGGGGAGCTACAGTTCATTGAGGGAACATGCATGCCAACATGTACTGTAACATACTGAAGCACAGCATGATCTCCTGCCTATGGAGACGGGGCCGCAGAGCAGTATTTCAGCATGATAACGACCTCCAAGATGACCACTGCCTTGCTAAGGAAGCTGAAGGTAAAAGGTGATGGACTAGCCAAGCATGTTTTCAGACCTAAACCCTATTGAGCATTGTGGGGCATCCTCAAATGGAAGGTAGGGGAGTGCAAGGTCTCTAACATCCACAAGCTCCATGAGGTTGTCATGGAGGAGTGGAAGAGGACTCCAGTGGCAACCTGTGAAGCTCTGGTGAACTCCATGCCCATGGGGGTTAAGGCAGTGCTGGACAATAATGGTGGCCACACAAAATATTGACACTGGGCCCAATTTGGACATTTCCACTCACTTTTGTTGCCAACGGTTTAGACAATGTGTGGAGTTATTTTGAGGGGACAGCAAATTTACAGTGTTATACAGGCTGTACATTTACTACTTTACATTGTAGCAGAGTCATTTCTTTAGTCACATGAAAAGATATAAAATATTAACAAAAATTGTGAGGGGTGTACTCACTTTTGTAAAGATACTGTACATTATGTTTTGATAAAAGATACTATAATATAGCAATCTCACATTTCAAGTAAGAATATTTTTATTTAACAAGGTTATTCACTAAGCTGTGAGTTATCAAGAATTCACACGTTTGATATTCTGGCCAAAAATTTACAGTCCCCTCGTGGGTGAATTTTACATTTATAAACTATCTGATTTTCAGGACTGTACGCATTACAACTAGTTTATCCTAGAATTTGTAAGAAGTTTTCCCATTTAATAAATAAAATAATCAAGAAATAAAGTTGCAAAAACATTACCATACCATTCTCATTATGTATGTATGTATATATATATATATATATATATATATATATATATATATATATATATATATATATATATAACAAACAAACACTGGCACACACTTAGCAGCAATGTACATGATTTAAATTTTTCTGCCCCGTGCTCCAATAGCATGTATACAATATATTTTTAAAAAACAAACAAAAAAAAAGCACACAAACAACAACCACCACCACATTGGAACTCACATGTTTTCAATTTACAATACAAAAAGTGTACGCTCTATTACATTCAACAAAAAGGCATGATAACATTTCAGACACTTGAGTGTCCATGTTTTTGATTTTCAATTAAATAGATTTGTTTATTAGAAAAGTACTTGACCACAAAATGATCATACCTGGTTTCTTTCCTCCATAGAAATGTGTATACTCTGTACACGTGATGTACCTGGCAAAAAAAAAAAGGCATAAAACATAATGAGATCAAAATGGAATAGTAGGAGAATTATTATTGATAAATATATCCAAGAAGAGACAGTAATCTACACCAAGTGGGAAAATACAAGTGTAAAATGTGGTACCCATTCTGCAAATTTATTATATGCATATTCTAATATTAGTAAAGTATCAAACATACATTATGATGCTATCTACAAAGTGCAAGAAAAAAAGGGACATAGCCAGTTAAGATACTTGGAGTTTTATCATCACATAGGAACTAGTTATCAAATCTAGTAGAACACCAAAGCAAATAATCAGTTATTCTGATAAAGTAGTGGCCAATAATTCATCTTGATATACTCAAGCCAAACAAAAACTCAAAATTACTACAGTTTGTTTTTATTATTGGCTTTCTTTTTACATTTAGAACATTTTCTCAAGAAAGCCCCAACACAGCACTGGGACTCAAACTTTGTATAATCATTGTATATAGACAGATGCACGCAGAAATAACTGGATTTTCTACATAAATATTTCTAAACCATACTGATGTTAGTGGTTATGCTTTAAAGGGGCAGTATAAATTAATATCACTAATATCAAGTTTTAAACTCGGGGGAAGAAAAAACCTGTACATGCACCCACTACTACAGCCCAGTGTACGTACACAGCTATACTACAGCTGAGCACATGTCCTCCTCCTTTATAAGGGAACCCTCAAAATCCGAAACTTTCACCCCTTTCCAAACTCACATTTTATCCTTCTGATGCTGTCTTTTCCCCATTTTAACGTTGCAGTGGGTATCTCTCTGCTCACAACACAAATCAAAACTGCGAACTACGGAGACAGCACAACTACTTCCGGACCTAATTTCTTGTAACACCAAATAGCGGAAGTGACGACACCGGAAGCCTCCCTTTTGAGCCGCAATAATAGCTTCAATGAGTTTAAATATGGCGCTTTCACGCATGCGCGGTGGCGCTGTCTAGTGCTGAAATGTCCCCGTGTAACCCAGATTAACCTTAGTGACACTAAATCGTTTTTATTTTGCTGTAACACAAGCTGATTGGTATATTGTTATCCTTTCTCCCCCCCCCCCTTTTTTTCTATTATTATTTTGTTTTTAATAGCAATCTTCCTTTGCAATTTGATAATATATTATTATTAAAAGAAAGTAGAATCTGCAGTTTAATTCCAAATAGTTGAAAATACAGATAGAATGGGGACATATTCTCATGGGAGGATATAAGTAACCCCGAAAATGCATTATATATGTATATAAGCTAAATATAGAAAATAAAAGGTACATGTGTGAAATGCCTGCATTTGCTGCAGGTCTCCATACTCTGCAGAAATCACTCACGCAAGCAGGGTGATGGAGGAAACCAGTGACATTTTAAAATGAAATCATTACTTCTCAGGATTTTTAATATGTTTATTCTCACTCTATCTTTCTACATATATATTTAAAATTGGGAGGTCTGAAAAAGAAGTTATGTAGAAATTCTTACTGCTGGCACAATTTAAGGGACATCTTGAAACTAGACACCTCCATCTTAGCTCCCTGTTAGACTTTATATTAAGCTCTACCTTATGTGCCTGGAGTTTAGCATTGGGAGACCATTTATAGTTAGCTAGGCTTACTTATTATTATTTAATTATTTATATAGCGCCATCAGATTCCGTAGCGCTGTACAATGGGTTGACAAACAGACGTAATTTTAACCAGACAATTGGACATACAGGAACAGAGAGGTGGCGGGCCCTGCTCAATGAGCTTACATTCTAGAGGGAGTGGGGTATAGTGACACAAAGGGTAAAAGTAGGGGTACGAAGTAGGTTGTTAGAAAAGTATTAATTGAGGGCTTAGTAGGTAATTTTTGACAGTTGCAGGAGAGGAGTCATGGGGGATTGGGGATAAAAACCTGCTAACAGTTTAATTTATATGCTTTCTTGAAGAAGTGAGTTTTCAATGATTTTTTGAATGAGTGGAGACTGGGTGAAAGTCTTACGGAGAATGGAAGGGAGTTCCACAGAAGAGGTGCAGCCCTGGAGAAATCTTGGAGGCAAGCAATAGAAGTGGGCGTACGGACAGAGGATATACATAGGTCTTTGGCAGAGCGCAGGGGCCTCGACGGGACATACTTCTGTATTAGGGAGGATAGGTAGGTTGGTGCAGCACCAGAATTTTAAATTGAGCCCTATATCTAACTGGAAGCCAATGCAGGGACTGACAGAGCGGTGAGGTGTGGGAGGTGCGAGTGGACAGGAAAATGAGCCTTGCCGCTGCATTCATTATAGATTGCAGCGGTGCAATCTGGGAACACATAAGACCACTGAGAAGAGTATTGCAGTAGTCAAGGCGAGAGAGAACAACAGAATGGATAAGCACCTTAGCCGCATCCGGGGTTAAATAGGGGCGAATGCGCGCTATGTTTTTGAGATGGAAGCGACAGGATTTGGCGATTGATTGGACATGAGGGATGGAGAGCATCAGCACTCTCAACCAATCACAGCTGTCCAGACTGTTCAAAGTGTGGATTCTACAATAGCAACAGGGCCAAGGGTAGGTCATTTCTGTGCACTGTGTAGCCACCACCCCCACCCTTTTTTTTTTTTAAAAAAACTCCTCCTAAACCGGAGGATGACACAGAAACTTTAGCACAAGCTGCAATGATTCTCTTTCTATCATCTTATCGATCTATTTTCATTTTTCTTTTTACTTAGCTTTTTTATTTCTTTGTATGCTCTTTGTCTTGGCAACCATAATTGACTTTTGTTTAGTCAGGCAGCCATTGCTGGGGTCTTTTCAGATTTATGTTTTCTATTTATAAATAAAGTATCTTCTAGATTTTTAACCGCTTGTGTGTATCCAATATAGGCACTAGGAACAGATTCCTCTTTCTTTTCTCCTTTGTTCTGCAATTATTGAGGGTTACTCCCTATTCTGTTCTTATAGACACTAGGACATTGATGTTCTGGCCACTTTTCAATATTTATTACAAGCTGCAATGATTGCTTAGTATTTTCCTTTAAGTGTGTTCTTCATGGCACCCAGACCGACCGCTTTTAAGGGACTTGGATACGCGCATGGCACATTAGGTTGCCAATTCTCCTTGGATTGTGAGGATCATTGGATTGGACATTCACCAAGAGGAGTCCATGCTTCCTCGATGACATTGCAGTAAGAGGGGAGGTGAGCAGTAGGCAAGCACTTGCCATTTGCAATAAGTCCTTATAGAAGCCAGAACTCTCCAATTAACCAAATGATTACAAAGATTTTTGTCATGCAAGCATCTCCAAGTGCATGGATTGTCAGGGACTCCTGGCACCTGCTGTAATTGTAGAGGGTTAATCGTAACATAAGGCTATTCAACCAACTCCAAATTATACTAGATAGAAATATATATGGTAACATATATACTACTCAAATCCACCACAAAATAAAAATTACTGTTTAGCAGATATAGCCCAATGAAAACATTAATGCATTTTTTTTCATTGTGGGTATATCAAAAAACAGCTTGCAAAAGCTGCGGATCACTTTTCTGCTGCCTTTGCAAGCCTGCCATTTCCCCCTAGCCCAGACATTCTATTTTGTTCAAATCACAGACTTCCTAATGCAGCCAGACAGATGCTCTGGCCCAGGGATTGGCAATCATTGGCACTCCAGCTGTTGTCGACTACATCTTCCCTTATGTTTTGTCTACGACATTTGGAGTGCCAAAGGTTACCTACCCCTGCTCTAGACAATTGCCTGCCTTCTGAATTTAGCTTTCTGGGTGTTCAGCTCAGTGAAGTATCAGGACCTGATTGGCAGCTACTGTGTAACAAAGCTAATTTATAAAAAGTTCCAATTTTTAATGAAATCTGCACTCTGTAAAATGCTAGAGTGCTTTAAAATAGTGGATTTGGAAAGCTTTATTGAACTCTATTATAGTCACATATTGGCTATATTTCCTAAATGTTAATATTTGTATTTCAATCCAGAGTTTAATAAATAATTTATAAGTGTAGGGGTTATTATGCATAGGTTCTGGCTGAAACGATTGAGTTTTTATTCAGCTTGGCTAAAACAGTGTTACAACATCCTCCAGCAATATTATTTGTTAAGAGGCAGCAATGAGTGGACTTAATATAACAAGGATTTGGCGATAACGCCTAATGAAAGGACCTTCTTCTGCAAGAAAAACTAACTTGTCATTAAAAGGTTCACAAAGCCTCATGAATGTTGTGTATTCTCCATTATAATCTGATCTTTTCCTTTGCCTAGAGTTAAAGAAAAGTACCAACAGAGAAGGGTGAATTCGCAGGTACAAGGGCTGCAGGGTATTCCTATTTGGTAGCATTGATGCAAGTAGGATACTTATGGCCATAAAAGCAAAAGGCTACAACAGAACATGTTGATCATCTTTTGTCATTTCATAAACCCAAACTGAAGGCGGAAACATATGCTTTGCACTAGCAAACAACACACAATGAACTCCTAATACACTGACATTTATTCATTAAACTCACAGCTGAAATGTGAATTTTATATTTAGTCTACAAGTCAAATTGTGACTGTAGACAAGTTAGATTTTCTTTTCCCCCCCAAGATCACAGAGGGGTTTTTTTTTTTTTTTTTAATACCATTCAGATTTCAATCCGCAGCAGTTAGGAGGTTGATGAATACGCACCTCTGTGCAGGTCATGCAACTTACACCCTTGCTAAACAAAGATTTCTGGCATAAAAAATATAAAAATCACCAGACAAGAATGAAAGGCTTGGGATTGGTTGATAATCTTTTTTAGTCAGGGAGATGTCCACCAGCTACCACCCATGCTATTGCAATGGTTTTAGGATGTCTAAAAGCCAATTTCTTATCTGTATAATGAACTAAAACATGGGGATCAATTCCCACTTTTTGCTTTATTAGTGAACTCATTTTAACAATTTGTGATGCCATTTTTTCCACATGTAACCCATACCACCCATATAACTCTTATATGCAAGATAAGACAAATACTAAGACCTGCCCTGTCACAGTTATTTACTAGATTGAGAATTCAACATTCAAAGCAAATGTAAAAATTAAAGGCCAGAGTAACAACTGAAAACATAGCAGATTTCTTAATTTAGTTCAGCTACATTCATCTTAAATTTAAAATTTGCTTTGAATTCACCTTGAATTCTCACTTCAGTGAATAGCTTTCAGAATATAATTAAGTTTAAAAACTTAATTATCTGTATTTACTTTGTGTACCACTAATTACAAGTTGTATAGTCTGTAAAATGCTTCAACTGACAAAGTATTTTTTTTCTCTTTCTGAAATTTTATATAACACAATACATTTTGAAATCATCTTAAGGGTGCTTTTTCAGTTCTAAAATTTTATGTTACAGTTTCCCAGAGAGAGAAATAGATTGGACTGCAAACGACCAATGACTTTTTTTATTCTGTAGTTAGAAAAGGAATGGAAAAAAAAAAAAAAGTAAAAAAAAAAAACCCAAAAAACAAAACCCTGTCTTTTACAAACATTTAAAAATTAAAAACTGAATGAGGACAGTAAGCCTTAGGCTTTGTTTCTTTTTCTTGCGCAGCAGTATGAGAGCTTACATCCAATAGACATGTAGTTTTGATTATTGGCCTAGCAGAATAGAAAAAAAAATGTCTGATGGGCAGCATAGACTTGCATTCCTCTTGTATTCAACAGGTGAATTTTGGATGAAATATAGACAACGCTCTCATGTATGGTCGTCAAGTTTACCCTCAAGTAGTGCAAGGTCTGCTTTAGAGTCCGGCCTGGAAAATAGATGACAATAGGAAGGTGAGTGAGGACAATGCTTTTCAAGTGTATTAGGGATGTACTGTGCTTTTCTTGCAAATTCTGGCCAATATACTCTCATTCAATTTTTAATGATTCCTCACAACCAGCCCAGCTTCAATAGAAACTAAGACAGAGAGATTACAGGGCCTTGAATTGATGTTCAGCAAGCTGCCAGAGGCTGTGAGATGCCTGTGGCTTCTGTATTGTTAACTCATGTCCATGCATGTCTCCTTCAGCACCAAAAAGTTGAAGTGGCCTTGTGGTCCTCTCCAAACCATCAGGCTTTCACTCAAAGGAGAAAAAGAACAATGAAAAGTAGGAATTGAATATGAACCAAATAATGCTATTTGTCCCTTAAACTGTCCAGCTGCTCCTGAAACTCTGTGAAGAGTCGCTGAAAACGCAGATTTTGACCAATGAGTGGGAGTAGTTCTTTAAGTAGCTCCCTCTTTCGTAAGCCCTGTCAAAAATAGAAGACCATTATTATTTTCGCAAATAGTAATATTAAACCAAATTATTGTTAGTGTCAAAATATGCTGAAAGTGGAACAAAAACAAATAATATGTGTCTCTTAGGACTCAGAATTACCATGTGAGCAGTCTCTAAAAATATTGTAGTTGCTTTTGGAGAAGAGGTTATCATCAAGCCATTACCTTTTAAATTTCATAATATTGTACTCAGTCCTGTCTAACTTATTTATGAGCAAAATTGTAAGCAAACGTAGACACATTTAAAGAAACAGAGTTCGTGGCTACATATTAGTCAACACAAGCCTCTTTCTTTACCAGTTTGAAATTGTAATATATGAATAGACAATGGATTGGAATCAAATTATATCACTCTGATGTCATGACAATTACCAAGATTCTAGATTCCCACTGGCTTCCAGAAGATCGATGGACAGGGCCCAGCAATTCCTGACAAACTTCACGTAGCCGTTGTTCAAAACCTACATGGGATTAAATAAACATTTTCTTACATGCAAGGGACACAAAATAAAAGTAGATCTCTATTTTAATTACATTTTGTAGAGGTTATTTCAGTTGTCTCCGACACACATTAGGTTGTCACACACCAGGCCTTACCTTCATTTACTAGGTACCGTGCATAGACGAGGAGCCAGTATCTGTATTCCTGACTAGACTGCAACATAAGGGCAGCTGCAATTTGGTTCTCAAGATGAGCCATGGTGGTCTCTTGCTGCACTTGGTGAGGCATTGTGAAGAGGCGAGCAGCCTGTCTGCCTGCACTGCAAACAAACATATTCCAATCAGATATATAGTCATGTAGAGCTGTGTGGGACTAATTACAAATAATATTAATCACCTACATCACATGGGATTAGGCAGGTGCCTTTAACCTCTTAAGGACACAGTACATGTCTGACATGTCATGATTCCCTTTTATTCCAGAACTTAAGGGGTTAAAGGAACACTCCAAGTACCCTAACCACTACAGCCCGTTGTAGTATTTATTGTGGTAGGAGTGCCCTGGCAACATCACATGGTATGATGTCAAACCGTTTTATTATGGTTTGACAACTTACATGGGTCTCGCCATGATACTGCACTGTGCATTTGGTCTTCTCCAGTAGGAGAACCCAGATGTCTCTGTAGAGCAAAGCATGAATGAAGCAGGATCTCAATCATTGGTGAAATGTGCTCAGCTGATTAAAATATATATCTAGACTATAAAACAAACTTTGCCAAATCTTCTTCAGTGTCCCAGTGCAACACAGAACATTTATATATAAAAAAAAAAAAAAAAGTCTGGCATCCTTCATGCGTAGGAGCTCTGGCATTCTCTATGGAGATGCAAGGATCATTATGCTTTCTTGTGAATGAAGTATATGTGGTTAATTGACCTCCTGTCCTGTAAGAATAAACAGCAACCCTTAATCTAGTTTGTGACAATCATACGAACACTTGTAGCCTTACTTTCCCTGACATGGTGTCCTAATCCTCATGGTTATCTGCTATAACCTATTTATTCATCTCCTTTCATTTACACAAATCAAAAGATTTTATATAAACATGGTAAAAATAATTTAATTCGGTGTCTTTTATGGATATTATCAAGGATGGCAGCTTAAAATGGGTTTTGGACTTCCTTGTTACAAATGATGCCACCTGGAATTGGTTTAGGAATCTTTATGATGGCCTTACTTGCAAGCTCGTCCCTGGATTATGGCTAGCGGCCCAGGGCACATTACGGCATCCTGTGAGGATAAGCAGTTCCGGTAATCTGCACATTGTGACAGGGCATCCTGTTTGTCAGACACCAGACTCCTAGAAAGAAAATCCAGCATGGGGTCAAGAGAAAACATATTGCCTGTAAACAGTTTCCAATGTAATCTTGGGAATTCACAATAAAATAAAAAATCTAAAGATAACAAAGTATGTCTTTGACACACATTTTAACAAATTTGTCTTCTGTCAATATTAGACACTTAATGCAGTTTCAAATCAGTCTGGCAGTTTTTGAAAAGAAAACAAGATTAGAAGATAATGCAGTTCTCACCACGCAGATAGGGATGAATTGAAGGCATATGCTTTCCCGTTGGATAGGCTGAGCACTGGCACACCTCTATGGGTCAGCAAGGTCTGTGAAACGGTCATGTCATTCCCTGAAAAGTGCAACACATACGTTTCTGGTTATTACTTGGAACTCTCCTATTATCCCCCTACCTAGTTTTTCCATTTATCTGGAATCCTAAAAGCAGTGTTACTCTAAGCGCATGCACAGTTCCTACTGGATCAGTAGTTATATAATTCAACACACTTGCACTAGGCATATGATGAAAAAACTGCTGGTCTTTATGTGTCTTCTATTTTTGACCCAGGGAGATTTATACTATATTAACCCCTTCAGTCCTTTAAAAAGACCCTATAGGCATCAAAACAATTTTAAAGACAACAGACAGGAGGTGATCAGCGCTTAAGATTAAATATACATATGATACAGATGATATTCTTAGTATATGAATGTATAAGTACAAAGCAAGAAACAGATTATGGTGCAGTACAGTAGATGTTTGTGAAAGGAGTACAAATAAGTATGTATATATAATCTTAAAGGAAAACATATCAGTTTTCCTGGCACTGCAGGTTACTCCAGTGCCCCTCTCCCTCCCACCCCCCATCCAATGTTGATGAAGGGGTTAAAACCCCTTCAGTGACCTTCCCGAATCCAGCGCCGATGTCCCTCGGCGCTGGGTCGGGCTCCGTCCACGCGTCTCCCCCGCCGACGTCAGCCAATGCTTTCCTATGGGGATTCCAGCGACGCTGGAGGTCCTCACACAGAGCGTGAGGACATCTAGCGTCATTTAAAACACTTTTCGTGTTCCAAGAACACGGATGTCCCTCTAGTGGCTGTCTGATAAACTGCAATAATTACACTAGCAGGGTTAAGTGTGGTGGGAGTTGGCACCCAGACCACTCCAATGGAAAGAAGTGGTCTGGGTGCCTGGAATGTCCCTTTAAGCGCTGATCACCTCCTGTCTGTTAGCTTTACTACCCACTTCACAAGGATGGAGAGAACACTATAAATCTATAATTTGCTGCTAATTATAGATATTGAGCACTTATACTCAGTAGTTTTTCCATATCTTTTCAAAATAATTTTAGCTTCATGAAGCAGTTTTGGTGTATAGATCAGGCGTCAGAAGTTTTACTGATCAATTCTCTGCCATTTAGGAGTTTAATCACTTATTTCTGTTTATGCAACTGTAGCCACATCTACTGTGACTCTCACAGCCTGCATGCAGAAAAAATGGTTTAATGGTCAGAGGTACCTTTCTTTAGATGTTTTAATCTCCTGCTCTGTAACTTTAAATGTAGTCATAAGTAGAAGGCTACTGTAGGGTCTAGATGCTATTAAAAGAACAGTGGATGAAAAATTCTTAATTAAACAACATGTGCAATAAAGAAAATTAGAAAGTATTTAGGAAACCTATGCAAGTCACATGCAGGGATGTATGACTTGGGCTATACAAACAGAGTGTTTTAGCGTTTAAGTGGCGGAAGCTTGAGCAGTGAGGAAAAAAAGGGCATCATCTTTACACCAAAACTCCTTCATTAACCCCTTCCCGACCAAGGACGTATCAGGTACGTCCAGAACGCTGGAAGCAATCGTGATTGCTTCCAGCAGCTCTAATGGTATTGCAGCGATGCCTCGATGTTGCAGCATCGCTGCAATACCCCCCCTCACTGCCGGTGGCCCCCGGAGCATTCACTTCTGGTTTGCCCAGCAGAGCATTGGAAGCCATCAGGCATTGGTGATAAAATTAGTGCATGGGAAGTGTTAAAATACCACCATTTAAAATACCCTAGGGTATGTCCCTTTCAGAAATATATGGTTTGATGGGGGTAAATTACATTGGCTGGCTTCAAAAATGTCCCAAATAGGACATGGGTGTATGATGACCAGCTGTGAAAATTCCAAGTTGGAAAACTGGAATGTGCACCCTCCAAATAAGGTCTTTTAGTCCACAGAGAACCCGACACTCCTATACATGGGTTTGTATCACTGTACTCAGGAGATGTTGCTGAACACATATTGGAGTGTTCTTTGGCAGTAACCCTTAAAGTTCTCTGTACATGTATTCTGAAATTGCTATGTGTGTCAAAAAAAACACAATTTTTTTTTAATTTGGCATAGATTGGTGGTAAAATGGTTGCATGAAAAGAGTCTAAATACCCCAAGTTCAATGCCTTAGGTTGGCTTCTTTTAAAAAATATATACATGTGAAGGGTTATTCAGGGATTCCTGACAGATATCAATGTTACAATGTAACTTGCGTTAATTTTGAAAAAAAAAAATTGTTTGGAAATATAATGGTATAATGAAAATAATGGTATTTTTAGAAAGACGATTTAATGGCGATGAAAAACGGTATATAATATGTGTGGGTACAGTAAATGAGTAAGAGGAAAATTACAGCTAAACACAAACACTGCAGAAATGTAAAAAGAGCCCTGGTCCTTAATAGTAAGAAAATTGAAAAACGGTCTGGTCACTAAGGGGTTAAACTAAAGTTGTTAGTGCGTATGGTGTCCCTTAAATTAATGCAAAATAAAAATAAAAAAAAGGAAAAAGAAAAACTTTTAGTAACACAGTTAACTTCTCCTATATTGGATGGAGCAATCATAAATTTCATGTTAATATGTTGTGCATTTTGAAATGCAAAAATACAGAAAATATTTTGGCATAAACACATAAATCATTACCCAATTACCTGATAAGATGGGCTGTAAAGATTCATTCTTTATTAAAACCACTTGGTTCTGTACATCCCTGATGAGGAAATAAAAAAGCAACAATTCAAATAATATATACACATTGATTTGTTATAGTAAGGAAAATCACAAAGGAGCATTGGGGACCATAGACGCATGGGCAGGGCTTGCTGCAATGCACCTATGATTCAGCTATACAAAAACATTGAATACCATGATCTATTATGGCAGACCATGATGTCATGGCACATGCACACGCGATGTTATGGTTTGTTAGGGTATCAGAGCCAGGAAGTAACAGTACCTTCTCTCATACCAAGATGGTTTAAAGTTGTGGCTTGTAGCTGCACTTACAAGCATTCTATTTATTAAAATACAGACATTAGGGTCCCTAAACGGGGGGGAACTGCGGTTAACTACTATAAATGGCATTTCATATCACTATTACGCCACTGTACACCAGAACTTTGTCAAACTAACTTCTATTCTGTATTACCAAAATATTTTACTACATCTAAAAAATACCATTGATAATGGACATCTGTGTTCCTCTAAAGCAGCGGTGTCCAACCCCTGGCCCAGTACCACTAGCAGTGTGGCCCGGTTGCCGTCCTCGCTGCCGGGCGGCGAGGGAGACAGGTAGCACTTGATCTGCCTTTTTTCTCCTGGACAGCTCCCTTGTGCCCCCTGCAGTGAGCCTGCTGCAGGGATAGGACGTCATCCCTGCACTGTCACATCACATCACTGCTAGGCAGGCGGGTGTGGGGGACCTTTGCAAGAAGCGAACAGAGATCGATCCCAGCCCAGCAGCAACCACAGGCCACCAGGGACAGAGGATTCATTCCAGTCCTCTCAGAGCAAGGTAGGGAGGCTGAGTAGACCTTTAAAGTACTAAGTGTACAAATGTACATTTTTGTGTATGTTTTGTCTGTGATTGTATGTGCATGTGTGGGTCCGTAGTTGTGTGCGTATAAAGGTCTGGGATTGCGCTTGCGTGTTTATAGGTCTGGGATTGCGCGTGCGCGTGTTTATAGGTCTGGGATTGCGTGTGCGCGTGTTTATAGGTCTGGGATTGCGTGTGCGCGTGTTTATAGGTCTGGGATTGCGTGTGCGTGTTTATAGGTCTGGGATTGCGTGTGCGTGTTTGTATAGGTTTGGGATTGCATGTGTGTTTGTATAGGTTTGAGATTGCGTGTGTGTTTGTATAGGTTTGGAATTGCGTGTGTGTTTGTATAGGTTTGGAATTGCGTGTGTGTTTGTATAGGTTTGGGATTGCGTGTGTGTTTGTATAGGTTTGGGATTGCGTGTGTGTGTATAGGTCTGGGATTGCGTGTGTGTGTGTGTGTAGGCCTGAGATTGCGTGTGTCTGTGTATAGGCCTGAGATTATATGTGTGTGTATATGGGTCAGTGACTGTACTCATGTGTGGGTCTGTATGTATGTGACTGCGTGTATAGGTCTGATTGTATGTGTGTGCGTTAGATTATGTATATACATGTATATTTGTTTAGTAGATAGCTCCCTAAGTTGCTATCCTTAAATATGACAAATTTAAGAAAATGGATTTTGACGTTTTTCATTATAAAAATGATTTTAGTGATAGATTTTATGTGCTGTCCAAGACAATCTTCTTACAATTCTACACAAAGCATACCAATGTTAGTATCTAAAAATGAAAAACCGTTCTAGATGAGACTGTGATAATAGCAAACTCACCAGACAGACAGGGCAGCAGCAGCTGTAAGAGCCATAACATAAGATCCCGTGCACTGCAGGTTGGAAATGGGAGACGGAAGAATGATGGGTGGAAAGACTCTCCTTCCACTTCCAGAAAACATGGACAATGTCTGCTTCTCACAGGCCACACACACCACATCACTGTGGAGTACAAATGAAACATGATCGTCTATTTCTGTCTAATGCATGGTATAAAGCCCCCAATTAAGCAAAGTTTATACTCTAAAGTAAGGACAGCATGTTTAAATATATCAATTTTATAAATCACTAGTTGCCCGTATTCCTGCTTATTGTATTTAGATCGGCCTGCTGTATGATGAGGTAAAAAAAAAAAAAAAAAAGTTTAAAAAGTTTGCACGTTTTCTTGCTTAATGATTGGCCTACATATGCAGTGATCTTACAATATCTGCAGGAGCGCGATCACCTTCCACAGATCAAACTATGGTAGTTTAAATTACTTGTTTGCATGTTGTGAGGCTAACCGCAAAACAAAAAAGTATGTGTGGAATGATTCCAAAAGGAGCCACCTTTGTCATGTTATTTTTAGCAGTGGCCTGTGTTGTACTTGCCTATTTCGCAAAAGCAATGAAGTGGCAGGGAGGCTGCCATGAGTTGGGACACAGAGAACCTTAAATGCCATGGCAGGATAACATGTGACCACTGCTTAGTAAGAACAGATGCAATAAAAAATAAAAAGTACACTACTAAGCCTTGTTGTTATCAATCAGAAGCAAGTTGTAGCTACTGTTTTATATGTGTAGCGGGCTGCTCAGAAAATATGGTGCCCAGAAAAGATAACGCCAATTAACCACACTTCCTTAAATCCAGCCAATAAAAGCTTGCGTATGTAGAATGCTGTGCAATTTCACTTTTAAAAAGAATAAACAAATGTCAGGGTTAAATATTAGCAGCAACTACTGCTACATAAATTGTAACTTGGGTCTTTGGATTTACACTAGAGTACCACGTCGTTCAAAGGATAGATTTGTGATTTAGTCAGATAATTTATACAATATAACACTAACTTGCTGCCCGCTGCTGCCATGATTCTGCTAGTGAGCACCGTCTCCCACTCCTTTCCATCCCGAAGACACTTGAGGCGGCTAAGTTTGGATCCAGCTACTACTCTAATTTCATTTTCCACTTCAATATACACAGAGGGCTCCGTAGTTATCTATGAAGAAGAAGGGGGGGAAGCCAATAAGGTATGTGTGGCACGTAATAATCTATGTGAGACAAAGATTGGGTTTTAGAGCCATTAGTATAATTTTGTGTAATTTATCATACACACAAAATACATTTCCTATATCTGAGTATGCTACACAATTCTTTATACATTTCTTAAAATTCTTCTATATATCTGATCACACTTACCTGTAGTGTGAAGGATTTCTGAGGAGTTGGGGTTGGCAGTCTGAGTGTTAATGATGGTGTGGTTACACATGTTAATTCCTTCTCTGAGGTTGATGCAACCTGAGACTAAGAGTGGGTACAAAGAGAAAATAGTATTTTTATGCAGTGATAAGCAAAAAGAAAATGCTTTTTGGTACAACTCAGCACTAACGATCTTGAATTACAATCTAGTTCACAAACAGCTTCTGAATATAAGGGTAAGGACTCTAGTCTTTAAACTACATTGTTCTTTATAACTTGTCACAGTGTTCTAGACAATGTATCAATCATGATCAGGAATGAACATTCCTAGTCTTCTTATCAAAACCTGTCAGAAAATGTAAAGGAACACTATAGGGTAAGGAACACAAACCTGTATTACTGACCCTATAGTATTAAAATCACGATGTAGCCCCTCTGCCCCCTAAAAATAACATAATCTTACCTTTATTCCAGTTTGCTGGTGCTGGCTCTGCCTCCTTTCCTGACATCATCAGAAGTGCTGATCTTAACCAATCCCAATGTTTTCCCATGGGAAAGCATCAGATTAACTGAGATTGTCAAATCTCAGCCAAGGACAAAGCCAAAAGCTGCCCTGGCCAATCAGCATCTCCTCATAGAGAAGCATTGATTCAATGCATCTGTAATGAGGAAAGTTCAGTGTCTCATTGCAGTGAATGTCAGATAAGTGCTCCTCAGTGTGCAGCACTGCCCCAAGAAGCACCTCTAATAGCCATCTGAGGAGTGGCCAGTAGAGGTATCCCTAGGCTGTAATGTAAATACTGCCTTTTCTCTGGAAAGACAGTGTTTACTGCAAAAAGCCTGCAGGGACTGACTACACACACAAAAAGAACTACATTAAGCTGTAGTTGTTGTGGTAAATGTTCCTTTTACCCAACTACTGAAACAGACAGAAAACAGAAATTTTTACACACCGTAATTTTTTTTCTTATTAATATGGAGGCAGTACATATGGGTTGCTTCTTAATTGGGACAAGCATCTGAAGGATAGGTGATTAAGAACAGTCCCTTCTCTTTCCCATATAAAGGGCTTCCCTGACAAACCCACCTCAGTTGTAGCAAGAATACACACCTAAGCCACACACTGTAAGCAAAATTGTAATTTAGAGGGAGGGAGATTTGTACTGCCACCATATTAAGATAAAAATAGTTTTCTGACATATGGTGGCAATACGTATGGGATATAGCAAGATTCCCAATCGGATGGGCCTTATACCTAAACAGCTTGAAGTACCCATGCCCTAATGCAATTTTAGAGGCAGAGAGTAAATCTAGCCTGAAAATGCCTGATGTTTTTTTAAGGTGCTAAAAGCTGACCAAGCAGCAGCCATGCTGATTTCTTCAGGTGAAGCAAGAGCTTTTCTCTGCCCACAAAGCGGCCATTGCCTTTGTGGAATGCGATGGGAAAGACAATGGCGAATCAAAGCATAGGTCATTATGATAGACAAAATAATGAGAAATAGAAATAATGAGAAATAGAATTATGAGAGGCTTCATTGCCCTTAAAACTTTCCTAGAAGTTAACAACAGGTGATCTGATCTTCTGAATTCAGCTGATATTGATAGGTACATCTCCACATATTAAAAGGAACCACCTCCAAAGTAAAAGGGGACCTGTAAGACTGAAGACAGACCCCAGGAGGGAAACAGAAATTCCTGGGTGGCCCAAGAAGCCTATTGCTTTAAAGAAACTTCTAACCAGTATATATGAAGACCAATCCCTTCTCAGAAAGAACTTCGGTCTTAATGTGGAAACGCCCAACCTGTGAAAATCTCCTGCAGGAAGTGTAAATTTAAACCAACTGGACAAATGAACTAGAAGACAATGATGTTCCTTACAACAATTTAGACACTCTACCCAAATCCTCATGAAAAAGTTAGAGGCGGAACGACTAGAAGATTATACGCAACAAGTGGTCTCTGACTCATGAAGACTCAGGAGATGAAGGATCCACCATGCAGTGCCCTACCGTCAAAAGGAACCTATCCATCACTTTCAGTAGGATATAATGTCTACCAAAGACAACGGAAGATCCCCAAACTTAAAGTAATCTCCACCAAGGCCGAAAACTGGCTTGTCTTTGGCCAGTATGGAAAGATTGGCAGAACCACTGCTCTGTCCATTCACCTCTTTTAAAGTAGTCTTGGGAACAGTCTATAGGAGAAAAAAAATTGAACCCTGGAGAAATACCCTTATATAGATAGACCAACTATTTCACGTGAACTGTCTTGTACAGAGAGGCAAACCTGAGAATCTTCATGTTCTCCCCCTTTGCTATAAAGTTTATCCAGGCACAACATATGTAGAACGTGAACATGATCGGATCTATAGACCCTTACTCTTGATCCCAATTTCTTGTGCTGAGGTTGCAGGTGATGACATTGTCGACACATCATGAGTGGAATGGAGAGAGGACCACCCAGAGATCCTGAGCCCAGTACACCGTTTTGGTACATAGCTGAAACAGACCTTGCCTCTAGCACCACCCTGTCTGTTGACGCGAGGGAAACAGTGTCGTGGTCTGACTGCATTGTAATAGGTCCCTCAAATCAACCAAGATCTTAATCTGTGAGGGGAGTGAAGAACTGCCTTAAGAGCTCCGAAATTAGTGGACTATTTTTCTTAGGACCAAGAACGCTGGCACATTAGAGAATTTAGACGAGCGACCCAGCCTGTGTTAGATGCATTCTGTGGAGAAAATTACTCCTTCTATGGGCAGAAAGGACAGCTTCCCTTTTTTTTTTTGAAGAGAGTCAAGGAGACAGAAATCCAAAATGTCCACACTTTGACCCAGAGGAGAGAATTTTCCACTGTAGCGGCCAAATCCAGATTTTGCCCAGGTGACCGCAGGAATTGAAGATGTTAGACATCCAATCAATCTCATTTCCTGTCCTTATGGAGGAATTTTCGCTTTATTAGTAATTGGACCTTTCCTTTAAGAGTGCAGTAGATTTAGAGGTAACGTTAAGTTAACACGAACCTCAAAAAATCCTATGTTTACTGGAGAAGAAAATACATTATTGTCTCCAACCGTGTTGCTGTAGCGTTGTGCTAGCTACCTGAACATACTAAAGGGCAACAGTCCTGATTAGCAATAAGTAGTCAAATTACCAAGTAGGCAATGCCTTGTTCCCTAAAATATGCTGTTATGGGAGTGTTTTGAAGTGTAATGAAATCTTTTCAATCCACTTATTATGGCGTATTTTCAGAAAACTTCTTGAGGGGCGGCAATAGGGATATGAGGGAATTCTGAACCTCAGGAGAGGAACCAATTAATTTAAATTCATAACTGGTTTAAAGGAATGATCCGAGTTTGATAACCAGGAGATTCCTGAGGAACCCACAGAACCATATCTCAAACTCCTTGAGTCCAACAGGAACACTGTTTCTGTAAACAGAGTATGAGATGTTTGGAAGATTATGGATTGGGCAGATCTGAAAAGAGCAAATGGTGCCCTGTTTAACTAAACCAGTGATTGCAAGTAGGTTCCACTAAAAAGCTAGGCAAGAGACATTCAGATATATACTGGTTCCCAAATGCATCCTGGGAGTGTTAAGTGACTCCATTGAATGGTAATCCAGTCATCACCCCCAAAGGGATGAAGGGCTGTCAACCCTGCGGGTGAAATTAATCTGTGAACTCCAAAGGCTGAACAAGGTCTAAACCCGCTATCCACAATTAGTATAGAAATGCAGGATTACGCCTCCAAGCTTCTTGGCATCCGAAATGCCTACCCATGTCGGACCTAGTTCTACTTGTCTTTGAGGCAGAGCTTTTTTCGACAAAGGTTATAAAAGATAACCCTTTTCCTAATGGGAGAAAAACAGGGGCCCGAAAAGGACGCTGATCTGTTGTCCAAGCTTAAGCCACCAGGATATAAGGGAAACAGCAGATCAACCCATGATCTTGGCCGTCATTGTCGATTTATATTAGTCAAATCCACATAAAGTATGTGACAATCACAAATAAAACAGGAAACTGACAAGCTGCTTATCAGGTGACTTAAATAACCTCCATTAGCCAATGTAAAAAAGTTATAAGTTTTGAACACCGTTGCGTCTGCCAGCAAAGACCCATACCGAAACCCAGCTGTCTGGAAAGATAGTCTGCAAGAGGTCTCAGCCTTCTTGACTACAGGGTTTTAAAAGCAGCTACTTCTGCAGAATTTTATGGATTCCCAGTGCACCTGGGGGTGTAACATTTACCCATTTGATGGTAAACATATCAAATGTCGGGCAAGAAAGGCTCGTTACACAGAGTGTTCCCATTTCTGCATATAAGAAAGACATGGGGTTTTGAGGAACAGATAACCCTCATTAAAGTTTAGCAGATTTATCCTGCCCCATGACCGATTCATTCCTAATGAACTTTCTCAGTACATCAGGTGGGAACCAACTCCACACAGTTTAATGAACCAGACATGTCTTAAGAAGAGGTAGATAAACGTTCACCAGACATAAGTAATCGAAGGACGCTTCTCTTCTGTCTCTGCGGAACATCTCAGGCAGAGCTATAAGAATTCAAAGATAGGAATGATTGCATATTCTCTGCTTAAGTTTACCCAAGAAATTGCAGCGTATATTTATAAAGTCCAAAACCATATTAAGGGGAGTAGCACAGATACAATAAGCAAAAGCTGTGTATAGCAGAGGCATTCCACGGTGTACAAACAGTCTATTTTGCACGTACAGTCCACTTTCTGCAAAACAATTCCATCCATAACTTGCAATTTTAATCAGAACAGATTTTCAAAGCATAGATCAGCTAATCTTACCTTGAAAACCTCTGAGCCATGTGGGGGGTTGGTGACACAGGGAACCCTTTTCACAAGCTTCCTGCTGCCAGAGGGAACAGCACAGTGATACGCACTTGGCGGTTTCCCCATACTCACCAAGCCGGAACATACTCGGCGCAAAGTTAAATAGAAAGGGCTCTGGAACCTCCATGGACAGAGCCATGCTGCTCAGTCTACCACCTGGGCAGCTGTCGTGCTACCTCCCCCATACAGCAACCTGTGTGCCTCACCTTCAACAGATGCTTGATCCGTCCCATGCTGGGACAAGGAAGAACTGAGGTGGGTTTGCCAGGGAAGTCCTTTATAGGATAAAGGGGAGGGACTTTTCTTAATCATCTATCTTGCAGAGGTTTGTCCCAATTAGAAAGCACAACCCATACGTACTGCCACCATGTGAGAACAAAATGCACGGTTTGGAATAATTAAGGAAAGTCATTGAAAATTGTTAATGAAAATATATATACATATATATTTTTATTTTTTAACGCAATTATAGGTATATTAATCGGTGTCAAAATAAATAATATAATAACCTGCACTGTAAGGGAGACCGACATAAGCCGGGAGTCTTTCCGAGGTCGGCCTTTCTTCCTCTTTTCTCCAAGGTCGGCGTCAATCTCTGCCTTGCGTTTGGAGAGTGGTTTTGTTGCAGGGATCTTATCCTCACTGTCGCTGCTGCTCTCTAGGAGGTCTCTTGGTTTTTGGTCTTTTGTAGCATTCTGATCTTTTAATCTGTATAAAAGGAGGAAGGGAAGAGTATCAGTGACTTGTCTCATAATAAAGGGTGTTAATGGGGAAAAACTTAAAAAGCAGAAGACTATGAGACTACTGGGTTCTTTATAACTGTGCGACCAATGATTCTCACAAGGAGATACTGAGGGCTTCACGCCAAGATTAATTATAGAAATGGACAGGATTGAGAAACTGTTCTTATGATCATAGGGACTTTAAAGCAGTTCCTGTGTATAGCTCATGCCCCTGCAGTCTCTCTGTACAATTGTCACCCAGTAACAAGTGAAATTACTTTGTTTCTGTTTATGCAGCCATAGCCACACCTTCCATGAAAACAGCACTTTCAGTTCTTGCAGCACATGGTGTTTTTTTATTTCAGAGGTTTTTAACTCCTGCTCTGTTAATTGAAGTTAATCACACCCAGGTAGATGTTGCATGCTCTAGCAGGCTATTTATGGAGCAAGATCTAATAAATTCTAAATTAAAAACTTTGAGCAACAAGGAAAGCAAAACAAAGTGATTTAACTCCTAAGTTGTTTTGGTGCTTAGATTGTCTATTTAAAGGACCAATATAGGCACCCAGACCACTTCACCTTAATTAAAGTTGTCTGGGTGCCAGGTCCATCTAGGATTAACCCTTTCTGCTGTAAACATAGCAGTTTCAAAGAAACTTATGTTTACAAATGGGTTAATCCAGCCTCTAGTGGCTGTCTCATTGACAGCCGCTAGATGCGCTTCTCACTGTGATTTTCACAGTGAGAAGACGCCAGCGTTCATAGGAAAGCATTGGGAATGCTTTCCTATTAGACTAGCTGAATGCGTATGCCGATGACGGGGAAAGGAGGAGGAGAGTCCCCAGCGCCGAGGGAGCTGGAAAAAGGGTAAGGGATTAACCCCTTCCTCACCCTAGAGCCCGGCAGGAGGGGGACCCAAAGACCCTATAGAGCCAGGAAAACGAGTATGTTTTCATGGCACTATAGTGGTCCTTTAAGACGTACACAAGACACTTAAGTAAATATGATGGAAGCTACAAAAAAAAAAAAAAAAGTGTATAATCAGATGATTCCAGGAACTATTCTGTTGTTAAGATAACAAAATCTAACATCTAACCTGTCTGCAGAGGTCTGGTTTATATGAGCAACTCCTGCCGTTCCAGAGGTGGCTTTCGATCTTTCAGTGAATCGGGAGTCGAGTGCTTTCATAGGTTCTATCTTCGCTTGAGTAGAAGATAGTCCTGTGGGGGTAGATGGTATGACAGAAGATGCATTCCCACTACAAGAAAAAACAAAACAAACAAGTACTCAGTTACATGATACATTAAAGTAACCTCACGTACAGAAAATGTTGTCATTCAAGATTTTTACATTTGCACTGCCTCTTATCTTCAGAGCACAGAGTAGATTGGAAATGCAGTTTAAGATGTATTACCAATATCTCTCAAACAGTGGTAAAACTTTTGATGGGTCAGTCTAAAGAACACTATAAATACTACATGCGGTCAACATGCCCCTAGTGATGTCTCCTGGTTCTGCATTAAACTATTTGCTGTGCAACAAAATTCACATTGCCAATATGAAAGTATAACATCAGTAGTAGCAACATTTCACGAGAGGGGTTGGGCCACATCAGGGGCCCTCAGATTATGTAAAGTAAAAAAAAAAAAAAAAAAAACACAACAGGAAAATTAGCTGTAGTGGTTATGATGTCCAGACTGACCCAAAATACTTGCAAAGTGTCATAGTCCCTACTCCGAGATTTATGGAAGATCATTTATTTTTTATATAATTTGCAAAAACAGAGGTTTCATTAAAAAGACAAAAATGGCAAACGTTATCTATTTTACCTATCTTTGGTAGGAGTCTCTTCTGCTGGTTTTGCGTTTCCTGCAGGTTCTAAGCTCGATTTAGGAGCACCCAAGGAGCTGGTTGTATTTGAATCCAAGGAGATTAGCTGTTGATTGCTCTGCGAGGAGAGCATTGAGCCTGCGAGGGATCCTGAAATCGGAATGCTGTTGAAGAATGCTGTGGAAAAGTCCCTATAATAGAACAGCCACCAAATACAGAAGGAGTATTAAAAAGGTAGCTCAACTTCAAAATGTAACCTACACATATTAAACTTTAAATCTGAAACAGTGAGTTTTCACTCCTAAATAAGCTTCATTGCAACAAGTTGTATGTACCCAGTGTCCAGTTGGGCGATGCACAGAGGGGTAATCCTACGCCTGCCATCTGCTGTCCGTGTCTCCACTTGTTTCTTTAAAAGATTCTAAAAAAATACATAAAAGATTCAGATCACTATTTTTTATACTGCAGGATACTGCCTTTTAGTTACAACAACCCATAAGGCACATATTTTATTAGCATAATCTCTTCTGTTATGTAGAGTCTAGCACCAAAGATTGTCAAAACTTTTTTTTCAAAATATATCTGTAGCATTTGTTGTACCTCATGTATTTTATTGCCAAAATGTTCATGCTAGTTATAGGGTAAAGCAGATGGCTGGTCCCTGAAATTCCCCACATATGAAATTATATTAAAGGTTGTAAATTTTGAAATGGTTTATTATGTGTTCCAACAAGAATTATACAATACATATTTGCATCTGTATATCCTTAAGTTTATTGGAAACGTTACTGTTCAATCAGTATATGCCTTGGTTGTAGCCTGGACTTTTTTTGACAAAGTCCAGCTGGCATACTAAAAGATTCTACGATGTGCATCTGTATTCTATGAAAACTGTGGGCACTTGTGGTGTTTTAATTAAACGGAAAAACACTATTATTATTGCCATTTATATAGCGCCAACAGATTCTGTAGCGCTTTACAATATTATGTGAGAGGGGAATTTAATTATAAATAGGACAATTACAAGAAAACTTATAAGAACGATAGGTTGAAGAAGACCCCACTCAAACGAGCTTACAGTCTACAGGAACTGATTGGAATAGGCGACAATGAAAAACACAGGGCACCAGGATTTCCACAGTACCATATCATTCTTCATTACATCTCAAATAAGAAAAATCAAGATAGTATGGACAGAGTCTGCAGGCTCTAATTAATGATATTCAATAAAACTATAATGGATCACTTTAAGGGAAATACCTAGTCCAGGCATAGGCAACCTTCGGCACTCCAGATTTTTTGGACTCCACCTCCCATGATGCTTTGCCAGCAATATGGGGGATGTAGTCCACAACATCTGGAGTGCCGAAGATTGCTTATCTCTGACCTAGTCAATCACTAGGGGCTGTCATATCAAAACAATCTGCCACACAGCACTACATTAATGTATCACTTTAACAGAGAGTTAAATAACATCTAACTTTGGACTTCTAAGGATACTTAGAACAACTATTATATGTGAGGATTTATGATAACATTGTTAGTGATCTAGTTTTGATATGTTATATTTTCTAATACAAGTAAATACAGATGATAATGTGTGGTGACATAAAGCTGGTATGATCGTTAAAGAATTAAAGGAGATAACGATCAAATAAAGAAACCAACATTACACACACTCTGTACTACACAGAATCATGACTAATAAGAGACAGTACAAAACATTCAAGATGCACCTGCATTTTGTTTTAAATGTAAAAGTCTCAAGCTATACCTTTCTGATGTCTTCCAAACTCTCTCCATTTACCATACTGGCCACTGTGGGAGTTGGTGAGGATTCCCTTGGTGCAGCCACCCTCTGCTCTCCATCTTGTAGTGGCTGCTGTCTCTGTTGAAATTTCAGCATCTCTGGGTTCTCAATGATCGTAGTAGACAGCTGGGGCTCAGTTGTGATAGCCAGGCTCTTACCATACATGCTTTGGAGGATGTTATTCTGTTAGTGAATACAACATGAATCATACAGATGCAGAAGGTGAAAGGCTTTGTGCGTCATCTTTCCACTGTTGAATGTGCATGTGGAAAATACCTTCAAGCACTCAATAAATTGTAAAAAAACTTTACAGTTTGCATTCAACCCTTCTATTGGTAATCAAAGTAAACATATTGGTGACCTCACGAAGAATCACAATACAATTGTGTGCAGGTTTAAGTACCTTCTCTTCCTCACTCAGTGGGTCTCCAAGCTCATCTTGAGAGAAATCCAGATAAGCTACGGATCCATCCATAGAACACACCAAGATTCCCAGGCCGTTTAGTGTCCTGCAAACCAAAGAGAAGTAAAAAGAGCAGTTAGCCGTTGTAAGATGACTGAGCAAGGGTTGTGAGCTAAAATCAGCACAAAACAATGGGACACAATAAAAGCTTCCATGGTCTTGCCAGAGTCTCAGCTGTAGATAAACCCAGAGGGAAATGTAATGGGATGGGAAGAAGTCTCTAAAGAAGTATCCATCAATGTTACATGTCATATGGTTTGTGGATAGAAAGTCCCGCAAGATTGCGATGAGTGAAAACTGGCAGGAAATAAATATTTTTCTTGTATAACTAATTTTCTCAAATATAAATGGAGGTTTTATTCAAACAATCTGTGCAGAGTCCATCCTACAGCATGGCTTTGAAAACATAATATGCTTGTTAAATTACCAGGCAGATTGTGTTATATGGCCTTTAAGTATATACCATACATTCTGCACAAATTATGCATATAGTGGCAGGTTATACAGGTCACTACAGTATAATTGAATGTGTCAATCTTTTATAACCAGAATGCAATATGGTAACTCGATTCCAGTGTACTCCTGGATGACAACATTTTAAAATAGAAATAAAACCAAACAGGGTTGGGTTGAATGGTCACAAAGAGCAGGGATGGGAATAGGTTCCACTCTAGATTCTCCTGCGACGGGCGTGCGTTCCTGAACAGTCAATTTTCAGCAGTATAAATGCATTTCCTGGTCAACCCTTAGGCCTCACCACGGCAACACCCTGGCCACCAACGCGCAGAGTCTACTTTAAGGGCAAGATGTCGTGACCTCGAACCTGTGACCCCCTCCCCCAGAGAGAGGGTGCTGCCAGCGGAACCACTGGAAAGACCCACCAGCAGGCGGATTTGTAGGGGGGAAAAAAGCGACCTTTGGGCCCCACCTGAGGTTTCAAAATTGGGTCTTTGTTAGGAAGGAGGGAGAAGTCTTAACGTATCTTTATCTATATTTTTAACATATAAAAGCAACTGAGTTTTTAGTACAAATCAAAACACGGATAATAAAAATATATTTTCTTACCAAGAAATATCCATAATGGATTTATCAAACAGTTCATGGATTACAACCAGGGGTCTTTTAAGACAAGTAAGCTGTTAAAGAAAAACAAAAACACATTTTCCTTAGGAGGAATTCCACATACACTAGTACACTTTACAATACGAGAGAGAAAAAAAAAAAATCTACCAAAAAGGTAAAAGAGGTGAATATATGTACAGAGGACACATGAGAAAAGCGTCAAATGAAGAGGGGATTAGAATATTATATGATCTCACTTACTTGGAAAATTACCACAAAAAAACAAAACAAAACATCAAGTTGCAAGTCAGATAAGACACATAAATGCAACAGAGAATCTCTCACCCAGACAGACAATGAGCGATCCTTACTCCCTACAGCACAACAACAATAAGGATTATTGGTTTTGCTTGAACTCCCATTCTTCTGTTTCTTCCTTAATATTTTTGGATTAAATTTCTGGGAAATAAATAACACTTGTTTAAATAATAATAAAATGAAAAAAAAAAAAAATTCTTCACTTATAATATATGGACAATATGCATCAAATACAAATGCAGCAGCAAAAGGAAGAAAAATGGTTACTAAAAATTAAGTTCTGGTTGTACTGTATACAGAAATGTGGATGCAATTAATAATTAATATTCAACTGTACAGAAATGTGCAGTACAATAATACAGAATGTGGATCAACTATACACATATAAAAAGACCTAGGAGAATCTAGCATATATAGCAATGCAATGAGGGTGAAAACAATTCCAGTTTCCTTTAAATACCTACTGATATACACAAATATGAGAAGTATGAGAAGAATTGGACTGTATAAAATAAACATTATAGTTGGTTCAAAGTGCTGTAAAACTAAGTTTATAATGCAAACTAAGTTTCAATACAAAGCAATTCAGCTATATGGCAATTTCCTTTCAAAAAAATTTCATTTTATTTTTTAAAATACCCTGTTAATATGGGTCGTATTGGTTTCCAGATTGATCAAGCATTATTGTGCAGTAGCTTTAGTTAGCTCAAATATTTAATTTTGTCTTTTTTATAAGAATTTAACACAGATGAGTATAAATATAATCAATACATTAAAATTGCATATTCTGAAAAATGCTTACTTGGGTTATAGGAGACATAGACAAACAGTGCATCATGATAATTAGCGTAGGCAAAGATTGCAAAAGAAATTACTTTCATCCAAAGGAATCAATTTGAATCTGTCTGTAATTGAATGACATTTGTAAACATTCTCACTGGTTCTCTTACCACTACAGTAACTGCTTTCCTGTGTCCCACAAAATCCATGTTTGTCTTCCACCCATCCCGTTCGATGATTTGAGCTGTTGGGCCAGAGTTGTTCATGGCATGAGCGGACACAAGATAATGGCCATCAGGGGACCAGCTGAGCCTTAGGACATGGGTGGTTCCTCCACACTAAGAGGAGAGCATAGATTCTATTGTTTGGATGGTGGTTGTTTTTTTGAATCATGGAAGGTTATATAACACTTTACAAGGAATATTAAAACACAAGCATACATTACTACGTGAGATAGAAAAAATAATGTGTTACTATATTACTTCCCTCACAAACACAGTTCATCCCATTGCAAATACGTCTTGTGACTGATCAAACCTGACATGACAATTGCTTGGAAGTGTGAATACCTCATCAAAGGGCTTGGTGATACTGGTTTCTAACTGCCAGTCCATCGTTCTCCAGACCTTTAAGCTACGATCATCAGCCTGAGAGGCAATGTACTTCCCCACTGGATCCCATGTAAGTCCCTTTACCAGGCCAGAATGACCACGAAGTGTTGCAATAATCTCTGAAATAAAAAAATAAAAAAAACAATTAAAGAAATCAGAGATCTCCCCAACCAGAAAGACATAAATCCACACACATTCCAGCGATAGGTTGCCTTTGCCACCTATCGCACTGTTAGTCATCGTTGTCCCCCCTTCTGAAAGATAACTGGCAGCAGTCCTGCTGTTCTTGCCAGGTCTCCTCAATGATCTCCTGTGCGGTGTTCTGTGGGAGGGGAAGAGGCAGAGTCCGGACATAGTTGACAAAACTTCCCCTATTATCTCCTAACCTGTCTAAATGTTAGACACATCTTGCTCCAGTACCAGTCTTATGGAGATAATGAAACAATGATGTTGGCTCCAAAGAGTAAGGCACCCTTTACTTTTGAGGCATTGCAATTGTCATATTATTCATGGCCCAACTGCATAAACATCTACACCACCTGGCTTAGCATGTGGATACCATCATTCCATTCACCGCGCAGGCATCAGACGGTGTTGGATGAGCATTGGGCTCAGACTTATGTTCTACAAGTTAGATATCTTGTGAACATCATTGCAATGTATATTTTGTTCATAACTGATTTCTCAAAACTATTTCTACCTTTGAACATCGACAGTGCATTGACTATTTGTGTTAAAAAACGCAATAATGCAACGGCATTATTGACTCACTGAATACTAATCATGCTAGGTCTCGCTTACTTAGGATGCCTTTTTTCAACCAGAGTTTGACAATTCAGGCTATGATACATTGTACCTCTTGTATTAGCGGCTTACTATTATAAGGGTTATCTTGCCTAATAAATAAAGGAAAAAATAAAAAAAGGCATACAAAAAAAGTACAATGCAGTGGTGTATTGGAGGGGCAAAAAAATGGATAGAGTCACTTTAAATCTGCATCGGATTGGGAGTATTGAAAGGGTCACTCCACTGCCAAATAAAATTATTTTTTAAAAAAAAGGCTATTTAGTAGATATACCTCAATGCAGGTATTTAATTTACAGTGGGGTATATCTAAAACCAGCGTGCAAAGCACGTTCTCATTGAAAACCTTTGCAAGCCCCCCAACCCCCTTCTTGACCACTTTCTGTGGCTGTTCAATCACAGACTTCCCAATGCAGCTGAAGAAGAAGTCTTTGCAAGGCAGATTCTCTGAGCAATTGCCTGCCTCGAGTTTGAGCGAAACTATCAGGAGAAAAGAGGACCAATTGTCTGATTGACAGCCATGGAGTGTAACAAGGTTGATTATTAAGTGACAATTGCTATTAAAAGCTGCCCTTTTGTCAAATGGAAAAAAAGGTATCACTTCACACATAAAGTAAGCTAAAGTGCTTTGGGTGTTGGAAGTGTTCATTTAAACTTCCCTGGATTGTATATGCTGCTTATAGGAGATTCATCTGGACAGGTCATGTCCCCAAACTACATTTTAGTGTACCACAAACTTTAACATATGTAATGGTCTTACCAGATTACAAAACCTGGATATCAATACACTTCTTCAGGAAATCACTGAAAGCTAAATAACTCTACAGAGGTTATTGAACTGCAACTCAAATGATGCTCATAAGTTTACATACCTGGAAATTTCAAAGCATTCCAAATAACTACTGTGTTATCCACGCTGCAGGATGCAAGCCAGGCATCATGGGGAGACCATGAAACGTCCATCACATCTGAGAATAAATCCATATATCACAACAAATTATAAAAAAAATAATTAAAATATATATATATATATATATATATTTTTTTATTATTATTTATTTTTTTTTTTCATTATTGTACAAAAGGAAAATAGAACTTTACCATGTACTAAGCTGAGCAGTAAAAGGATAATGAATCATTAAGAAATGCAGTCTCAAATCACAGATGTAAAAATGTAAACTCACCTCCTGTGTGACTTCTGAGGATGGTAAGGCATCGCCACTGCTCTACATTGGTAAGTTTACTGCTGGAGCCAAAAACCGTGCTTGGGCCAATGTATCTGAGAAATGAGCAGAAAACTAAAACAGACTTCTATATGATTGTAAACAGTCCAAGAGATACCACGCTGCTTCAGAAAGCAATTGTGGTTACTGTAACACCCAGGAACAAAGCCAAGAAATCCATCACTTATTTCTTCTTTACAGGAACCAAGGGAATCGTATCAGTCAATTCTATGCTAAAGTAATTCCAAAAAATCATGTTATTGGTAAAAGTGGTAAATCCAAAACCTGTCAATTGCCCAGTCTTCAACACAAACCTTCTATTTCAGCAACTTCAGTTTAAATGGGCCAGCATAAATGCACCAAACCATGTAAATGCTACAGCCAGGGCAGAATTCACAGTAAAACAAAAGGATCAATAATATTTAAAAGTATGTTAGACACTAGAGTTTAAAATTTAGTGAATTTTAAAAACAGGATATCTCCACTTTCAAACGATGACAATTGTAAGTAAAAGTGCTCAGAATAAATAAGACATCCTACGCCTCACTAGATTCTAAATGAACATTTGACTAAATTTTATAAGCCATGGCATAGTGTGGATAGAAGTCATAATCTCACCCTGATCGCTTCCACACCATGATGAGCTTGTCGTCCCCTCCAGATGCTAAATATGCTCCATTGTTGGACCATCGCACGCAGTTCACACAGGCTGAAACAGAGCGTACGCAAAGATTAGTCCCATTCCAATGTGACAGCACATGGGGAAGATAACGCACTGCTCGTATTGTGTCCTCTCTTCAAAAGGCTAGTCCTATTCCAGGGATGTGTGACACCATGTTAAAGTTTCCCACTAGCTTGCTCAAGGAGTTTGAACCCCCAGAGCAGCCATTTGCCTTGTTGTCTGGTACCTAAGTGGTTGTCCATCTGGCACAGCATCTTTGGAACATTTTCATTCTTCTCATCTTCCTCTTTAAGGACAGGCGGCATATTCCAGATGACGACTTTTCCAGAATCTTCCCCTAAAAAATATAAACACTGTTCAAGTTAAGAAAACACTTGGAAAACCAAGAAGTACCTGCAATAGAATTGCAACTGTTTATTTTGATAGCGGTAACACGATCTTTTTCACTGAGGAAAAAAAGAAAAAAAAGCTGGTGCGTACGGTGTACAAAATCCAACACGACGTGGAAACAGATGGTGTAAGAAGTCCTGCTTTCTTGAGTATAAGCTAATCAAGAGTCTGAGCATTCTATGAGTAAACAATATTTTTATTTTATTGGATGAATAAATAAAGATAATATATTTTTATGGATTCACTTACTCTTTCTGATTTTTCATCAAAGTGCTGGGTTAGCTTAGCATTAGGGATGTAATATCTTTACAATGTGAGAAGCAGGTGAGCAGTGCTAATTTATACATAGGGCTACCTGTTGTGCATAGTCCCATTGTCAGAAGTGCTGGCTCTGGATCGTCAGGAAAAAAAAAAATCCGTTGTCTGCTTTACTCCACCCTGTATTTGGATTGCTGCCACAGAAAACCTTATTTCCCCTCCAGGCCATATTGGTGGGGTACAATTTCCACTTGCTCATAGTAATATAACAAATAGAAATTCTGAACCCTGTTTTATTTATATAGTAACAATTGCATGTAACACTTGTTACATTGCAGTGCAGATAAATTACCTTAAGTGAAACATGTATTTGAATTGTGTGCCATGTAATGATTTGTTTTCTGTTACATATTACTCATCTCTAAACACACCTTGACCTCCTGTTGCAAACTTTGTGCCATCTGGGTGGATATCCACAGAAAAGATTGGCTTGCCTGTGTTTCATGAAAGAAGAAAAACACTTATTACACATATTATTATGTTATTATTTATAGCTTGGAAGAATGTTCCTAAGGAAAAAATGTTATTGTAAATAATGTTTTAAGTTCCATATTCTGAAATTCCATATTTGAAAATTCTAAATATTTTTTATCGCCTACTTTTTTTTTTTTTTTTTGTACAAAGTAACTGCACATATATGTTACACATTACGTTTAAATTGAGAGCTATATATTCTGGAAGAAACAACTGTCCAGCCTTAAAAGAAAATTATTTTTGTTCATTTAAGGAAAAGAGGTTAAGAATAAAACAATCTGCAACTGGGCAGCTGTACACAACACTAAATTCGCATTTAAATACAAATGTTGCATCATCTGTTATCAGTGACAGAAGGACCTGTAGACATGGAAACGACCCACTGGGACCAATATTTAAGCCGGCAGGATAAAAAGGTTATATTGGAAATGTAAAATGACAGAACACTCTAGGCTGTGACCCTTTATAAACTTCTAGGAACTCATAACACATACTGATCTACAAAACCCAGGTAACCCTTACCGGCACACTGTTATAAATTGGGGATGGGGGTTTAGAGGTCTCTGGGACCCTTTGTGACCTCGCATCACTTTTGGGGCCCCTCTCAATTAATGGACCACAATGAATGCACATGGCCCTTAAGGGCCAACAGGTGTTACTATTTTTTTACGGTAAATTAAACGTTTTCTTAGTGTTCTCAACTCTCGTGGCTCCTGGGGGCCCCTTTGCTCCGCCCAGTTCTCCCTCACCATTGTGATTAACCCAGGTGGGTTTCAGGAGCTTCATTGTCCCTCTTTGCCGGGAGAGGAGGTGTCAGCTCCGGCTGCCCATTGAGCCTGGAGGGGGCTCGGTGTGCAGGCTTTTCCCCGCCTCGGAGCCGCCTCTCAGCGCCGCTCCATCCCGCTCCGGCACCCGCACCAAGACCGGAAACCCGCGGGATGCACGGTTCAAAACTGTCCTACCGGAAACATGCAGGTCACACCATGCGTTCCACGCCTAGCGGGCAGGATAAGGCGGGGAACAATAGCCTGGGATAGGGGGGCAATCACACAAAGCCCACTGAGAGCCCCCTGGAAAACACCCCACCTACTCACATAGAAAGTTACTGTACACAAACACTGCATTAACTCCCCCAGTGCAGTAGTTATGGTTTAATGACAATAAATGGATAGTTTGTCTCCAGGACTTGGGTACTCACAGCTCATGCACTATAACAGGTGCTAAGGTTTAATCTGATCATTTTAATATTTAATAAACCGGTGTTTCTGTTTACATCTGATTTCATTGTGATCCATTACCACTAACTGCTAAAGGTATTAGTAAATGAATACACTCTGGTCACTATGGCTGCCAGCTATGCTATTTTTTACTTTTTTTTTTAATCCTGGATAAGTATTTATACATGTTGTTGGGCAATACATTAAAATTGCTACTATGTAGTATTCATGTTCTGTATGTTTCCCCTGAGTTTAATTACTTGCTTTCCCTCCTGCAGCATTTGATTATGCATACAAGTATAAGTAATCTGTGTCCAATAAAACATGTGTCTGACAGCCCTACTTGTCAGCTAGGAGATACACCCCCCCCAAGCCGGAACATATTGTGCGCTGACTTGTTTCTGCACGGGCTGCCTGTCTGAGCGCACAGTGTGCTAAGCTGTGTGAGCTGAGGTTAAAGCCTAGTGAGTGGGGAGTCTTGCTTTGCAGAGTTCACAGCCACTGTTAACCATGAATCCTGCCACATGTAACACCTTGCTGCATGTGTGCAGGCAGAGCAGCAGGAATTGGTGAGTACACACAAACACTATATACTGTGGCTGGTTCTCAGGGATTTCTGGTGACCTACTTTCTACTGAAATGTCATTGCAACTTCTCAACATGTCCCATTTTGTAGCATAAACCAAAGGACCAAGGTTTTACTAAAATTGCCTTGGACACAGGGTAACAAAGGTGACAGATACTTGAGCTGGAACAGTAAAAATCAAGCAGATGTGGGGTTTATTGAATACAGTGAGAATCTTGGGGAATAAGCCAGAGTTTTAGTTCACAGTAGTCCAGCTCTAAAAATTCTTGTATAATTAAATCATTTTCTACTGTTCTGGCTATTCTAAAATGTGAATTGTCTTCATAATTCCTGGTTTATTGCTAGCAAATACAATTCTGCAATAGCCCATTCGATCTGTATGGTTAGTAAGTGCAGTAAAGAACGTTACTCAATGTTTCCCCAGTTTAACATTTTATTTGAGCTGATGCATACAAGCAGAATGATTGGCCATAAAGTAGATTTGCCACTTAACCTCCCCAACAAAAACTTTTTTTTTTACCGTTTGATAAAGATGGAATCTATGAAATGTTCATTAAGATTGTGCTGGAATTTCTTTGAAATACCAATTTCCAATCACTGAAATTTCAATGCAATCTACTTTTTGTCTTATGGTAAATGTCTAACTTGAGAAAAGACCTAGCTACCACTGCCAAGTTTTATCACTAAGGCTGTGGAAATAAGGATCTGTCTAGCTCATAGTGAGACAATACCTATGGAGGCTGTTGTGTGATCCTCTGTATATTCAAGAGTACTTAACTAATATGGGCTGCTGGTGGATGAAGCACCAAGATCTTTAATGTGGCTGTGCCCACGAGGTCAGCATCAGGTAAGTATAACTTCCCAAGCGGTGATGTCACCATTGGAGTCTTTGCAAAATGTGCAAAGACTCCAGAAGGTGATAGAGCTACTTTAAAGGGTTACTCCAAGCATCTTGTGATGGTTCACCACTTACTGGATGCAAAGTCTC